TCTCTGGAATGGAGAGGGTGTGGGGGTGTGGAGGGAGGGGGACTGGTGTGGGTGAGGGGGGGTGAAAGGAGTATTATGGTCTGTATTTTGGCTTACGTGGTAATCTGACCCCGCCTGTAACCCCCACCCCCTCGCGAGTGCTTATCTCCATAGCGACAACTGGGACAGGAAGGAATATTATGGTCTGTACTTTCTTTTTACTCAGAAATTATATTATGGGATGTTTAGTGGTGCGTCCGCCTGTGTGGGGGAGGGGCAGGCTGCGTGCGGGTATCCTTGACAACCACCCCATATCCTTCTGATTGGTGATTATGGGATGTTACCCCCCCCTCCCTGCACACACAAACACTGTGTCCACAGTGAAGGAGAGGAAGGGGGAGGGGAGGAAAGAGAGAGAGCGAGTAAGATAGAAGAGATAGAGAATTTAGGATTGTGCATGTGCTTCATTCTTCATTTCCGCTGTTCTTTGTGCCGGCACTCTGCCTCACCGTGAGAGAGAGCAAGAAACCAGGAAGAGGCTAGTGTGTGAGCGGGACAAAGGGAGTGAGTGAGTGAGTGAGTGAGTGAGTGAGTGAGTGAGTGAGAGAGAGAGAGAGAGAGAGCGAGAGAGAGAGAGAGAGAGAGAGAGAGAGGAGAGAGAGAGAGAGAGAGAGAGAGAGAGAGAGAGAGAGGGGAGAGAGGGGGGAAGAGAGAGAGAGAGAGAGAGAGAGAGAGAGAGAGAGAGAGAGAGAGAGAGAGAGAGTATACATATATATATGAAGGTGTGGAACTGTAGGGTAAAAGAGAGATATAGAGAAAGGACTGCGGTGAATCAATCAATCAATCACATGCTTTGTAAACAACAGGTGTACACTAACAGTGAAATGCTTACTTACGGGCTCTTCCCAACAATACAGAGAAAAAATTTGAAATAATAGAAAAATAATAACACAAGGAATAAATACACAATAAGTAACGATAACTTGGCTATATACACGGGGTCCCAGTACCGAGTAGATGTGCAGGGGTAAAAGGTAATTGAGGTAAATATGTACATATAGGTAGGGATAAAGTGACTAGGCAACAGGATAGATAATAAACAGTAACAGCAGCGTATGTGATGAGTCAAAAGAGTTAGTGCAAAAAGGGTCAATGCAGATAGTCCGGGTAACTATTGGTTAACTATTTAACTAACTATTTAGCAGTCTTATGGCTTGGGGGTAGAAGCTGTTCAGGGTACTGTTGGTTCCAGACTTGTTGCATCGGTACCGCTTGCCGTGCAGTAGCAGAGAAAACAGTCTATGACTAGGGTGGCTGGAGTCTTTGACAATTTTTAGGGCCTTCCTCTGACACTGCCTGATATAGGTCCTGAATGGCAGGGAGCTCGGCCCCAGTGATGTAATAGTCCATACACACTACCCTCTGTAGTGCCTTGTGGTCGGATGCCAAGCAGTTGCCATACCAAGCGGTGATGCAGCCAGTCAAGATGCTCTCAATGGTGCAGCTGTATAACTTTTTGAGGAACTAAGGGCCCATGCCGAATCTTTTCAGCCTCCTAAGGGGGAAGAGGTGTTGTTGTGCCTTCTTCACACTGTGTTGGTGTGTGTGGACCATGATAATTCCTTAGTGATGTGGACACCGAGGAACTTGAAGCTCTCGACCTGCTCCGCTACAGCCCTGTCGATGTGGATAAGGGCGTTCTCGGCCCTCAGTTTTCTGTAGTCCACGATCAGCTCCTTTGTCTTGCTGACGTTGAGGGAGAGGTTGTTGTCCTGGCACCACACTGCCAGGTCTCTGACCTCCTCCCTGTAGGCTGTTTCACCGTCATCGGTGATCAGGAATACCACCGTCGTGTCATCGGCAACCTAAACGATGGTGTTGGAATTGTGCGCGGCCACGCAGTCGTGAGTGAACAGGGAGTACAGGAGGGGACTAAGCACGCACCCCTGAGGGGCCCCCGTGCTGAGGGTCAGTGTGGCGGATGTGTTGTGTCCTACCATCACCAGCTGGGGGCAGCCCGTCAGGAAGTCCAGGATTCAGTTACAGAGGGAGGTGTTTAATCCCAGGGTCCTTAGTTTAGTGATGAGCTAAGGGCGAGAGAGAAGGTTGAAGGATAGTCAGAAAGACTGTGGAAGGGTCCATTGGAAATGGATTGTGTGAAAAACTAAATGTAGGCCTAGAGTTTATACACTTCTAACACAAGGTATTGATATACTTGAATGGATGTCCTCTTACAAAACCCAGAATCTGATCTGGAAAAGTACATGGTTGAAGGTTAAGGCCTATCCACAAATCATATCCACACAGGTGGGGTCAAATAATTGAAATTCAAGTCCATTCAAGAAAACTCATTCAAATTCAATTAATGACTTGAAGAATAATAGGATATGTCAGAATGGGTAATTTTTCCATTTCAGTTTACTTCCTGAATAGGCTGAAGTTTAATTAGAATGGTTTGAACCCTGACTATATCAGTAATTAATAAAACCGTAACCCCTTTAATTTATGTACATTCCTGGATGGATTTCTGTAAAGGTCTAAACTTCGGCTGTGCTAAATGCCGTGTTTCACACAAACTACATTTGCCACAGTGCAACACAAATGGTGGTAGATGCATTGTGTGTCGTTTTGCCAGTACTGATAAAGGCCCATTGCATCACTTATGAGCTAATTGCGTAAGCCTGCATTTCATATCCATATTGTACATTATCAATGCTTTGGCTTTGAAGATACAGAGGTCTGAATGAGACATGGCTTTGAATAAGGCCTCATTAGTCTGTGTCTATGATGCATGGTGACCTATCAATATACCTAAGGCCATCATTACACCAGGGTTTCCCTGAGTTAATGGCACTTCTGTTTCGTCTTTGTGTCTGCTTTGACTGGAAACAACGTGTTTTATTTGACTCATGGTGGTTTGGTTTGTGTGTAGATTAAATCATGGTTGGGTTGAGCAACTCATTGGAATCAAATTATTTTCAAATGGGTCTCCCAAAGATCACAGTACAATGTTTACCTGAGTGTGCCCTGTGGTGACCCTCCACAAGGAATGTATGGTTTATAAGTGTTCATATGGCTCCTATATATCATATGTGTCTGCATGCTTTGTGTCAGTAGATGCTGAAATATGCTCCTAGCCTGTACAGTACAGCCTCTCTATATTCATGTAGATTGTGACACTGAAGTTAAATGCAGTCATGTGGAGCAGTTTCCATGTGGAGTCTTTTTTCATCCCTCTCTCTTTTTGGAGTTATGCTTATTGTGGGATGTCAGTGACTATGCTCATTATTATTATGGGATGTTGGGTGGGAGGGGGTGAGTGTTTCCATAGTAACGTTGGTTGCTGGGGGGCACGGAGGAATGGGGAAGAGACTGAATGTGAGGGAGGAGGGGGGTGGATTATTATGGTCTGTATGTTGCAAGGTAACTATGCAGAGTGGGGGAGGGGTGAGTGTGTGTGTGGGGGGGTTATTATGGGATGTCTGCCCCCTGATCTCTTTGTGTGTGTGTGCGCGGGTGTTTAGTGCGAGAGAGGGAGACGGCGACGTCGTGTGCATCGCCAGGCAACATAAGACAAAAACTGCATTTTAATTATTGGAACTAACTAGCTATTGTAACCCAAAAAGAAAAACTGTTGAAAGAAAGACAAATATCCCGTTTCGTTGTTTCTGTTTTCAAACAGTGGAACCATTCAACTGGTGAGTAACGTTACTGTAGTTTGTTGCATTGTTTGTAATTGTATTTGTGACATTAGACCATTCAATTATTGAAATTCGTCATTTATTGATAGTTATGTTTTGGGATGAATGGATGACTCGTGTTTCTGAACCTAACCGGTGATTGAGCTAAGAGTTAGCGGGCTAGCTAACCAAGTGTGGGACGAAAAACTAGTAGTAGCAAGCTAGCAGCACGACGATGGCATGTCAAATGGCTAACTAGCTAGCTATATGTATCGAGACTACGCATAGATTGAAAGGTTGATAATCTTGAGTAGCCTAGTATTGGCTAAAACAATTGACATCAGAAGTTATTTTACCTACTTTAGAGGCATTTCATATATTTATATTGTTAAATGCACGAAATCAGTTCTGAATATTCACTTCGGTTTTCTTTTTGTTTATTTTATTTCCACCACCTTGCGGACCTGTCCTCCCTGACTCCACGCTCGACCTGGACGGACTCATGACTGGGACAGGACTCCGGATGCAAAACGGATTAAAAAACTTTTTTTAGTTGGCTAACTAAATTTAAAGTTAGCATTATGTCTGGAAGCGAGGACGATAGGGATGATTTTGGAGCCCCAGAGGACCGGTCTCTAATGCAAGGTAGGACCACTTCAACAAATTACCTGTTCATTGCAACGAAATTGATTGTTCTATAATGTTCTATACTTTATGTAAATAATGCGAGTTAGTCGTAAAACTGAGCCAAATATACCATGTATGGCTTTGCACTAAGTAAAGAACTTTAAGGTAACGTGAATTTGAATATATGGATAACTAGCTAACTGGTAGCGTTATAGCTAGCTAACGTACTGTACAGTAGGTAGGTAGTTGATGCTGGTTGTGGTTAGTTAGCTAAGCTAGCATAATCACAATGTCTTAGCTAGTTGGTCAACTAGTTATGGAAAAGTGTTTGGCTAGCTAGCTAAATAGTTGCTGGAACAGTGGACACCAGCCTCTAAGCTAGTTGTTAGCTGGTTAACTACATTGTTAGTTGAGTGACTGCTGTAGCTAGCTAACAGTAACGTTAGCTGACTGGCTGGCCGAAGCTAATACGTTATCCTAGCTTGCGTGTGCTAACAATGCTAGTTAACGTTTTGTTTCAGTTTTATTGCTAGCCGTTTAAATGTAAGTTTGCAAAACGGCCAGATGTTTTTCCATACCGAAGCAACTTACAGAACTTCAACGTTTAGCTACAAAAATCATGCCGACCCACCGGCATATTCTTGCGGCCTAGCAAATGTTACCGGTATTTTTACGTGCCGATGACAAGATGGAGCCAGCCAGTTAGCTTGAAAGATGGCAGATGACGACGGTGACTTTCTCCTCCTATCATCGGGTGCATGGTAGCGCCGCTTTGCGTGGTAGAAATAAATGCAGTCATTCACCTTATCTATACATTTCTGGAAAATGTAACGGAATTGTACTTAGCTGGCGAAGTACAATAAAACCGTAAGGCTAGCTGGCTAATTTGTTTACACAACAGGTTCGGATATGACGGCAATGCGTATTCCATTAGAATCCTTGAGGGGGGAAGATAAGGCGATGGAACTTTCAGATTTTAGACATAGCAGGCGTCACCAGGCCACCTTTAGATAGTAGCTAGCTGATATAGTTATGCAACCCCTCGCATTAATTTACAGAAAATAATAAGCATTTTTTTGTTGCATTCAAACATCTCACAAATCATTGACCATATATGTATGACCTTACTCAAATCCAAATACTGGAATCAACCATAACCCAGATAATGATGACATGGCATTTAATTAGTCATCCAGCCCCCCTCATTTTGACATACAGACGGCTTATCGCATGTCAGACCATGGCTACTTGGTGCTGATTTCAATGCCAAAAGCCATTCGCTTACATCTACCATGAGCAATTACATAATAGGCTTTGGAACCCCATTCCATATGACTTTGCCGCTACCAAGGTTGCAAGGATATTGAATTGACATTCTTCGTTACAGCTATTATTAAGCTGTATCTCTGACCTCATTGCAGATGAGGAAGAGGAGATGTCAGAGAGCGAGGCCCCGAAGGTGAAGAAAAAGAAGAAGGCCAAAAGGAGCCGGGAGAGCAAAAGCAGCAAGAGGCGTAACTCTCGCAGAGAGGTAGGCTACTGTGATATGACCACGTCTCTATCATATCTGTACGTTCTTGGGATGCACCATGTCCTGTTTGTCTACCTCTCGGTGGGGGACACACGCCACCTGTCGGAAGACAATGTGCGTACGTCATAACCCCCCTGTGTCCCCTCCAGGATGTGCCTATGAGCTCCCCCGAGCCCATGGAGACCCCCGAGGTGGACAGGGACGAGGAGCGAGCGGTGCCCCACTCGGACAGCGAGGGCAGCGACTACAACCCGGGGAAGAAGAAGAAGAAGAACAGGGGGAGCATCTCCAAGGAGAAGAAGAGGAGCAGCACCAGCACTGACAGAAACGGTGGAGGAAAGGACAAGAGGAAGGACCCTGAACCTGAGGAAGAGGAGGATGAGGACGATGATGACGATAGCTCGGTGAGAGTTTAGTTTGAGGATGGAGAGAGTTGTGGAGGTGGGGAGATGCCATTAAAGTTGACCAAATAATATTTCATGGTGTTAATTGAATTAGTAGCTCCATAGAAAGTGATTGAAAAAGCTACCTATAATCTCTAGCTGTAGATAAGTTGACAATACTACCATGCTGAGAGTTGACTACCACTAGGGTGCCTGGTAGCGGTAAGTGCATTTATGCAAGGACATACTGTCACCATGGCAACACAGAACTACCTGCCATTGAAACTTTGTCAAGGCAAACATTTGCCACATGGTATAACTGCATGCGGTTTAAAATAACCGATGGTCCCCAATGGTGGCAGGAAAGTGCTTTGTCCAAAGTCGTGCAATAGTTAACAAAGACCTAGTAGTTATTGAACACAATCCCACCACAATAGGCCAGTCAGTAAGGAAAAGACAGGAAAATAACCACTTTTAAGCGAACTTTCATGTTGAATTGTCTCATCTAGGAGCCTAAGACGTCATCTCAGCTCCTGGATGACTGGGGAATGGAGGACATTGACCACATCTTCAGCGAAGAGGACTACCGCTCCCTCACCAACTATAAGGCCTTCAGCCAATATGTCAGGTAACGAGATTGTCCTTATCAATGCTTGCTGCATGAATTGTATTTTAAGCATCTCTTTCTTACCCCCATTCATTTGCTGTTCAACTTTTTGCTCTCAAACATTTAGTCTCCTTTCTTCCCCTGATCTCGTCTACTGTTTCACTCCTTTATTTTTGTCCTCATTACTCACCATCCACCCCATCTCTCCCTCAGACCCCTCATCGCGGCCAAGAACCCCAAGATCGCCGTGTCCAAGATGATGATGGTACTGGGCGCCAAGTGGCGTGAGTTCAGCACCAACAACCCCCTGAGAGGCTCCGCCGCGGCCAACGCCGCCCTGGCCGCGGCCAACGTGTCTGCCGCCGTGGAGAGCATGGTGGCGGAGGTCGCTCCCGCCCCGGTCGCCGAGCCCCAGCCACCAGTCGCCCCGCCTCTGAAAAAGGCCAAGACCAAAGAGGGCAAAGGTCCTAATGCTCGTAAGAAATCCAAGCCGACCCCCAAGCCTGCAGAGAAGAAGAAGGTGGCTACAAAGAAGGTAGCTCCACTCAAGATCAAGCTAGGAGGCTTCAACAGCAAGAGGAAACGCTCCTCGGTAAGTGCTTTCACTTTCTTTTCCTCTCCTTCCTTTTCCTTTGTCACCTCACTCTATGTACCTCTCCCCCATTTGCAACCATTTCCTCCTCTGATTTTCTCTCCCCCCTTGCACCTGTTTAGGGGAAATTGATACTGTTATATATCAGGATATTATTTTTGGCGATGTATCGTTTTGACAATATCGCAATATTATTTTTGCACTAGTTGGCTGTACCTGCACCAAAACTACTGTATTTTTCCTTCAAAGCTTGTTCTCCATCTTCTTTTTAAATAAGGAGCCACTTTGTTTTCATCACTTATTTTGTATAATTTCATTTACACAACATGCCTACCGCTTTGAAGATGAAAAATATGTTTTAAGACAAAAAAACAGAACTTGAGCTTGTATAACTATTCACCCTCCCAAAGTCAATACTTTGTAGAGCCACCTTTTGCAGCAATTACAGCTGCAAGTCTCTTGGGGTATGTCTCTATAAGCTTGGCACATCTAGCCACTGGGATTTTTGCCCCTTCTTCAAGGCAAAACTGCTCCAGCTCCTTCAAGTTGGATGGGTTCCGCTGGTGTACAGCAATCTTTAAGTCATACCACAGCTTCTCAATTGGATTGAGGTCTGGGCTTTGACTAGGCCATTCCAAGATATTTAAATGTTTCCCTTAAACCACTCAAGTGTTGCTTTAGCAGTATGCTTAGGGTCATTGTCCTGCTGGAAGGTGAACCTCCGTCCCAGTCTCAAATCTCTGGAAGACTGAAACAGGTTTCCCTCAAGAATTTTCCTGTATTTAGCGCCATCCATCATTCCTTAAATTCTGACCAGTTTCCCAGTCCCTGTCGTTGGGAAAAACATCCCCACAGCATGATGCTGTCACCACCATGCTTCACTGTGGGGATGAGAGGTGTTGGGTTTGCGCCAGACATAGCGTTTTCCTTGATGGCCAAAAAGCTCAATTCTAGTCTCATCTGACCAGAGTACCTTCTTTCATATGTTTGGGGTGTCTCCCACATGGCTTTTGGCAAACACCAAATGTGTTTGCTTATTTTTTTTCTGGCCACTCTTCCGTAAAGCCCAGCTCTGGAGTGTACGGCTTAAAGTGGTCCTATGGACAGATACTCTAATCTCCGCTGTGGAGCTTTGCAGCTCCTTCAGGGTTATCTTTGGTCTCTTTGTTGCCTCTGATTAATGCCCTCCTTGCCTGGTCCGTGAGTTTTGGTGGGCGGCCCTCTCTTGGCAGGTTTGTTGTGGTGCCATATTCTTCCATTTTTTAATAATGGATTTAATGGTGCTCCGTGGGATGTTAAAAGTTTCTGATATTTTTTTATAACCCAACCCTGATCGGTACTTCTCCACAACTTTGTCCCTGACCTGTTTGGAGAGCTCCTTGGTCTTCATGGTGCCCCTTGCTTAGTGGTGTTGCAGACTCTGGGGCCTTTCAGAACAGGTGTTTATATACTGAGATCATGTGACACTTAGATTGCACACAGGTGGACTTTATTTAACTAATTATGTGACTTCTGAAGGTAATTGGTTGCACCAAATCTTATTTAGGGTTTATAGCAAAGGGGGTGAATACATATGCACGCACCACTTTTCCGGTATTAATTTTTTAGAATTTTTGGAAACAAGTAACTTTTTTAATTTCACTTCACCAATTTGGACTATAATGTGTATGCCCATTACATGAAATCCAAATAAAAATCCATTTAAATTACAGGTTGTAATGCAACAAAATAGGAAAAAACGCCAAGGGGATGAATACTTTTGCAAGGCACTGTATGTTGTGAGCAATATGTTTGGAACATCGAATTGCAATAAAATCACAGCATCGAATCGCAATGCATATAGAGTGGTAATACATATCGTATCGGGATGGAAGTATTGTGATACTACCGTATCGTGAGGTCCCTGTTAATTCCCAGCCCTACTGTTTAGTCACCTCTTTCTCGCTCACTTTGACTTTGTTGATGATGACAAGATGTATATTTGTTTTTGTCATTTGGCATAGAGGCCTTCAACCTAGACATTTCTCATGAAAATAAAGTTCCTAACCCTTCTCTCGCTCTCTCTCTCTCTGGTTGTTCCTATCAGAGTGAAGAGGATGAGCCTGACGTGGAGAGTGACTTTGACGACGCCAGCATGAACAGCGTGTCCGTGTCAGACGGCTCCAACAGCCGCAGCAGCCGCTCCAAGAAGCCCAAGAGCAAGCCCAAGAAGAAGAAGGGTCTGTACTCTGCAGGTGTGTGTCTCTCTCTTCCATGGCTATGATCAACAGTTCTGGAAAAAATTAAGAGACCACTGCAAAATTATCAGTTTCTCTGGTTTTACTATTTATAGGTATGTGTTTGGGTAAAATTGTACATTTTTGTTTTATTCTATAAACTACTGACAACATTTGTCCCAAATTCCAAATAAAAATATTGTCATTTAGAGCATTTATTTGCAGAAAATGACAATTGGTCAAAATAACAACAAAGATGCAGTGTTGTCAGACCTCGAATAATGCAAAGAAAATAAGTTCATGTTCATTTTTAAACAACATAATACTAATGTTTTAACTTAGGAAGAGTTCAGAAATCAATATTTGGTGGAATAACCTGCTTTTCAATCACAGCTTTCATGTGTCTTGGCATGCTCTCCACCAGTCTTTCACATTGATGTTGGGTGACTTTATGCCACTCCTGGCGCAAAAATTGAAGCAGCTCGGCTTTGTTTGATGGCTTGTGACCATCCATCTTCCTCTTGATCACATTCCAGAAGTTTTCAATGGGGTTCAGGTCTGGAGATTGGGCTGGCCATGACAGGGTCTTGATCTGGTGGTCCTCCATCCACACCTTGATTGACCTGGCTGTGTGGCATGGTGCATTGTCCTGCTGGAAAAACCAATCCTCAGAGTTGGGGAACAATGTCAGAGCCAATGGAAGCACATTTTCTTCCAGGACAACCTTGTATGTGGCTTGATTCATGTGTCCTTCACAAAGACAAATCTGCCCGATTCCAGCCTTGCTAAAGCACGCCCAGATCATCACCGATCCTCCACCAAATTTCACAGTGGGTGCGAGACACTGGCTTGTAGGCCTCTCCAGGTCTCCGTCTAACCATTAGACGACCAGGTGTTGGGGAAGCTGAAAATTGGACTCATCAGAGAAGATGACCTTACTCCTCTACGGTCCAATCCTTATGGTCTTTTGCAAACCTCAGCCTGGCTCTTCTTTGCTTCTCATTGATGAAGGGCTTTTTTCGAGCTTTGCACGACTTCAGTCCTGTCCCTAGGAGCCTGTTTCGAACCGTCCTCGCCGTGCACTTCACCCCAGCTGCCGTTTGCCATTCTTTTTGTAGGTTACTTGATGTCATCCTACGGTTGTTGAGTGACATTCGAATGAGTTGGTGGTCAGTAGAGAGTTGTTTTTTCGCCCTCTGCCGGTCTGTAGCTTTGTTGTCCCCAATATCTGCTGCTTGACCTTGTTCTTATGAACCGCCGTCTTTGACATTTTAAGGATGGAAGCAACCTGACGCTCACTGTATCCCTCTGTCAGTAAAGCCAGAATTGAACCCTTCTTTTCCTCACTCAAAACTTTATTTTTCAACTCTTTTGGCATGGTCAATAGTTATTTTTTGATTAATATTACATTAGAGGTACTATTAGCACTGTTTTTGCCATCCAGCTGGTCCTATTGCAAGAGGATAGTGATGACCACAGCAGTGGTTTTTATACTTTCCCTCGTTAAACAAGATTTGGTTCAGGTGATCACCTAATCAGTACCTAATTCTGTAGAATGAGGTGTGCCTGTGTTGGAAATCAACAGACACTGGAATGGAATGGCTGTCATACATGTAGAGATGCTGATTTAAGAAACATTTGCAGTGGTCTCTTAATTTTTTCCAGAGCTGTATATCTCAACCCCAAGAAGTTGTGTGTATGTATATCATCCATGGCTGTGATGCAGTATGTCTCAAACCCAATAAAAAGTGGTCTTGCGTTGCTAGACTCTACAGCTGTAGTTTGGACGTGTATGCATGTCCAATCTTATGAGTCACTAGAAGATTATACGTTTTCAGTAGGGCAGCATCCAGCGTCTATTTCCTTTAAATAGTTTGTCACACCTTTTGGCGCATTCAGCAGACAATCTTTTCCGTCAGAGCATCGATACATATTGCCCAGAAGTTTGAAATGCTTCCTAGATGCAATTGCATATGACGTACTCCACCTACACAGCAAAAGGGAGAGACAAAAAACGATGTGCATTCCATAATGTTTCATTCTACAGCACTTTTTTAAATGGTTAGTTTCGGCCGAACACTCTGATTGATTAAAATGTGCGTTCCTGCTATGGATTCCTCACAGTATGTAACCGCTAAAGTGTTATAGCCTGCACTGTTGGAGCTAGGAACACAAGCATTTCGCTACACTCACAATAACAGATGCTAAATATGTGTATGTGACCAATAAAATTTGATTTGATTACTGGTATTTCATTATGGTGCTCGTCAAACAACAACAACAACAACAACAATAATGTTGAAAGGGCATTCTTTTTTTGGTGGAGTTTTGTTCAGGAAGTACCGTATCTAGTTTGATTTGCTCTCACCCACTTCTCTCCTCCTATTCCTTCTCTCCAGTTGAGGAGGATGGTGACGGCTATGAGACTGACCACCAGGACTACTGTGAGGTGTGCCAGCAGGGAGGGGAGATCATTCTGTGCGACACCTGTCCCAGGGCCTACCACATGGTGTGTCTGGACCCTGACATGGAGAACGCCCCAGAGGGCACCTGGAGCTGCCCACACTGCGTGAGTGACACCTTCCTCAGCCAATGAATGGTTCTGTGGAGTAAGTGACAGGGCAATATGCTACTGGTCAGCCAATGATCAATTGGAGTTTGGTCGAGGGTAACGAGGAGCTATTCATATTGACAACCATTAGTCAATGATCATAAACCACTAGCTTGTAGTAATGTGGTATATGCTGGTACTATTTCCTTTCAAATTGCTCCAGTGCATAACCATCTTCGCTCCCCTACCAGTCAAACAGTTAACCCTTTCCCGTTGCTCTACTACCATTCACATTAACCCCTTCCCTCTCCCATCCACAGGAGAAGGAGGGCAAACAGTGGGAGGCGCGGGAGGAGGGCTCAGAAGAAGAGGAGGAGGAGGAGGTGGAGGCCGAGCCAGAGGAGGACGACCACCACATGGAGTTCTGCAGGGTGTGTAAGGATGGTGGCGAGCTGCTCTGCTGCGACTCCTGTCCCTCCTCCTACCACATACACTGTCTCAACCCGCCCCTGCCTGAGATCCCCAACGGAGAGTGGATCTGCCCCCGCTGCACTGTGAGTGAACTATGAGTAAATCAATGGGGTGGGACCCGGAGGGTCATTGACACGGGGCACAGCCAGTTACACAGGGTAAAGTGAATTCTACCTCCCAAATTGTAACCTATCCCCTACCCCCTTGGGTTGTGTATGGGAAAACAAAAATACTAAATGATTAAACACAATGTAACATTACCTAGCTTATCTGTAGATAAGGAGTTTTCACCATGTCATTATGATCAGTTGAGTGGTTTTTAAGACGTTTGTGACCTATTCATTGACACTTTCCTCTCCTCCTCAGTGTCCACCCATGAAGGGCAAGGTGCAGAAGATTCTGACGTGGCGCTGGGGCGACCCCCCTCCGCCCACGCCCATCCCCCGCCCCCCAGACCTCCTGGCTGACCAGCCCGACCCCACCCCTCTTGCTGGGCGCCCTGAGAGGGAGTTCTTCGCCAAGTGGAGCAACATGTCCTACTGGCACTGCTCCTGGGTGTCTGAGCTGCAGGTATGTACACAAAGACTTACGCTTGGCCACTACGTTAGAGGAAATGGCACTCGTAAACACCTACTCTCAGTTGAGTTGTTGCACATCTAATTTTTGCTTCTCAGGCGCACACACACACACAGAAACAGACATTCAAACAGACACTCTTCTTTCTCGCTGAAATGGATTAGAGAAGAGAATGTTGCGCCAACGTTCGAGAACACACACACATCCCTCTCTCACCCACCCTTTCCCTGTCTCCAGTTGGAGCTGCATTGTCAGGTGATGTTCAGGAACTACCAGAGGAAGAACGACATGGACGAGCCTCCTTCAATAGACTTCGGCGAGGGCGATGAGGAAAAGAGCACCAAGAGGAAGGCCAAGGACCCACTCTACGCCAAGATGGAGGAGAAGTACTACCGCTTCGGCATCAAGATTGCCTGGATGATGATCCACCGCATCCTCAACCACAGGTCAGACTAGACTCAAGGACTGGCTCCTAAATGTGATTCAAATGCATTTTAGTCTCATTGAGAGTTAACATTTCCAAAATAGAAGCAGATTTTTAGTTGCAAGGCCAGACACCTAGTCGTACACTTTGTAAAAAGAGTGTCTAATCAGGATTTTGCCTTCAATGGAAAGGAGAACTCCTGCACACTTGATTAACTCTGCATGTTTTGTTTGTCAGGTAAAGGTTTTATTCTCATGGTGCAAATGTGCCATTGGTCAAAGCAATAATTTAAACCAATCAGTCAACTGCTCGTCGAACATCTCATTCCAAAATCATGGGCATTAATATGGAGTTGGTCCCCCCTTTGCTACTATAACAGCCTCCACTCTTCTGGGAAGGCTTTCCACTTGATGTTGGAACATTGCTGCGGGGACTTGCTTCCATTCAGCCACGAGCATTAGTGAGGTCAGGCACTGATGTTGGGCGATTAGGCCTGGCTTGCAGTCGTCGTTCCAATTCATCCCAAAGGTGTTTGATGGGGTTGAGGTCAGGGCTCTGTGCAGGCCAGTCAAGTTCTTCCACACCGATCTCGACAAACCATTTCTGTATGGACCTCGCTTTGTGCACGGTGGCATTGTCTTGCTGAAACAGGAAAGGACCTTCCACAAACTGTTGCCACAAAGTTGGAAGCACAGTATCGTCTAGAATGTCATTGTATGCTGTAGCGTTAAGATTTCCCTTCACTGGAACTAAGGAGCCTGAACCATGAAAAACAGCCCCAGACCATTATTCCTCCTCCAGAGAACGTGTTTCCACTGCTCCAGAGCCCAACGGCAGCGAGCTTTACACCACTCCAGCCGACGCTTGGCATTGCGCAGGGTGATCATAGGCTTGTGTGCGGCTGCTCGGCCATGGAAACCCATTTCATGAAGCTCCCGATGAACAGTTATTGTGCTGACGTTGCTTCCAGAGGCAGTTTGAAACTCTGTAGTAAGTGTTACGCTTCAGCACTCGGCGGTCCCGTTCTGTGAGCTTGTGGCCTACCACTTCGCGGCTGAGCCGTTGTTACTCCTAGACGTTTCCACTTCACAATAACAGCACTTACAATTGACCGGGGCAGCTCTAGCAGGGCAGAAATTTGACAAACTGACTTGTTGGAAAGGTGGCATCCTAAGACAGTGCCACGTTGAAAGTCACTGACCTTTTCAGTAAGGCCATTCTACTGCCAATGTTTGTCTATGGAGATTGCATGGCTGTCTGCTCAATTTTATACACCTGTCAGCAACGGGTGTGGCGGAAATAGCCGAATCCACTAATTTGAAGGGGTGTCCACATACTTTTGTGTATATATAATATACCTACCGGATTTAATTGGCAAAGTTGCAAACCAAGTTTTGTCTGTTTGTGAGCTGCAGTCAGGACAAGAAGAACAACGTCCACTACCTCATCAAGTGGAAAGACCTGGCCTACGACCAGGCCACCTGGGAGGCCGAGGACATGGACATCCCAGAGTTTGACGTCTTCAGACAGCAGTACTGGAACCACAGGTGACTAATGCATTATTGCCACCTTCTCTACAGTGCGTAGGTGGAATGGAGAAGGAGTTTCTTCTTTCTCCCCTTGTCTGTTTCCGAGGGTAACACTATTCTCTCTCGTCTGTTTCAGGGAGCTGATGATGGGCGACGAGGGTAAACCAGGGAAGAAGATCAAGGTGAAAGGCAAGACGAAGAGGCTGGACCGGCCTCCTGAGAACCCTGTCGTGGACGTAAGTGGAGTTGTAACTTTTATCGGAGATATGGTTTCTCGTGATTTATCAGGTATTCTTGATCATCATAAATTGTTCAGTATCTTACTGTTAAAATGGCCTTTTAGCCTCTCCTTTTCTGCGGCTTTGTTGTTCCAATCACATGATAAATCCCTAATGGGGCGTATTTACTGCTTAGTAGTGTGTCTTGACTTCAACAGTAACTCACTGTTCTTCTCCACCCCCACCCCCCCTCTTAAGCCCACCATCAAGTTTGAGCGTCAGCCTGACTACCTGGACAGTACAGGGGGCAACCTGCACCCCTACCAGCTGGAGGGTCTCAACTGGCTGCGTTTCTCCTGGGCACAGGGCACAGACACTATCCTGGCTGACGAGATGGGACTGGGCAAGACTGTGCAGACTGCCGTGTTCCTCTACTCACTCTACAAAGAGGTATGTGTGTGTAGGAGAATGAGAGTGAAAGTGGGTCTTTCTATTTACTAGGGTACCAGTGAGGATTTCCTACGCTGGACAACTTGTTACAGCTGTTGATAAGTCATTGATAATAATCTACAAATTTCTTTTTACGTCATTACTTTAAGATATGAGGGAGAAACGTTGCTATATTCAATGAAATGCAGAAGTTGATTTAAAACCTTTATCGTGGTTGCTGTCTTTACGGATTTGTCCAAAATCATGATATAAAACATCACTTTTTTGTCCTTGCATTTATGGCAGTGTAAGTTGTCATATACATTTACATTTTAGTCATTTAGCAGACGCTCTTATCCAGAGTGACTTACAGTTTGTGAGTGCATACATTATTATTTTTATTTTTCATACCGTGGGAATCGAACCCACAACCGTGGCGTTGCAAACGCCATGCTCTACCAACTGAGCTACATCCCTGCCGGCCATTCCCTCCCCTACCCTGGACGACGCTGGGCCAATTGTGCGCCGCCCCTTGGGACATATCTCATACACTACATGGCAAAAAGTATGTGGACACCCCTTCAAATTAGTGGATTTGGCTATTTCAGCCACACCCGTTGCTGACAGGTGTATAAAATTGAGCAGACAGCCATGCAATCTCCATAGACAAACATCAGCAGTAGAATGGCCTGTACTGAAGAGCTCCGTGACTTTCAACATGGCACCGTCATAGGATGCTACCTTTCCAATATGTCAGTTTGTCAAATTTCTGCCCTGCTAGAGCTTCCCCGGTCAGCTGTAAGTGCTGTTATTGTAAAGGAACGTCAGCACAAGAATTGTTCGTCGGGAGATTCATGAATTGGGTTTCCATGGCCGAGTGCCGGCTGGGGTGGTGTAAAGCTCACCGCCATTGGGCTCTGTAGCAGTGGAAACGCGTTCTCTGGAGTGATGAATCACACTTCACCATCTGGCAGTCAGATGGACAAATCTGGGTTTGGCGGATGCCAGGAGAACGCTACCTGCCCCAATGCATAGTGCCAACTGTAACATTTGGTGGAGGAGGACTAATGGTCTGGGGCTGTTTTTCATGGTTTGGGCTATGCCCCTTAGTTCCAGTGAAGGGAAATCTTATCGCTACAGCATACAATGACATTCTATATACAATTCTGTGATTCCAACTTTGTGGCAACAGTTTGGGGAAGGCCCTTTCGTGTTTGAGCATGACAATGCCCCCGTGCACAAAGCGAGGTCCACGCAAAAATGGTTTGTCGAGATCGGTGTGGAATAACTTGACTGGCCTGCACAGAGCCCTGACCTCAACCCCATCAAACACCTTTGGGATGATAAAATAAAATTGTATTTGTCACAAGCGCCGAATACAACAGTTGTAGAACTTAGTGTGAAATGCTTACTTACATACCCTTAACCAACAATGCAGTTCAAGGAATAGAGTTAAGAAAATATTTACTAAATAAACTAAAGTAAAAAGTAACATAATAAAATAATGAGGCTATATACAGGGTGTACTGGTACTGAGTCAATGTGCGGTGGTATAGGTTAGTCGAGGTAATTTGTACATGTAAGTAGGGGTAACGTGACTATGCAAATGGATAATAACAGCGAGTAGCAGCAGTAATTTGGAATGCCAACTGCGAGCCAGGCCTAATCACCCAACATCGGTGCCCGACCTCACTAATGCTCTTGTGGCTGAATGGAAGCAAGTCCCCGCGGCAATGTTCCAACATCTAGTGGAAAGCCTTCACTGAAGAGTGGAGGCTGTTATAGCTGCAACTCTATATTAATGACCATGATTTTGGAATGAGATGTTTGATGAACAGGTGTCCACATACTATTGGCCATGTAGTGTATATTAAGGATTAATCAATATATTAGGCTTTATCTGTACAATTATATAAACTATACAATTGTATAACATCGAGTTCCTTGAAAATTACAATTTAAGTGCTTGAAAAAGGCCCTGAAAGTCCTTGAATTTGACTTGCCAATGTCTGTATGAACCCTGCTTAAAGGATGTATAGTCCTAGACCTATGTTGTTGTTGTTGTTGTATAGGTGGAGTTTGCACATATTTCTCTTAAGTACACATGTGGAACTGCATAAAAATCATTTATATTTTTGTTTCAAACCATTTTGAAATGTTTATCCCAATGTCACACATTGGCCCCATTTTATTTATAGAAATGCCCATGTGTTGAAGAGTGCCCAAGTGTGTTAGTTAACTTTCAACTTGAACTTTCAAAAGATAATAACTATAGCTTCTAAACAATGACATTTATCAACAAGTAAAAAGTTTGATGTTTTTTTGCTAAGGCTAAATGGTGAAGTGGTAGCCATTTATTTCAATAGGAACTGATCAGAAATGCCAACTTGGCAGCCCTATAGACAATACCAACCAGCCCAGCCATTTTGTATAATATGTCAGGTGAAATCTGACGACATTAAGCTTGAGCTTTGTCAACACTCTTGGGGGGTGATCACATGGAGACTACTGCCACCTATTGGTCGGAGTGTAGAATGCAATGCCTTTGACAACATATCTTAACATTCTAATTATACAAATATAAATGTTACATCATTTATATTTATTAAATTAGCTGTGGCTCAGTTGGTAGAGCATGGCACTTGCAACACCAAGGGTAGTGGGTTTGATTCCCGCTGGGGCCACCCATACAAATTGTCTTCTTTTCAATTTAAATGTTTTCTTTCCCCCTCATAGGGTCACTCCAAGGGCCCGTTCCTGGTGAGCGCCCCCCTGTCTACCATCATTAACTGGGAAAGAGAGTTTGAGATGTGGGCCCCGGACATGTACGTGGTGACCTACGTAGGAGACAAGGACAGCAGAGCCGTCATCAGAGAGAACGAGTTCTCCTTCGAGAACAACGCCATCCGTGGAGGCAAGAGAGCTTCTAAGATGAAGGTGAGAATTTTTTTAAAATAGAACTGTCGTTTTCAACAAAGTTAGTGTTCTTTTGAAGTAAGGAAATACCTGTTTTTTTGTGTCAATATGTCATGATAACATCCCTCCTTCAATGATATGCTGGTGTGCGTCACGTTTTGAACCGTTCCCCCCTGTCGTGGCCATGTAGAAAGACTCATCGGTCAAGTTCCATGTGCTGCTGACGTCCTATGAGTTGATCACCATTGACATGGCCATCCTAGGATCCATAGACTGGGCCTGTCTGGTGGTCGATGAGGCCCACAGGCTCAAAAACAACCAGTCCAAGGTGAGAGATTATAGTTGTGAGGGTTTAAAGGGCTTGCATTATGGAGGTAGTTTCTTTGTTATGTGCAACATATTCCCTTATACTTCCAAATTGTTATTTTTCCTGAATAAGGGCAATGAGGCATCCCAAATTCTATTTCTCATTATTTGGATATCCTCATTGTACAATGAAACTTCACCTAAACTGGTATGGCTGAAAGTACCATTGAGAAATACAAAAGTGTGCCTTTTTTTAGTTTAGTAACACTCTGTTTTCTCTCTCCTACAGTTCTTCAGGGTGCTGAACAACTATCCTCTCCAGCACAAGCTGCTACTGACCGGTACACCTCTACAGAACAACCTGGAAGAGTTGTTCCACCTGCTCAACTTCCTCACGCCAGAGAGATTCAGGTGTGTGTGTGTGTGTGTGCACACACATTCTGACCACATTACTCAAACATTACTTTCCCACTCAATCTCAACGACCACTTCACATCACCTGTATTACACCCCACTCATCTTAGACCAGTTATTATAGAGTTAACCATTACTTACTTTCCTGCATCTTCCTCTCTCTGTAGTAACCTGGAGGGTTTCCTGGAAGAGTTTGCTGACATCGCCAAAGAGGACCAGATCAAGAAGCTGCATGACATGCTGGGACCCCACATGCTCAGGAGACTGAAGGCTGACGTCTTCAAACACATGCCCTCCAAGACTGAGCTCATCGTCAGGGTGGAGCTCAGCCCCATGCAGAAGTGAGTGAGCGTGGGAAAGTGCATAGAGGGAGGGATATGGTGTGGTGAAGGGGTAAATTGAATAGTGGCAACCCAATTTTATGTGCTGTCTAACTTGGTTAAAGGGGTGATGTGATCAAATATATATAGTTAGAATGATTAGTTATCTTCCGTAGACTTTACTTAAACACAATCTTCCCTTGGGTTACTCAACTCATGAGAACTTTACAATAAAATTGGACTGTGGAAGTGGTATTAAATGTGGATTTTCTTATTGTCTTTTTCTTGATCTTTTTAGGAAGTACTACAAATTTATCCTCACCCGTAACTTTGAGGCCCTGAACACGCGCAGTGGTGGAAACCAAGTATCCCTGCTCAATGTGGTGATGGATCTCAAGAAGTGCTGCAATCACCCCTACCTCTTCCCTGTGGCTGCCATGGTACGACCCACATACTAATACATTTGAATGGGAATGGACCATGCTATTGGGATGGCTGGGTGGGTGGGGGGGGGGGGGGGGGGGGGGGCATTAATTTTGTATATGCAGTCTTAGATACTATTTGCATCTAGCAGTGTCATGAATATGCATTATAACTTTTGTAGTCTTTTGCTGTAAGGCTCTATATAGCTGAGGCTCTTACTCTTGATTGGTCCCCCCCAATACAGGAAGCCCCAAAGATGCCCAATGGGATGTACGACGGTAGCGCCCTCACCAAGTCTGCCGGGAAACTGACGCTATTGCAGAAGATGATGAGAAAGCTGAAAGACGGAGGGCACAGAGTTCTCATCTTCTCTCAGGTTAGTTAACCAACACAAACACACATTCAAGAAGGATTCAAACATTTCAAAGGTCTTGGATACAAAAAGCACAAACCTCACATGGACACTGCTTACTCTTGTAGATTGTGTTATAGATTTGAAGATTATTTTGCCTCTCATGCATCAACTTTATTTGTTTACTCACCGCCCATTCACTCCCTCTGTCGTAGATGACCAAGATGCTTGACCTGCTGGAGGACTTCCTGGAGAACGAGGGCTACAAGTACGAGCGTATCGACGGAAGCATCACCGGGGGCATGAGACAGGAAGCCATCGACAGATTCAATGGTGAGGCTCACCCCACACTGACTTCCTCATTCACTCTACTAGATCACTAATGAGTATACTACAATTTCAGAGTGACTATTATATAGTTGAGTCTTTAGATCTAAATTAGGTGTATATATCCTATCATTGTTTGTTATCTAGAGTGATTGATATAAATAATAATTGATGTAGAAATCAAAAAGTGGTTTCGGTGGTGGGTGTGGTCGGCCCATCGGTGCAGCTGAATTTGTTCCGGTTCCTGGGCAAGAACATTTTTAGAGGCCACTATATTGGTGCTGTAGATACAGTTTGGCATGTTTAAGCCAATTTACTGCAATTCTACACATTTCTTCATGGAAATGTTTCAGTTTTAAAGCTAATTTCCTGCGATTTAACATTCTGCCTTGGCGCTAAGAGTTTTGCAGTTTTAAAGCTAATGTTCTGCAATGCCATGGCTAATGCTGTTTTCTTATGCTCAAACATAATAACAAAATCAATAATCCTGAATTCATAGGGCCTATTGCTACCATGGATGGCCACTAGATTATCGGCAGCTGATCTCTCGTTAAATCGTCAATATGTGCTAAAATCACCTGCACAGCTGATCAGGGGTCCCACGTAGCTCAGTTGGTAGAGCATGGTGCTTGCAATGTCAGGGTTGTGGGTTCGATTCCCACGAGGGACCAGTATGAAAATATATGCAGTTAAGAGCATCTGCTAAATGACTAAAATGTCAATCTCAATTGCACCCAATATTGGTCACCTTTTAATGCTCCCTAAAGCTGATGTTGGGGTTAACTTGTAGTCCCCCTTCCAACCAAAGTCTTTCAAGATACTGTATGTTCGCCCTCTGGTCGGTATTATCATCAGAATAACTTATTCTTACTTATTGAGCAGACTAAGGGCGATTTTAATGTATTTGACAATCATTCTGTACAACTGAAATAAAGTATTGCAATTTACCCGACACGTTGTATGAATGGAAAACTAATGTTGGTGTAGCCTACTCTTTTATTAGTTTCCCCAATTTATGTAATCCAATACAACTGTATTTAAAGGAAAATTGACTTTTATGATCAGATTGGGTGTAAAATAGATTCCTTTTTTTTCATATTTGAAATGTGTAGCCTAACTAAATCAAGTCAATCGTAAATGAGTTTTTATATATATACAGCTACAGAAAAAAATAAGAGACCAATGCAAAATTATCAGTTTCTCTGGTTTTACTATTTATAGGTATGTGTTTGGGTAAAATTTTAATTTTTTGTTTTATTCTATATAAACTGACATTTCTCCCAAATTCCAATTAAAAATATAACAAAAAAGATGCAGTGTTGTCAGACCTCGAATAATGCAAAGAAAATAAGTTCATGTTCATTTTTAAACAACATAATACTAATGTTTTAACTTAGGAAGAGTTCAGAAATCAATATTTGGTGGAATAACCTGCTTTTCAATCACAGCTTTCATGCGTCTTGGCATGCTCTCCACCAGTCTTTCACATTGATGTTGGGTGACTTTATGCCACTCCTGGCGCAAAAATTCAAGCAGCTCTGCTTTGTTTGATGGCTTGTGACCATCCATCTTCCTCTTGATCACATTCCAGAAGTTTTCAATGGGGTTCAGGTCTGGAGATTGGGCTGGCCATGACAGGGTCTTGATCTGGTGGTCCTCCATCCACACCTTGATTGACCTGGCTGTGTGGCATGGTGCATTGTCCTGCTGGAAAAACCAATCCTCAGAGTTGGGGAACAATGTCAGAGCAAAAGGAAGCACATTTTCTTCCAGGACATCCTTGTACGTGGCTTGATTCATGCGTCCTTCACAAAGACAAATCTGCCTGATTCCAGCCTTGCTGAAGAACGCCCAGATCATCACCGATCCTCCACCAAATTTCACAGTGGGTGCGAGACACTGTGGCTTTTAGGCCTCTCCAGGTCTCCGTCTAACCATTAGACGACCAGGTGTTGGGCAAAGCTGAAAATTGGACTCATCAGAGAAGATGACCTTACTCCAGTCCTCTACGGTCCAATCCTTATGGTCTTTTGCAAACCTCAGCCTGGCTCTTCTTTGCTTCTCATTGATGAAGGGCTTTTTTCTAGCTTTGCACGACTTCAGCCCTGCACCTAGGAGCCTGTTTCGAACCATCCTCGCCGTGCACTTCACCCCAGCTGCTGTTTGCCATTATTTTTGTAGGTCACTTGATGTCATCCTACGGTTGTTGAGTGACATTCAAATGAGTTGGCGGTCATCCCGGTCAGTAGAGAGTCGTTTTTTCGCCCTCTGCCGGTCTGTAGCTTTGTTGTCCCCAATATCTGCTGCTTGATCTTGTTCTTATGAACCGCCGTCTTTGACATTTTAAGGATGGAAGCAACCTGACGCTCACTGTATCCCTCTGCCAGAATTGAACCCTTCTTTTGCTCACTCAAAACTTTCCTTTTCAACTCTTTTGGCATGGTCAATAGTTATTTTTTTGATTAATATTACTTTAGAGGTACTATTAGCACTGTTTTTGCCATCCAGCTGGTCCTATTGCAAGAGGATGGTGATGCCCACAGTAGTGTTTTTTATACTTTTCCTCGTTAAATAAGATTTAGTTCAGGTGATCACCTAATCAGTACCTAATTCAGTAGAATGAGGTGCGCCTGTGTTGGAATTCAACAGACACTGGAATGGAATGGCTGTCATACATGTAGAGATGCTGATTGAAGAAAAATTTGCAGTGGTCTCTTAATTTTTTCCATATGCCTAATCTGTATTCTTTTTTAAAATCAAATGAAATGCCATTTTAAGCTGAAACATTTGAATGAAATAGGCTGTAGGACTACTAGGCTACTCCTATTCTTATAGTAAGCTATTTTACATTCATCAGCCTTAGGGTTTCCGATGCTCCTGATATGTCTTTATTTCATTGGGGTGGTAATAGAGAATTTAGACGACGAAAGTTGCAGCTGTCTGATATCAACGTACGGTCATCTAAATCACTGGTTTGTTCTTGCAATCAAGCTGGTTTTAGCACGCCGGTGCATGTAATCTCAAGTTAATATGGTTTTCAGAAAACCAGCGATAACACGGTGCGCCATCGGAAGTTCTGCGTCTTCGTTGCAGTTTTTGGAATTTTTAATTCTCCCTGACTGTCTAGCTTTTATTGTGGTTCTCAAAGATTATATTGTAAAAAAATATATAGGTCCATTATCTTTTCTAGATAGTTTACCCGGTTTTAGTTGTTTAAATAGGGAATTCTCAGTAGGGGGATATGGCACCACTGGCCACCCCACCACCGTTATTGTTGGCGAGCTGAGGAGCGTCATACACACTTATTTTTGCAGTACATATTGTGCTCGTCTATTGCGAGTGCAATGATGTCCGAGGAGAAAAACCATGTTCGTTGTTTGTAGTAACTGCTTTCTTGTTGTAATATCGAACACTTATTACTGTTTCACCATTTCAGGATTCCAGCTCAAAGTTTACACTGAATGCGTTTTTCCATCCCGAAAATACAATTATAATTACTTTTTTACACTGTTTGGATTTAGGCGGCCTGAAAAAACACTTAAGCAGCCCACCCAAGCATTTTCTATGCAGAAAAATCGCTGGAAAGTGAACGATATAAAGATAAAGCAAGTGGTTGATGTAAATATAGCTAGTTATTGATGTAGAAAGTGATTGATATATAGGTATAGTGATAGGTCTGAGTGGTTGATCTGTTTGTTCCCAAGCTCCGGGAGCGCTGCAGTTTGCCTTCCTGCTGTCAACGAGAGCTGGAGGTCTGGGTATCAACCTGGCCACCGCCGACACTGTCATCATCTACGACTCCGACTGGAACCCTCACAACGACATCCAGGTAACACACTTGGAACCGTCACACACAGGCCCAAGCCCAATGATCTTCAAGAATTTGATTAGTATAAGTAATATGGTGAACCTAGCCTATCAGAGGGCAAGGTGGAGCTATTACCATATTGCTTACACCTGTCCAATCCAATCCGATCTCAACAAGTGCTTAGGGATCGATTTTAGGATTGGGCCATTCACCATCTCCTTGTTCTCCATTATATAAACGTTTATTAAGGTGGTTGCAAGGATGAAAGGTTCATACAGTTTGTCTCTGTCACTTCCTCGACTCAGGCGTTCAGCAGAGCTCACCGTATCGGACAGAACAAGAAGGTGATGATCTACCGCTTCGTCACAAAGGCCTCTGTGGAGGAGAGGATCACTCAGGTAAAGAGGCTGTCACCTCTCCTGCACCATCACAATGACCTCTTCACAACGCAACACAACAATCTGTATCATAGAAATGCTACCTTGTTGATGGATCCAATGAATGTTGTGTGTGAAACCGAGCCTTGTCTGTCAGCGCTACTCATTTAATTTCCTTGGCCTATATGGGCAGAAAGAAAGTCAATGCAGACATTGAAACGGCCATGTTTCCTACCTCTCCAGGTTGCCAAAAAGAAGATGATGTTGACCCACTTGGTGGTACGTCCTGGTCTGGGCTCCAAGACGGGCTCCATGTCCAAACAGGAGCTGGACGACATCCTCAAGTTCGGCACGGAGGAGCTGTTCAAGGATGAGCTTGGAAAGGGGGACAAAGAAGGTAAAGAAAATTCCTGCTGTTGTAAACATGGATGGCTGGGGGGATGGCTGGATAGGTGGAATAGTGGAGTGGATGGTTGTTCGTCTGTCAAATCACCTTTCAGTTGGCTTGAAAGTGAGCAATGAAATGTCCTCTTTTTATTTTTACCTGCCCACAGCAGGTTACTGGAAGCGTGTTGCAGGTGAACAGAAAACGAGCAAAGGCCAGCAGATACGAACAGTCAAATAAGCTGATAGTTTGTTGTTTATTACTTATTAGGTGAAATTATCAACATTTCTAACATTTCCCCCCCATAACTTAATCGAGCATCTGACCAGATTACATAAGGTTTTCATTCTGGGTAAACCGAGATTAATAACATCATAATGATGTGAAGATGTTTAGAGCAGATGTTGTTCAAGATAAGGTTATGAAAATGTTTAACACGTTCTGATAATGTTTAGACCATGTTCTGATAATGTTTAGATGGAACATGTCCATAATGTCATGATAATGTTCCCCAGGTGAGAACAAGGAGGAGGACAGCCAGGTGATCCACTACGATGACATGGCAGTGGACAGACTGCTGGACCGGAACCAGGAGTCCGAAACCCCGGAGGAACCGGAGATCGGAAGCATGAATGAGTACCTCGGCTCCTTCAAGGTGGCCCAGTATGTGGTCAAGGACGAGGAGGAGGCGGTAAGGGTATTTCTTGGTCATACGCCATTTTAGCAGACACTTTGATCCAAAGTGACGTTTTACATTTTTAGAAGGTCGACTCCTAAGTGGCCCAGAAGTTGTGAGTGTGTGTGTAACCGATGTCTCATTTGACACCGGCACACTTGATCAATGAATCACCTTCGCACCTCTCTCCCTCCCTCTCACTTGGCCCCCCTCAGGAGGAGGAAGTACAGAGAGAGATCATCAAGCAGGAGGAGAGTGTAGATCCAGACTACTGGGAGAAGCTGCTCAGGCACCACTATGAGCAGCAGCAGGAGGACCTGGCCCGTAACCTGGGCAAGGGCAAGCGCATCCGCAAGCAGGTCAACTACAACGACGGTTCCCAGGAGGACCGAGGTAGTAGACGGGGTAACAACAACAAACGCCATTACTTACTTACATGTGTGTGTGTCTGTGTGTGAGAGAAGCATGGCGGTATGCAATGTGTAGGAGCATGGAGGTTTGGGTGTGAGTGTCACCGATGAAGTCTTAGTAACTGAGTGGTGTCAGGTGCTCGTGCTGGTTTGATTATTCCTTACCTACTGCATGAGGCATGCCTCTTCATCTGTCACAGTTGTGGTGGGAATTGGAATTTTCATCTAATTTGCATTACCTCTTCAGAAAGGCTCTGTGTCAATTCTCAGAAAGCCTGGTAAATTTTACATTTAAGTCATTTAGCAGACACTCTTATCCAGAGCGACTTACAGGAACAATTAGGGTTAAGTGCCTTACTTAAGGGCACATCGACAGATTTTTCACCTAGTCGGCTCGGGGATTAGAACCAGCAACCTTTCGGTTACTGGCACAACGCTCTTACCCACTAAGCCCGGCGTAAATCTTCAGATACGTTAGTGATCTTCTATTCCCAACAATAATAATCCAACCTATTCAGAATTACATTATGATGAGTGGATATCTGTTCAAGTCCTTGTTAGTTTTATGTTGGAAAGACTGCTTTCCTTGTTAACTTTTGACACCTGAATACAATGCATTGCAATGGCGTGAACAACACTACCCACAATGCATTGCAAGGCCACCATTATCTCAGGCTCCTCACCAAGAGGAAGAAAATGCCAGCACCCGCCCCCACAAAATGTGGCCCTCTTTTATTCTAGTACCCCAAGAGATGGAAGAATGAGTTGGTTTGTGTGACTAAATTCTGGTTGTGTGTTTGCTTGGTTTGTGTTTTTTGTACCCCTTCCCTCTTTTGAGTTGGGAAACAGTGCATCTCTTCTCGCCTACTAACTGTACACATACTAGCTTAAACAATGTCCCACGTGGTTTGAGTCAGCTATTCACACTCGGGCACTGCTTGTGTATGTGTGGGCAAGTTGAGACACATCACCCCCATATCTGTGACGGTGGTTTCCTTCTAGCGCTCTGTACTGGTTCTGGTTGTCAACCTTTCACTCGAAGTCAACTTCCTTGTAGAATCTTCTCCCCCTTTTTGAATGTTCATCTTTTAATATTTGTTTTAATAAGTTGAAGGAAGTTTCTGGACTGTGTACTGAAACTGCTCCCCGTGTCTCTTCTGTCTCCAAGCAGATTGGCAGGATGACCAATCAGACAACAACTCGGACTACTCTGTGGCCTCCGAGGAGGGTGACGAGGACTTTGATGAGCGGGCAGAAGGTAAGCGAAAGTGTTTGTGGACAGATGGTGTCTCTGTCGGTGGTGTGTTTGTGAAGCTTAAGAGAATAACTTTTCATGTTTTCCTTTTTTTCTGGCGGTGCAGCCAACTCTCGCAGACCCAACAGGAAAGGTATGCGAGGCGACAGGGACAAGCCACTGCCCCCCCTGCTGGCCAGAGTGGGAGGCAACATCGAGGTCAGCTGTCAATCAATGTCCATCGATCACTGCACTCTGAACCAATGCTCTGCATGATTCTGAATGTGTTTGCAATTTAGCTTATCTACTGATGGGCCTACCCACCACTTGTCTCTCTGCATTCAATTGGCATATATAGAGGTTGGGGGTCAATCTGTAGACTACCTGTTAACTCAACACTAACCCTGCCTCTCTGGTGTTCAGGTGTTGGGCTTCAACGTTCGCCAGAGGAAGGCCTTCCTGAATGCAGTGATGCGTTATGGGATGCCGCCCCAGGACGCCTTCACCACCCAGTGGCTGGTCAGAGACCTGCGCGGGAAATCTGAGAAAGAGTTCAAGTGAGTAACTAACATGTTATAGTGTAAATCAAAATAGTAATGCCCTGATATTGGTTGAATTTCTCTTCTCTTTTTTTTTCATCGGATCCACTGCTCTTTTCTCCTCTTTCTTTCTTTGTCTCTCTCAGGGCGTACGTCTCGCTCTTCATGAGACACCTGTGTGAGCCCGGCGCCGATGGGGCCGAGACCTTCGCCGACGGCGTCCCCCGTGAAGGGTTGTCGCGGCAACACGTACTCACCCGCATCGGTGTGATGTCACTGATCCGCAAGAAGGTAAAGCCCAGTTCCTGTTTGGGGTAGTTGGAGGAATTCAATTCAACTGTCATACTTTTAAGTGAAAGTGTAACGGTGTTACTGGTCTTATGATGACGTATGACCCTGTGTGTCATTATCTGTCCTGACTGCGTTCTGACCATGTTTTCGACCAGGTCCAGGAGTTTGAGCACGTCAACGGCCAGTGGTCCATGCCCTGGATGATGGAGCTGGAGGAGAGTAAAAAAGCTGCAGCCGCTGCAGCTGGAGCCCACCCCGACTCCCCAGGGAAGACGCCCTCTATAGGCACGCCTGCAGACACACAGCCCAACACGCCCGCCACAGGTACAGACCGCTACATACTCTTTCACGCCCCTCTCCCTGATCCCTGCTCTTTCTGCATTTCCTATGGCTAATCCGCCTTTCCCTGCTGTATTGGCCTGTAACCCCAATCTCTGCAAGTACGTACCGTGTCTCGCAGAGTGTAGACCCTCTGCTGCGGTAATGCTTTTAACCCCTGTTCCCCTCTGTGTGCTCGCCCTCCCCAGCCCCCAAAACTCCCTCCACTGGCACACCCGCAGACACGCAACCCAACACGCCCGCCCCAGGTAAACCAACTCTGTCCCCCCCGTCTACCTCCACACCCTCTCACTGTTCCAGGACTCTTGACATGCAGGGTCAAACACTGACTCAAGCACTGCTGCTGCTATGTTGGTTTTAGTGAAACCACAATAGAATAAGAGTGTTTAGTGTGTAAAATGTGGAACTGTCAATGAATGCTTAGCGATGTGGAAATTGGATAAAATATGATGTTCTGTTGGTTTAGCAGACGATCCGTCGAAGACTGAAGACGCTGTGAAGGACGGCGAGAAAGAGGAGAAGAAAGACGGAGAGGTGGAGAAGGAGGAGTCCGGAAAGACGGAAGACCCAGAGGTAAAGAATGATACACTTGGTCAATAGACTAGAATAGGGCAATGGCTAACCAAAGCCAACCAATGTATCATACTTGTACATGGGGTATTGATACCACGGTATATCATTGTTGTGAAGTTTGAGATTGAACTCCTTATCCAGAATGCTTAGGGTTAGTTTAGTAAGTTTTTTAAAACGTCTGTGTGTTCTGTGCTTCTGGTTGTAATAAATGTTCCTCTCTTACAGATAATTCCGATCCCTGATAAAGATGAGAAGACTCCTTCCCCTGAACAGAAAGGGAAGGAAACAGAGGAAGAAGAGCCCATGGAAACAGAAGAGCCTACCAATGGAGAGGCGGGAAAGGAGAAGGATGACGAGACTGCAGAGAGGAGTGCTGAGGGAGGAGAGGAGAGGGGAGGAGAGGAGACCAAGTCTCCAGCAGCAGAGGCCAAGATGGACGTGTCGGAGGTCAAATCTGAAGACTCCGAGGCCAAAGGTGATGTCCTAATAAAATATGCTTCAGTACAATTTTTCCATAGTACCTTTTCTATTATACACTCGTTTGCTAATGTCTCCCCCTCTTTCTCTCCATCCTCCTGGATTTGCAGCAAAAGAGAAGACTGAAAAGATGGACACCACTCCTGCCTCAGAGGAAAAGAAAGGTAGCTCCTCTCTCCATTTCCTCTCTCGCTCATTTTACCCTACTGTCGGTCCTGTGCCTTGCGTTGGTTGACGTTTCTGCTTCACCCCATTTTCTATCTGATTCTGTCTGCAGAACAAAAGGAGGTGAAGGAGGGCGTGAAGGCGGAGGAGCTGGCCAAGCTGCAGAACGGGGACAGTGTGAAGGATGGCGTGAAGGCGGAGGAGCCGGCCAAGCTGCAGAACGGGGACAGTGTGAAGGAGGGCGCGGCGGCCGGAGTCAGTGAGGAGAAGAAGAAAGCCAAGACAAGGTTCATGTTCAACATCGCCGATGGAGGATTCACAGGTAAGAGGACTGGAGTGTCACGAGGGAAAGAATACGCACACATGCACAGATCTCAACTCTGTCTCAATTGAGTTTCGGTTGGTTTCATACACATGTTAAGCACTACTCTTGGACTAAACTGCATTTACAATGGTATCAAGTTCAAGTCTCAATTGTTACTTCAGGGAATCACTGTTCTCCCCCCTACAGAGCTGCACTCCTTATGGCAGAACGAGGAGAGAGCCGCCACCGTCACCAAGAAGACCAATGAGATCTGGCACCGTCGCCACGACTACTGGCTGCTGGCTGGCATCATACAGTATCCTTTTATACCAGTGTTGACAAACTATGCTGCCCACTGTGGGTCTTTGCAAACAAACATTAGTGCAGCACTCTCCAAATGACAGAACTCAGTGATTTACTGTCAAATCTTTCTCTTCAAAATGTAACCGGTGCAACACTCATTGGAAAATTAGACCCATGGGGCGGCGCACAATTGGCCCAGCGTCGTCCAGGGTAGGGGAGGGAATGGCCGGCAGGGGATGTAGCTCAGTTGGTAGAGCATGGCGTTTGCAACGCCACGGTTGTGGGTTCGATAAAATAATGTATGTGCTAACTGTAAGTCGCTCTGGATAAGAGCGTCTGCTAAATGACTTAAATGTAAATGTAAAATTGGCTCCACGGTGGACTGCCTGTAGCAGCAAAAAGTACCATCTCAACATATCTATTAACTATGACCAGCTTCAAGTATTGGTCAATGGTCACATACATTAGGCCAATATTGGTCATACCGCAAACAGTGGGGCCAGTCTGTTTTGTTTTTCCCTTGACTCTGGCGACCCCTAGACACGGCTACGCGCGCTGGCAGGACATCCAGAACGACGTGAAGTACGCCATCCTCAACGAGCCCTTCAAGGCTGAGATGAACCGAGGCAACTTCCTGGAGATAAAAAACAAGTTTCTGGCCAGGAGGTTCAAGGTATAAAGGCCTTTATTAACGATTATCATTTATGAGCCAACCCTTCTTATGTTTGTCAGCAGTTCTCATTTTCACTCTTATCGCATACAGGTTTGTTGTGCTCCATGTACACGCCATGCATTTGAATTGATGTATTCTTATCCACCCCTCTGCTTCCCCATCTCCTCTCGTCCTTCCTCCCCCTAGCTGCTGGAGCAGGCTCTGGTGATCGAAGAGCAGCTTCGCCGGGCGGCCTACCTCAACATGTCGGAGGACCCTTCCCACCCCTCCATGGCCCTCAACACGCGCTTCAGCGAGGTGGAATGTCTGGCCGAGTCCCACCAACACCTCAGCAAGGAATCCATGTCGGGGAACAAGCCCGCCAACGCCGTCCTGCACAAAGGTAGCTAGCCAGCCAGCACTCGCCTAGTACGCATGGGTCGAGTTAATTTAGGGCACACTGTAGAATAATGTTGGCAACGGAAAATTAAAATGGTTCCTATGGTACCTCCCCATTTCACTTTGTGTCTGACTGTTTTGTGCCTACTGAACATGACCCTGTGCAAAGGAATAGGAAGAATAGTCTCTTTGCTGACATAAAACAGACCATAATACATTTCTCAACCTAACCTAAAGTACCTTAAGGCTTAGTTGACGATTTGTAAAGTTAATAATAATGAATATGCTGCGTCATTCAAATCATATTACTAGCTAGCTAGTTAACCAAATATAAACTTGCCATAATCAGTCCTGCAATTCCGTGGGCCACCACCAGATATTACAGTTAATCTATAAACATTCTACATTCTATAAACCTCTACATTCCTGTTCGGCACAGCAGAAGATGATGCGCCCAAGCTTGGAATCATGGCCCTTTTTATATATTTATTTTTGTGTGTGTAAGTTGGCAAGCACTTCCAGGTTCTCATTCTCTCTCTCGCTTTCCCTCTCAGTGCTGAAACAGCTGGAGGAGCTGCTCAGTGACATGAAGGCAGACGTGACCCGTCTCCCGGCAACCATCGCCCGGATACCCCCAGTCGCAGTGAGACTCCAGATGTCCGAGAGGAACATCCTGAGCCGCCTGGCCAGCAGAGGCCCCGAACCACAGCCTCAACAACCGCAGGTAAGCACCCACCCCAAAGAGGAGTGTGTGTGTTAATGTTTTGTATACGAGTCTTGTCATGTTTTGTAATGGGGTTGTTGCGTTCTTTCTTCTACAGCTGTCACAACAGTAGCCTGGCTTAGGCTTGGCACCCTTGAACCCCACCACCTCTACATTCCTGATCGGCACAGCAGAAGAGGATGCGCCCAAGCTTGAAACCACGGCCCTTTATATAATATGGACTTGCAGCGTTCCTACAGGCTGACTCCTGGACACTGTGGAAATAATAGCTATTTTATTTTTACCTTTTGTTTTGACTTTATTAATATTATTGTTATAATGTTATTATGATGGTTTTTTGGGACCTAAATAAAAATGTAATAAAGGATTTTGTTTGTTTTTATCATGCGATGGGGGGGGGGGGGGGGGGGTTTGGAGGGAATATGATTCAATGGTGTATATGCAAGGCTATGAAAATATACAGAACAGGGAGGATCTATCTAATCACATAAGTGACTGAATATTAGTTTTTACCTCTTTTTGTTCCAGTCAAGATAATTCATTTAGACATTGAAGTAACAGACAGATTGATGATTAGGAAATACTGTGCTTTTATGTAACCCACCCAAGACTTGTAATTACATTTTAGTAATTTAGCAGACACTCTTATCCAGACTGACAGTTAGTGAGTGCATACATTTTTTCATACTGGCCCCCCGTGGGAAACGAACACACAACCCTGGCGTTGCAAGCGCCATGTTCTACCAGCTGAGCTACACAGGGCCACCAGTTGGGGAACCCTGGCGTAGGCTGTGTAGGGCCCTTTTATATGATAAAGGAAATGCCCAGACCTTAGTGGTACTGTGTGGCTCAGATAGGAGCTTGGTGGCAACAATGCCAGTGTTGTGTGTGTTCGATTCCCACTGGGGCCAGCCATATGAAATTGTATGCACTCACTGATGTTAATTGCTTTGGATGAAGTCTCAAATGACATCAATTATTACCAGGTAAAATCAAATTCCCATGAACCCGGTGGAGGCACACAGAATCTCTTCAAAATGTCTAGTGTTGCACAGACATTGTTTAAATAGAGGGAGTATAAAGAACACTATTTTGATGGCAATATTCTGACGCACAGCACAACTGCAAAGAAGACGACCTGGAACGCGACCATAATTCAATTGGATGACGTTATCACATTACGTCTCAACGGAAGTAGCGGTCGATAACTTTGTGTTTGTGCGGCGAAAGCTATGGAACTTACTATCAACAAATCCAGAGCAACATTACCGACAATGGCATTGGCAGATGATTTCGGAGGGACATGGTCCCGGGAGGAGGCAAAAGCGCTTATCGCCATATGGTCAAACGAACAGATTCGTCAGACGTTGGAACAAAGTTATAGACAGAACACTACAGCGAAATTTCGGAGTGGTTAAACGACCATGGCTTCAAAAGGACTTGTAAGCAGTGCCAAATAAATATAAAGGACATGAAGTATAGGTATAGACAAACACTAAGGAACCCAAGCAGTAGTGGCCGAGTGACCTGTCCATCCTTTTCTGAACTGCACACATTTCTCGCCTCCAAGCCTAATATGCCTCAGTCTAAGGAACTCAACGATGAGGAAGATAATGGTAAGCAAATTCAGCTATGTGAAGCTATAACATCAAGACCTTCTAGTGTTGGTTGAATTTGCTATCATGGTTAGCGTCTGGTTGAATTAGCTAGTTAACGGTACTTAACAGCACTCAGTTACTTTATTAAAATGTATTGCACTAGTAACAGTATTGAAACTTCAGTTATTTGCAGTATAAATGTATTATTTTGGACGCAGTGAACTAGCTACAAAATTACTGCACTGTTGACAACATACTGCAGTAACACTAGCCTGAGTGCCAGTCTGTCTGTGCTCTCATGTCAACTCCTTATCACTCGATCATTGTCATGCCAAACAAAAACTGTGAGCTGGAAAGTCACTAAATGTTTACTTTCCTACCAGGTCGTCCTCTTCCTCTGTCACCTCTGTGCCTTTTGGTTCCTCCTCTGCAGCTCTATGGCAAGTTGTTCAGCGGAGAGACAAATGGACTACGGGTTGGTGGAGGAGTTTGTAACCACTGTGTTGGAGATAATCCCTGATCTGATGAGAGAAAGTCCAACTCATCATCGGGCTATGAGCACAGGTGAGAGATACCATACCTACTACACTGGGGTGTCGCAAACACAGCCTGTCATTGTAGGTTTTTCAGCTGCTACCTGGGAAGTGTATCCTGGAGGCAGCACAAGCACAGTGAGACACTTGATCAAGTGTTATCGGGCGTTTGTGTGTAACAGATGTCACTGTGCTTGCTTAGCCGTATTCTACCAATTCCTCCCGCACCAGCTCAAACAAAACTGGAACCCGGGACCCTTGCCTCGCAATCACGTGACCGCCCTCCTTGACAATGTCCTAGCCAGTTAGCCACTGAAAAGTTAGCAATTCCGTTGCACGGTTGGACATATTTTATGTTAGTGGTGTGTCAAATTCATGAGGGGTAGGCTATGACATAACTGCTACACCGAGGCGTTGTGAAAGCAGTCTGTTACACTGAAGTGCAGGGGCGGCCTGTTCAATAGGGCGATATGGGCGACGCACTGCCAAACGGGAAAAGGAAGGGATTTTTTTTCTAATCAATTATATCACGGCAACAGTAGTTATCAGTGTTGTAATCTATACGTCTGATCTGCCACAGTGCCACACTGCCACTAAATGTCGAATCAGGCTAAAGTCGTGCTTCAAATGGCTCCCCCCCCTTTTGGGGCGATTTCAGTCAGGTTGAAAATCGCCCAGAAGTCTGTAATAGACTCCCATGTAAAATCTATTTTTTTCAAATTTCAGAGCCTTCAATACAATCTCAATGGGTGTCTGTGGGCTTGCACTTACGCGCTTTCGTCATACGTTACGTAACCATGAACGTAACTGAGAAAAGAGTGGATTGTTTGAAAGAAGTTCCTTTTTGTCGGCGAACAAATGGAGATAAATTGGCAACGAAACAATTAGGACCTCCCAGACCAAATTTAATAATTCAACAGGTTTCTACTAAAGGCGGAAAGTCCTACACCCGAGGATTTTCCAAAAATTGGTACGAACGAAAAAAGACATTGCCACTCACTCAACTGGATGACGAGGGATACAGGCTAGCTGTCCGCCGCCACAACGATGAGGTTAGTGTTGATAATCACAAGTTTACTGGATGTGGATATGGTGTAATAAAGGCAGTTTATTCAGAGGTAAATATATCTGGAATCGCGTTCACGGACCCGTTCGTCAAACTCTTAGGGAGCTATAAATTAAGCCCCATTACTTACCATATCAGATAAGAGAAATTGCTGCAGCTACATATATTTTACATCCTGGCCCTACATAGTTCACTATTTGCATCACTTACCAAAATATTACATGTGGTCATATATGCTTGGAAAGTGGAGATGCCATAGAACGTCAAAAAAGTAAACATTGCTGGAGACACATTGCCGTTTTGGAGAAGACATCGCGTTTGCTAGCGAAGAGATTTGTTGTGGCAAATGAACTTGGGCTGGGAATTGCCAGGAACCTCACGATAAGATATATGCATCAGCATTGCGAGTCTCATGATTCTATACGTATTGCGATTCGATACTGTGATTTTATTGCGCACCATATGTCTGTTGCAGAGCGATCAGAAAGCCATGAGAACGAGTTTTGATCAGTCATGGAAATAAAAGTGCTGAAAACAAATTTGCTCCCAATGTGAAAAGATTGAGAACAAGCTATGAAGGAACAATAATGGTGTTTTGGTGCAGGTACAGCCAACTAGCGCTAAAATATTGCGATATTGTCAATACAGTATATCGTAAAGTATCACTATGTAACTCGATTTTTTTCACCCCAATCCCTCAAATTAACGGTAAATAACTGAATTGTTTGCCCCACATTTAGCTAAGATGATTAGCTAGCCAGCTAAAATGTTTTATTTAGTTAGCAGTCGCATCTACAATAGTTTACTGTCAATAACATGTCTCCAAAAATGACGTGGTGTCTCCAATTGTGTTGACATTTTACAATTGCAATGCGCATCCATGAGTATCCACTTTCTGTAGCTCAGCTGGTAGAGCATGGTGCTTGTAACGCCAAGGTAGTGGGTTCGATCCCCGGGACCACCCATACACAAAAATGTATGCACGCATGACTGTAAGTCGCTTTGGATAAAAGCGTCTGCTAAATGGCATATTATTATTATTATTATTATTATTATTATTATCTGAAGAGAGCCCCGAAACATTGTGTGCAGACATTTTATGCAATAAATGAAGTAGGTTCAATCTAGTAGTTCTGATCTTCTGATTGGTCCTGATGAGTTGGGCGAGGTCCCCTGCAGGCTACTGTCACTGTTGCATTGGCTCTGAGTCGGGTTCTCTGTCTTCAAATGTTCAGCCTAAGAGAGGGGATTTTTGTGTGTGTGTGTGTGTGTGTGTGTTTAACAGTGATGATGTGTGTGTGTGTGTGTTTAACAGTGATGATGTGTGTGTGTGTGTGTGTTTGTATGTGTGTGTGTCCTCAGAGCAAGAACTCGTGAGTTGGAAGAACTGAGAGGCCTATGGCGTGGGTGTTGTCCTTGGCCACCTGCTGACAAGGCTGACAAGATAGGACCCTTTTGTCCATTGTTATTGGATAGGAACAGAACTTATAACCAGCTCCTGACCTAAATAGATCTTAGCACAACATTTTACTCAACATATCATATTCCATATTCACTATAACAAATATATTTACTACGACATTAGCAAGAACCGCCACATCCTCAGCCGGCTAATCCAGTGTGTGAAGTTTTGCGGAGTGTTTGAGTTAGCTTTGCGAGGCAAAGATGAAACTGAGGGCTCCACCAACCCTGGTAAGCCAACACTTTTGAGATCAGTCAATAAATGCTTCTGGTATTGACTTATATGCTGCCCCTGTCTTCATGTTGTTGCTGGACATATATTTTTTTAAATGTGTGTAGGTCACCTAAATCATCAGAAAAATTGCCCCTCCTGAGAATTTTTTCAGGAGCCGCCACTGCTGAAGTGCATGCCGGCAGTAATTTTATAAGCCACTTTATTAAGTGTTCACAGGCGTGAGCCACACATCCAATTCTTGAAACTAGAACCAGAACGTAATTTTACTCTGAGCACCAACACTCGCAGAGCCGCACTGCTCACACCAAGGTTTCATTGAAAATAATGGGAGCTCATTCCTGGCAAGAAGAGTTACGCTTCCAATGTAACAGGCTTGTAAAAAGTTGTTTCACATTGTTTTGTAGAAATTGCCTGTGGATTCAGTGTCAAATATTATATTTCACACGCCATAATCATTGATTATTCCTCTACAGTAGGGGCCCCTACAACTATACTTTATACCAACTACTGCCTGCTATAACTTTATTATACCCTACTCACTGTAGGCTTATGCCAGATTGGTTTGCGTCACTCCAGAGAGAACACTGCTCCAAAGTCCAATGGCGGCAAGCTTTACACCACTTCAGCCGACGCTAGGCGTTGCGCATGGTGATCTTAGGCTTGTGTGCGGCTGCTCGGTCATGGAAACCCATTTCATGAAACTCCCGATGAACAGTTCTTACATTTTTCTTGTGCTGACGTTGCTTCCAGAGGCAGGAACTCTGTAGTGAGTGTTGCAACCGAGGACAGACAATTTTTATGTGCTTCAGCACTCGGCGGTCCCGTTCTGTGAGCTTGTGTGGCCTACAACTTCGCGGCTGAGCCGTTGTTGCTCAAAGACATTTTTCACTTCACAATAACGTCACTTACAGTTGAACGGGGCAGCTCTAGCAGGGAAAATAAAATGGACGAACTGACTTGTTGGAAAGGTGGCATCCTATGACGGTGCCACGTTGAAAGTCACTGAGCTCTTCGGTAAGACCATTCTACTGCCAATGTTTGTCTATGGAGATTGCATGGCGGTGTGGTCAATTTTATACACCAGTCAGCAACGGGTGTCGCTGAAATAGCCAAATACACTAATTTGAAGGGGTGTCCACATACTTGTGTTTGTATATATAGTGTGATGTATGTCCTAATAATAGATAAAGGAAACCTGATGTAAGCAAATAACACAAAAACGAAGGTCCTTTTTCATGTATTTATTGTCTGTCAGAAAGGATGCTAACATGCTCTCACCAATAACAGGGGAGGTTAGCATTGTTTGGGTGGTATGATCTTAATTTGCCTCTATAACCTTCTCACTCATCATTATTCAGTCTTTTCATGATTATCCATAATCATGGTAGCAACCACATGAATGTAGAATTGTTCAGAAACATTCCATAATTGTCACAACCCTACCAGAAACACCCAAAACAAAAACTGCAAATGCATCCAACGAGTTTGAGTTACAAATAATATAATATAATATGCCATTTAGCAGACGCTTTTATCCAAAGCGACTTACAGTCATGCGTGCATACATTTTTGTGTATGGGTGGTCCCGGGGATCGAACCCACTACCTTGGCGTTACAAGCGCCGTGCTCTACCAGCTGAGCTACAGAGGACCACACAAGCCAAATTCTAAACCTTTGACAACCTTAATACACTTTATTGAGCTGATTTAATCTAGAGGTTCACATACTTTTTCCAACAAAGAAATTGAATGTTGGATCAATTTGCTCAATAAAGAAATGAAAAGGTACACGTTTTTGTGTGTTTTGTTTAATTGTTACTCTGACTCCCTCTGGTGGCATTTTCTAAATTACGCATACTATTGTACACTACCCTCATTAAGTACATTTAGGTTTCTAAACTATAAGTCTTACAAACACATGCTTAGTACTGTTAGAAAGGTAAACACTGTGGGATTCAGGTAAAGGTGTCAGAACAATGTGACTACTACAGAGCCCAAGATGCTATTTTTTCAACAAATAAACCAGTAATTTTTTTTTTTTTTTTTTTGGGGGGGGGGGGGGGGGGGGGGGGGGGGGATTTTGGGGAATAAGATATTTGAAAGTCTAGATAAAATATGTCACCAATTACTGTTCTAAAATAAATTAAAATCTCAGGTCTTTTACCAAATGGTGGTGTTCTAAACATGTGCAAATCCCCATTGGAACACATCCACTTTAAAAGTGCAGGGCTTGTGCAACGTGCCATACCTTCATCTTACAGGAATGATATACATATGAGGAGAAAGCTGAAGTCTCCATCTATCCATTGATGTAAATATATCCTCGGTCTGATTCCCAGTTCGTCCACTAGACAGCAGTAGGAGATCACATGACGTCTCTTGGCCACTTGAAACCAGTTGTCTGGTTTGGGTAGTGAGTCACTGTGCCAAAATGGCTGAACGGATTTTCAAGCATGACATCTTTTAAAATTACCTTAGCAGTCAGTGCTTTCGAGTTAAGGAGTAAAAAAATAAGACAAAGGTGAAGAAACTTCAAACTTCTTTTCCCATTCACTTTTCCTATTGTAAACGTTTGAGCTAGCTTAATGGTGCATGTGGAGGATGCATCCAAGGTAATGTGGATGGAGAAGGAAATGCATTGCTTTACAATGACCATCAGGGTGGACCCTTTCCATGCATACTAAATGTTTGCACTCTTGGTGACTTGACCTACATTGCATATTCTATGAATATGTCCATAGCGCAGCATTTATGGACATTGGGGGGGATTCTTATGACAGTAAGATTTGAGTTCGATTTCCCCCCAAAAAAGGCCTGTAACTTTCAAATAATGTCACTTTCTATTTTCAAAACCTCACCGGGCCCTGTACGGGGCGCAAAACAACCGCTCAGATTTTTACTGGTTAATCAGGTTCACTTTATCTATTAGTAGGAATTAGATGAAAATCTGATCCCATTTTAGGTCAAATTTATGCAGAAATACAGAAAATCCTAAAGGGTTCACAAACGTCCTCTTACCACTAACTCTGCTGGCTAGGTTAATTTACTAACTGTGTTATACATACTTGCTGTAGATAGATACAGAGGTCGAGGCATCAGAATCAAACTTCTTGGAACTTGTCCAAACGCTTCTAGATGACCCAAATAAGAGGGAACACTTCTTCCAGGTTGGTGTGAGAACAATATTTATAAAACAGACATTTAAATCAAGGAGGTTAACTGAACGGCAGTGGATGCACAATCGATTCCACATCCTATTCCATTGAAATCCTAGTTACTGGCTTACTCGGTACTGCTGAACCTCAACTTGTATGCATTAGAAAGGAAACGTGCCAAAACGACGGCTGGACGATTGCTTCTGATCAAAACACCGGTTGTAATTTGATGTCCTGTCTTCTAGGAAGTTTTTCCAGAAGAATTCGGCCCCATGTATGACACAGCACTGCAGACTCTGATGTGGGAGTTCCTCTCCAGGCTGGAGAAGCTGCTTCCAACACCAACATTTCAACAGGTAGGTGCAATTTGGGAAGAGACAATAGTGGCAATCTTGAATTTCTGATGTCGTTGATATCTGGTTGTACTAACAGGAAGTTGCCCCACTGTGTATTATGTTGTCATATTGTCTACCATACATTGTTGTTGTTATTTGGTCAATTTAATTTGTTGCATATTTAAAACCACCTCCCGTTCTCAGACTGCGCCTCCCGAGTGGCGCAGTGGTCTAAAGCACTGCATCGCAGTGCTAGCTGTGCCACTAGAGATCCTGGTTCGAATCCAGGCTCTGTCGTAGCCGGCCGTGACCGGGAGACCCATGGGGCGGCGCACAATTGGCCCAGGGTAGGGGAGGGAATGGCTGGCAGGGATGTAGCTCAGTTGGTAGAGCATGGCATTTGCAACGCCAGGGTTGTGGGTTCGATTCCCACGGGGGGCCAGTATGAAAAATTAAAAAATAATGTATGCACTCACTAACTGTAAGTCGCTCTGGATAAGAGCGTCTGCTAAATGACTAAAATGTAAATGTAAATGGCTCAGACCTGCCCCCTCTATGCTGAAGGAGTGTGCACAGTCTGTGACTCAACCTCAGCCTTTGAAGACCCTTCTCCAGCACCACAGATGCCATGACCATTTGTTCACTAATGGTAGGCTTTTTGTTGAAATGTTTCCATCTCTGTTTTCATACAGTGGCAAATTAGATTGATTACATTCGAATCATTGTTGCATACCACCTGCTAGAGACTCACACAAGTCAGCCACAATTAAAAAGCTCCCAGTAATCAATGACACTTGTTATACCGGCCGCAGACGACATGTGTCTCTAAGACTGATGGAGTGGTTTTGATTTTGATCTGTAAGACGTGCCTCTGGTAATATTCAGTCAAACAATGGACATTGACAGTGTGCAGAGTGTAGTTGCATTTCTTTTCAGAGAAATTAGGCCTAAGATTGCAATTATGTTTTGGTTTTAGTTTAGAAAAGACAAATATTGAGCCTCCCGAGTGGCGCAGCGGTCTAAGGCACTGCATCGCAGTGCTAGAGGCATCACTACAGACCCGGGTTCGATCCCGGGCTGTATCACAACCAGCCGTGATCGGGAGTCCCATAGGGTGGCGCACAATTGGCCCAGCATCGTCCGGGTTAGGGGAGGGTTTGGCCGGGGGGGATTTACTTGGCTCGTCGCGCTCTAGCGACTCCTTGTGGCTGGCCGGGTGCCTGCATGCTGACCTCGGTCATCAGGTGAACAGTGTTTCCTCCAACACTTTGGTGCGGTTGGCTTCCGGGTTAAGCGGGCGAGTGTTAAGAAGCGTGGTTTGGCGGGTCATGTTTCGGAGGACGCATGACTCGACCTTCGCCTCCCGAGGCCGTTGGGGAGTTGCAGCGATGAGACAAGATCGAAATTGGGGAGATAAAGGGGATAAAAATACAAAATAATACAAAGAAAATACAAATATTTGATTACGTATGTTTTCTTTTTCCTTTCAGGTCATTCATTTTGTGTCGATGATTGCATCCTCTCTTCTCTGTCTCACTCACTCTCAGAGAGGATAGAAATGGACATTGATGAAGCACGCTCACATAGCCAGTCTATAGCCACATGTGCACCCAGAAATGAAAGGGACACTTTTGATAGAGCAAGATAATGCAGAGAAGGAGCGGGGGATGAGTTTGGACACGGTTAAGAAGGCAGTGGAAATGATGGATAGAAGGACAGAGGAATGGGGAGAGAACAACTATGAGGAGAGACTGCAACATCAGTTGGCTTAAGATGTTTTACAGGTAGAGATTGTAGATGGAGAAGACATGTCCTCAACGTCATCGACAACAGCCGACAATGTCGGATGGACCTGGTCTCCGGAGGATGGTCAAACAAACAGATTCGTCAGAAGTTTGAGCGAAGTTCTAGAAACACGTGTATAGCGACATTTTGGAGTGGTTAAACGACCATGGCTTCAAAAGGACTTGGAAGCAGTGTCAAACAAATATAAAGGACATGAAGTTCAGCAACAGACAAACAGTGAGGAACCCAAGCAGTAGTGGCCGAGTGACCTGTCCATTATTTTCCGAACTCCACACATTTCTTGCTGCCATGCCTGATATGCCTGGGTCCAAGGTTTCAGATGGAGAAGTCATGTCCTCAGATCAGGATGAAGGGCCTTCTGTGGATGTCAAGTTAGAGAATCTACATGAGGAAATGGCTTCCAGAAAAGAGACACACAAGACACTCACCGGAGAGCAAACAGAAGAGAGGAAATGGGATGAGGCTTTTCACAGCCCTCAATGTCACAGCAGAATGAAAATCAGAAGAATATCCCACCGTTGTGAACAGATGGTTGAAGACAAGTCAGATTTGTCCCTTCAGCCCATAGAAGAGCTTTCAGATAAAGAAGTAATGTCCTCAACATCATCGACAATGTCAGACGATGACAGACGGATACAGAACTGGAACTTGCATGAGACAAAGACGCTTATCGCCATATGGTCAAACAAACAGATTCTTCAGGAGTTGGAGCACAGTTATAGAAAAAAACATGTACAACATTTCAAAGCAGCTAAAGGACCTTGGTTTTAAAAGGACTTGGAAGAAGTGTCAAACTAAAATAAAGGACATGAAGTACAGCTACAGACAAACACTGAGGAACCCAAGCAGTAGTGGCTGAGTGACCTGTCCATTCTTTTCTGAACTGTACACATTTCTTGCTGCCATGACTAAAATGCCTGGGTCCAAGGAAACTGTCAAGGTTTCAAATGAAGTCATGTCTTCAGATCAGGATGAAGGGCCTTCTGTGGATGTCGAGTTGGAGCATCTAAATGAGGAAATGGTTTCTAGAAAAGTGAAAGACAAGACACTCACTGGAGAGCAAACCAAAGAGAGAAAGGGGCATGAAGTGTTTCACAGTCCTCAATGTCACAGTATGAATATTGGAAGAAAAACCCACTGTTGCCAACAGGTGGTTGACAACGTGTAATTTGGAACTTAAGCCCGTAGTGCTGCTGACCCAACAATGTTCTGATGACGGGTGAGTAAAACATATATATATATATAATATATTTATTTATTTATTTGTTTTGTATGTATTGAACTTATATGTGTAATAAATGTATTCCAAGGCTCAAGTTAAGGTTGAGAGTGACATCTCTATCCTCTGTGTCCTTTAACAATGGTACTTCTCTCCTCTCAACACCAGGTGGTGCTCCTCGTCCTGTTTCCCATACCACAGGGCAGTCTTCTAAAAGAAGCAAACGTGCCAAAATATGCTCCTTATGTGGGGAAAGTTTTTTTGAAGCAAAAGATTTGACAACACACATGAGAACTCACACTGAGCAGAGCCCTCACCAGTGCACCCAGTGTGGGGAAGGCTTTGAACTTCAGGACGACTTACAAAAACATCAGCAGAATGAGTGTGATGAGATGATGAACCAACAGGAGGCCAATGAACACCAGCATGGAAAGGACAGGATCTCAGGACAGTCCAGTAATGCAAGTACTGATCCCAAAACATGCCATCTATGCCATAATACTTTTTTTTTATTTCAATATGTGTTGAAAAAGCATCTTATTGTATTTCAAAAAGGCAGAAGCATTTTTATGTGTCATCTCTGTCTAAATGGTTTTGCCTTCCTCAGTGCTTTGAAGAAACACCAGAGCAACAAAAGAGGTTGTCCTTCAAGTGAAATCATCAATAAGAGGGAGCTATGGTCAAATGAAAACTTAGTCGGAGGGAAATGGACCCACGAGGAGACTAAAGCACTGATCTCTGTATGGTCAAACAAACAGATACTTCAAGAGTTGGAGAATATATATATATATATATATATATAAAAAACAGTCTACTACGAAATGTCAAAGCAGCTAAAGGACCATGGCGTCAAAAATTTTTGGAAGCAGTGCCAATTAAAGATAAAGGACTTGAAGTACAACCACAGACAAACACTATGAAGCCCAAGCAGTAACCGAGCGTGTCTATTTTTTTCTGACCTGGACACATTTCTCACTGTGAAAAAAAGGAGGGAGCTAGGTTAAAAAAACTTGTGCTAGTGTCATTCCAGAATTTTCCTTAAATACAAATAATTCCAAAACATGCCATGTGACTTTTTCACAAACGTCTAGTTTGAAAATATACTATTTTTACCATCATGCCCCAGACCAAAGCTGCTTTAAGTGTCCCTGATGTTTGAAGGCTTTTGTATCCCACAGTCAAATGAAGAGACACCAGCAGAGCAAAAGAGGTTGTCAGTTACAGTGCACAAAAATGGGAGTAAGCCAGCATGGTCACTGGCTCCTAGGGAAAATATGAGATTCCTCAGCCTTCCAGTACAGCAACCCAGGAACCAACAACCTCTCAAGTTCCCACCACTACAGCACAGTCCTCTAATAAAAATACTATTCCCAAAGCATGTCCTATATGCCATAAGACTTTTAAATTTGAAGCTACCATGGTAAGGCACATTGAGACTTTCCTTTTGGTGAGAAGCAACAAGTGCCCTGACATCTTGAAGTGCACCATTTGTGAAGCGATGTTCTCTTGCGGCATGGACCTGAAGAGCCACAACTGTCATACAATTTACAGGACTGTTTTCCTGCCCTTCTTGTCAGAAGACTTTTGTTTAAATAACTGAGCTGCGCTTACATCAGAGAAATGAGTCCACTCCTTACCAGTGTTATGTGTGCCAACGATCATTCTTATCACTCGATAAGCTGACTGTTCACGAGCGAATTCACACGGGAAAAACCTTACTTCTATGCTGAGTGTGGAAAGAGTTTCCGGGATGCAAAAACCTTGGAACAACACTAAGATTCATGTCGAGGAAAACCCCACACTTGCTCCCATTGTGGGAAAAGTTGCAATGGAAAAGAGCTATTGAAACAACACATTACATTAAAATTATTTAAATTAACATCATTACACCACAAAGATGCTGCTTTCATCTGCCCAGACTGGGAAGTTTTTTCAGTTGGTATGGTTAAGAAGGCATATGTTAATGCACACTGGCGAGAGACCGTTCCTATGTGACCTCTGCGGGAAGGGTTTCAAATCTACAGTTGAATTGAGGTTACACACCCGGACACACACTGGAGAACGGCCATTCAAGTGCCCAGAATGTGGCAAAGGTTGTAGGCAGAAGTGTCAGCTGCAGAGTCATCGGCGGACACACACAGGAGAGTGGCCGTGTACCGTGTATGATAAACGCTTTTATGTCAGCAAAGATAGAAAACTACCTATGCTCATCCATACTGGAGAGAAGCCATTGAAATGTCAAGTATGTGGCATGGCTTTCAACCGTAAAGAGGTTTTGAGGGTACACCAACAAACCAAGAGGTGTTCATATAGGCACACAAGTCCCCTACATAACACATCATTATAATAATAAGTGGTTTCCTGACTTTGACAGAACTGGCCCTGTTGTTTGATTTTCGGCTTTACGATAGCCTAAGAAATAAGTTAGCCTAGCTACAGCATGAATTCCCTTAGGCTTAAAAAAGAATAATAAAAATATATATATACACTAACAGTCAAAGGTTTGGACCACCTACTCATTCAAGGGTTTTTCTTTATTTTTTTACATTGTGGAATAATAGTAAAGACATCAAAACGATGAAATGACACATATGGAATCATGTAGTAACCAAAAAAGTGTTGAACAAATCAAAATATATATTTGAGATTCTTCAAATAGCCACCCTTTGCCTTGATGACAGCTTTGCACACTCTTGGCATTCTCTCAACCAGCGTCACGAGGTAGTCACCTGGAATGCATTTCAATTAACAGGTGTGCCTTCTTAAAAGTTACTTTGTGGAATTTCTTTCCTTAATGCGTTTGAGCCAATCAGTTGTGTTGTGACAAGGTGGGTGGGTAGGGGGTATACAGAAGATAGCCCTATTTGGTAAAAGACCAAGTCCATTTATGGTAAGAACAACTAAAATAAGCGAAGAGAAACAACACTCCATCATTACTTTAAGACATGAAGGTCAGTCAATACGGAACATTTCAATAACTTTTTTAAGTTTCTTCAAGTGCAGTCGCAAAAACCATCAAGCACTATGATGAAACTGGCTCTCATGAGGACCGCCACAGGAATGGAAGACCCAGAGTTACTTCTGCTGCAGAGGATAAGTTCTTTAGAGTTACCAGCCTCAGAAATTGCAGCCCAAATAAATGCTTCACAGAGTTCAAGTCACAGACACATCTCAACATCAACTGTTCAGAGGAGACTGTGTGAATCAGGCCTTGATGGTCGAATTGCTGCAAAGAAACCACTACTGAAGGACACCAATAAGAAGAAGAGACTTGCTTGGGCCAAGAAACACGAGCAATGGACATTAGACTGATGGAAATGTGTTCTTTGGTCTAGAGTCCAAATTTGAGATTTTTGGTTCCAACTGCCATGGCTTTGTGAGACGTGATGTGGGTGTACGGATGATCTCTGCATGTGTATTTCCCACCGTAAAGAATGGAGGAGGTGGTGTTATGGTGTGGGGGTGCTTTGCTGGTGACACTGTCTGTGATTTATTTAGAATTCAAGGCACACTTAACCAGCATGGTTACCACAGCATTCTGCAGCAATATGCCATCCGATCTGGTTTGGGCTTAGTGGGACTATCATTTGTTTTTCAACAGGACAAATACCCAACACACCTCCAGGCTGTGTAAGGGCTATTTGTCCAAGAAGGAGAGTGATGGAATGCTGCATCAGATCACCTGGCCGCCACAATCCCTCGACCTCAACCCAATTGAGATGGTTTGGCATGAGTCGGACCGCAGAGTGAAGGAAAAGCAGCCAGCAAGTGCTCAGCATATGTGGGAACTCCTTCAAGGCTGTTGAAAAAGCATTCCAGGTGAAGCTGGTTGAGAGTATGGCAAGAGTGTGTAAATATGTCATCAATGCGTGGTCCTCTGTAGCTCAGCTGGTAGAGCACGGCGCTTGTAACGCCAAGGTAGTGGGTTCGATCCCCGGGACCACCCATACACAAAAAAAAATGTATGCACGCATGACTGTAAATCGCTTTGGATAAAAGCGTCTGCTAAAAGGCATATTATTTTTATTATTATAATGCAAAGGGTGGCTGTTTGAAAAATCTAAAATATAACAGTTTTTTGGTTACTACATGATTCCATATGTGTTATTTCATAGTTTTGATGTCTTAAAGAAAAACCCTGGAATGAGTAGGTGTGCCCAAACTTTTGACTGGTACTATATATATATATAAACACACAGATATAATTCTGAAAGTAAGACTCGTTACTTTTAAAAAGTAACTAATAATATTGAAATATTTGAAGACAGTAACTCATTTATATTACACCGTTACTCATGAATAATCTATTACTGCAATGCGTTACTATTGTACCACATTATCCCCAACACTGACCTTGATGAGCATTAGCTTGATGCTTTTCTAGCGTTAATGTCTCTTGGCTTTATTTAAGGCAGTATTAAAGGGTTTCCTGACTGACAGAACTGGACCTGTAACTTTAAGCCACACTCTAAGATGTGCATACCATCAAAAAATAATATGAAGCTAAGAAAAAGCATTTGTTTACAAAGTGACAACAACAATATAAACAACGGAGCAGTAGCCGATGTTAGTTTTTTGTTACAATGATGGATTTTGTACAAATAAAACAAGGACGTTATGTATGTGATTTTTATTTAATGGTATTTTAGAGGCATGGGTATGGCTGGTGTGGCATCTGTTTATTTTAATTGGTTTTGGCCGTGTTTCAGTCGCATTGCACAAATTATTAGACCTTTACATCATATTAATTGGGTTCCACAAGTTGATTAAAATGCATGAGCTGACACACACCCCAAAACGTTTGTGGAGGTTCTGACTAATGGAGGGTAAATTACAAAAATATAATAAGAAAGTTGCACACTAAAGATGCTCTCAACATTTTAATGGGTACACCTAACCAATGTTGTTCTGGATGCAATTAAAGACTTTAAGTCTGGGAAAACTCCAGGGTTGGATGGCATACCAGTCGAGGTATACCAAACCTTTTTTGATATACGCAGAGGACCGTTATTAGCATGTTTTAACCACTCCTATGTAAATGGTAGATTATCAGACACTCAAGAAGAAGGTCTGATGTCATTATTACTGAAACAGGATACAAGTGGAAAATATAAAGATCCAGTCCATTAAAAAAATTGGAGGCCCCTTACACTTCAGTATTGTGATGCAAAATGTATAGTGCATAGAATTAAAAAGGTATTGTCGGACATTATTCATTCTAATCAGACAGGTTTTTTACATGGACGATACATTGGAGATAATATAAGGCAAGTACTGAAAACAATAGAACACTATGAAAAATCTGGGAAACCAGGCCTGCTATTAATAGCAGACTTTGAAAAGGCATTTGATAAAGTATGACTGGGGTTTATATATAAATGCCTGGAGCATTTCAATTTAGGAGAATCTCTTATAAATTGGGTTAAAATCATGTATAGTAACCCTAGGTGTAAAATAGTAAATAATGGCTATTTCTCAAAGTTTTAAACTGTCAAGAGGAGTGAAACAAGGTTGTCCACTATCGGCATATCTATTTATTATGGCCATCAGATCCAACAATAATATCAAGGGATTAGAAATCCAGGGCTTAAAAACAAAGGTGTCATTGTACGCTGATGATTCATGTAAATAATGCAACAAATATTGCAACAAATATTGTGGTTAAACTCAAATATACTAATTGATACAAAATGTTTAAAAAAGGTATAATCTTTGTAAATGATATCATAGGTAGGACTGGTGAAGTTATGTCACACATGCAGCTAACAAAAACATGGAAATGTCTACTCTACCCAAAATTACAACCAAATAATTGCAGCATTACCGCAAAAATGGAAGAGCAAAGTGGAAGGGGGAAAAAGTAAGGAACTTGTCTGTCGGCCTTGCATTAAATAACCTAATTAGTTAAAGAAAACTGATAAATAAAGAAAGTATACCACATTTTACATTATTTTTTTTACATTTTAGTCATTTAGCAGACACTCTTATCCAGAGCGACTTACAGTTAGTGAGTGCATACATTATTATTTAAAAAAAATATATATATATATACACTGGCCCCCCGTGGGAATCGAACCCACAACCCTGGCATTGCAAACGCCATGCTCTACCAACTGAGCTACATCCCTGCCGGCCATTCCCTCCCCTACCCTGGACGAAGCTGGGCCAATTGTGCGCCGCCCCATGGGTCTCCCGGTCATGGCCAGCTATGACAGAGCCTGGATTCGAACCACTCTGGAGGCGCCAGTTTCACTTAAGGACCAAAGGATTGACAGCCATCCCATATAGATTGCAAAATAGTTGGGAAGAGATTTTTGACGTACCGATTCCATGGCATAGTGTTTATGAACTGATACGCAAAACGACGGCGGATTCAAAACTTCGAATTTTAATTACTATATAAAAATCTTGCTACCAATAGAATGTCATTTATATGGGGGATACAATCTTCCCAGCTCTGCAGATTTTGCTGCGAAGAGACAGAATCATTAGATCATTTGTTTTGGTACTGTCCATTTGTAGCTTGTTTTTGGACACAGGTCCAGGAATGGCTAAAGGATTGCAATATTTACCTGGAGCTAACCCTGCAGATAACATTACTGGGTGATCTGAAAAGTCATAGTCAATCGATCAATAATATAATAATACTTTTAGCAAAAATGTTTATTTTCAATTTACAATCTGTAGAAACAATGAGAATAGGAAGGTTCAGAATTTTAGTAAAACATCACAGTACAGTTGAAAAATATGGCAAATAGATATCCAATATGTATGGTGTTAAGAGATGGATGGAGTTGAAGGATGGGACTAATAACAACTAACAACAATTAATAACAACAAGATAACTAATAATGTAAGCATACTGTGTCCCTAATAAGTATATAGGTTATAGGTTGAGAGCTGTGAAAGAGCACAGTTAGAAAGATATGGCATATAGAAGCAAACCGGATGGACATCATGAAAATGATCAGAGAGTTTGAGGGTAGAGGAAGTTCAGGAGTAAAAACAAACAAAATATAATTATTGTAAAATTGACTGTGTCCATAACATGTACAGTGGGGAGAACAAGTATTTGATACACTGCAGATTTTGCAGGTTTTCCTACTTACAAAGCATGTAGAGGTCTGTAATTTTTATCATAGGTACACTTCAACTGTGAGAGACGGAATCTAAAACAAAAATCCAGAAAATCACATTGTATGATTTTTAAGTAATTAATTTGCATTTTATTGCATGACATAAGTATTTGATACATCAGAAAAGCAGAACTTAATATTTGGTACAGAAACCTTTGTTTGCAATTACAGAGATCATACGTTTCCTGTAGGTCTTGACCAGGTTTGCACACACTGCAGCAGGGATTTTGGCCCACTCCTCCATACAGACCTTCTCCAGATCTTTCAGGTTTCGGGGCTGTCGCTGGGCAATACGGACTTTCAGCTCCCTCCAAAGATTTTCTATTGGGTTCAGGTCTGGAGACTGGCTAGGCCACTCCTGGACCTTGAGATGCTTACGGAGCCACTCCTTAGTTGCCCTGGCTGTGTGTTTCGGGTCGTTGTCATGCTGGAAGACCCAGCCACGACCCATCTTCAATGCTCTTACTGAGGGAAGGAGGTTGTTGGCCAAGATCTCGCGATACATGGCCCCATCCATCCATCCTCCCCTCAATATGGTGCAGTCGTCCTGTCCCTTTTGCAGAAAAGCATCCCCAAAGAATGATGTTTACACCTCCATGCTTCACGGTTGGGATGGTGTTCTTGGGGTTGTACTCATCCTTCTTCTTCCTCCAAACACGGCGAGTGGAGTTTAGACCAAAAAGCTATATTTTTGTCTCATCAGACCACATGACCTTCTCCCATTCCTCCTCTGGATCATCCAGATGGTCATTGGCAAACTTCAGACGTGCCTGGACATGCGCTGGCTTGAGCAGAGGGACCTTGCGTGTGCTGCAGGATTTTAATCCATGACGGCGTAGTGTGTTACTAATGGTTTTCTTTGAGACTGTGGTCCCAGCTCTCTTCAGGTCATTGACCAAGTCCTGCCGTGTAGTTCTGGGCTGATCCCTCACCTTCCTCATGATCATTGATGCCCCACGAGGCGAGATCTTGCATGGAGCCCGAGGTTGATTGACTGTCATCTTGAACTTCTTCCATTTTCTAATAATTGCGCCAACAGTTGTTGACTTCTCACCAAGCTGCTTGCCTATTGTCCTGTAGCCCATCCCAGCATTGTGCAGGTCTACAATTTTATCCCTGATGTCCTTACACAGCTCTCTGTTCTTGGCCATTGTGGAGAGGTTGGAGTCTGTTTGTTTGAGTGTGTGGACAGGTGTCTTTCATACAGGTAACGAGTTCAAACAGGTGCAGTTAATACAGGTAATGAGTGGATGACAGAGGAGCCTCTTAAAGAAGAAGTTACAGGTCTGTGAGAGCCAGAAATCTTGCTTGTTTGTAGGTGACCAAATACTTATTTTCCACCATAATTTGCAAATAAATTCATAAAAATCCTACAATGTGATTTTCTGTAAAAAAAAATCTAAATTTGTCTGTCATAGTTGACGTGTACCTATGATGAAAATTACAGGCCTCTCTCATCTTTTTAAGTGGGAGAACTTGCACAATTGGTGGCTGACTAAATACTTTTTTTCCCCCAATGTAATGTGTGTGTGTGTATATATTGTGCATTCAGAAAGTATTCAGACCCCATGACTTTTTCCACATTTTGTTACGTTACAGCCTTATTCTAAAATTGATGAAACTGTTTTTTCCCCTAATCAATCTACACACAATACCCCATAATGACAAAGCAAAAACAGGTTCTTAGAATCTTTTTTTTTACAACTCATTTACATAAGTATTCAGACCCTTTACTCCGTACTTTGTTGAAGCACCTTTGGCAATGATTACAGCCTCGAGTCTTCTTGGGTTTGACGCTACAAGCTTGGCACACCTGTATTTTGGGAGTTTCTCCCATTCTTCTCTGCAGATCCTCTCGAGCTCTGTCAGGTTGGATGGGGAACGTTGCTGCACAGCTATTTTCAGGTCTCTCCAGAGATGTTCGATCGGGTTCAAGTCCAGGCTCTGGCTGGGCCATTCAAGGACATTCAGAGACTTGTCCCGAAGCCACTCCTTAGTGGTTTTCTTGGCTGTGTGCTTAGGGTCGTTGTCCTGTTGGAAGGTGAACCTTTGCCCCAGTCTGAGGTCCTGAGCACTCTGGAGCAGGTTTTCATCAAAGATCTCTCTGTACTTTGCTCCGTTAATCTTTCCCTCGATCCTGACTAGTCTCACAGTCCCTGCTGCTGAAAAACATCCCCATAGCATGATGCTGCCACCACCATACTTCACCGTAGTGATGGTGCCAGGTTTCCTCTAGACGTGACGCTTGGCATTCAGGCCAAAGAGTTCAGCCTTGCTTTTATCAGACCAGATCATCTTATTTCTCATGGTCTGAGAGTCCTTTAGGTGCATTTTGTCAAATTGCAAGCAGGCATTTTACTGAGGAGTGCCTTCTGCCTGGCCCCTCTACCATAAAGGCCTGATTGGTGGAGTGCTGCAGAGATGGTTGTCCTTCTGGAAGGTTATCCCATCTCCACAGAGGAACTCTGGAGCTCTGTCAGAGTGACCATCGACCACCGTTTTTTATTTGTTATACATTTGCAACAATTTCTAAAAACCTGTTTTCGCTTCATCATTATGGGGTGTTGTGTGTGTAGATATATGAGGAGAAATAAACAATTTAATCAATTTTAGAATAAGACTAACGTAACAAAATGTGGAAAAAGTCAAGGGTTCTGAATACTTTCCGAATGCACTGTATACAACAATACAACCGTTTGTTAATATCAAAAGTGTCACTACCGCAACAAAATACAATTCTGTATCAATATTAACCGGTTTTGTATCAGTATTGACCGTTTCAGGTATGGCAATTTCTGCGTATTTTCCACTTTTCCAAATCAACAGATACACAATCCGAAAATCATATAATACAATCCAGAATATCCGAATGTGTATATAATTGAGAAATTATACATGTACGGTTTTGACACTTCTTGACCACATTTAGATTTTCAGAGTTTAACTCATATTCTCAAGCAAAGGCACACCTGATAAAGAATCTCAGCTAAGTGACCATAAGGTCTGTTGATCCTCTTAAAGGGCCAGTGCAGTCCAAAACATGATTTTCCTGTGATTTATATATACTGTATATGTTTTTACACTATGAGGTTGGAATAATACTGAAATTGTGAAAATTATGATAATGCCCTTTTAGTGTAAGAGCTTTTTAAAAAGGCCGCCTGAAATTTCTGGTTGTTTTGCAAGGAAGGGGGTTTGGACCACCTGGCGACATCACCAGATGGTATAAGTTAATAGACCAATAACAAAGAGAGTTTGCCCTGCCAATAATAGCTATATATCAGGTTACATGTCCCTCCCATTAGGCTCCTCCAATTATACACAAGAATGGAGCTATAAACAGGGAGCACCAGTTCCAGATCGATGTGCAGTGAGGTACGAGGTAGATATGTACATGAAGGCAGGGTAAAGTGACTAGGCATCAGGATAGATGATAATACGAGTAAAATAAAGAACAGAGTAGCAGCAGCAAATTAGTGTAATGTGTGTTTGTGTGTGCATATGTAGTGTGTGAATGTGTGTGGGAGTGTCAATGTAGTGTGTATATATAGTCTAGTGAGTGTGCATAGGGTCAGTGCAGATAGTATGGGTACCATTAATTGACTATATAGCAGTATGGCTATTTAGCAGTATTATTTACATTTACATAATTTATCAGACCCTCTTATCCAGAGCGACTTACAAATTGGAGTTATGGCTTGGGATTAGAAGTCATCTTGGATAGAAGTTGTCTTGGAGCCTGTTGGCGCCAAGAGCCGATGCTCCGGGACCATAGCCGCAGGAAGTAGTTTGGTGGTGCTGCAATTTTTTGTTGTTGCCTACACTACAGATTACTATATAGGTCTGCTAATACAGGACTAGTAAAGGCCCAGTGCACTACTGCAGCACCCTCAGCACCCCTACTTCCTGCGGCTATGTGCCGGAAGGTAGCAGAGTGAACAGTCTTTGGCATGGGTGGAGTCTGGCAATTTTTCGGGCCTCCCTCTGACACCGCCTGATATAGAGGTCCTGGATGGCAGGGAGCTCGGCCCCAGTGACGCACCTCTGTGTCAAGGTTTTCGAAAGGCACTCCTTCAGATAAGTTTTCAAAGCTTTTTTCAAAGTACATAATAAACAAAATGTAGAGCAGAAGTGTTTCTCTGTAATGTGGAATACGGAATTATGTCAGACATCACCTGTTCTATAGAATACATTTACTATGATTGATGTGCTTTTAATTTGATTGTATTGATAACATCTACTGGGCTGTTTTACAGAGAAACGGTCATCAAATGCTGTCCTTCGGCAAGTTAGTTTGAATTCCTTTCGTTCTATTTCCTAACATCTTTCGATATAGCAATATTCAGTTACGCAGGACGACTTCAAAGAAGACCACCTGGAACTCGACCATAGTTCCTTGTAGATGACGTCATGCTTGGAACTAGCCCACCACTTTGTTTGGTCGACCAAAGGTATTGAATTTAGCTCTTACCACTCATATATTAACCATGTACTATCTAACTTACTAGCTGCTGTAGGCTACTATCAACAAAACTAGATCAACATTATCGACAATGGCATTGGCAGACGATGTCGGATGGCTATGGTCCCCGGAGGAGACAAAGGCGCTGATCTCGGTATGGTCAGACGAACAGATTCTTCTGAAAATGGAGCAAACGTGTAGAAACAAACATGTTTACAGGGAAATTTCGGAGCGGCTAAAGGACCTTGGTGTCAAACGGACGTGGAAGCAGTGCCAAAATAAAATGAAGGCCTTGAAGTATAGATACGGACAAACACGCAGAGACCCATGCAATAGTGACCGAACGACCTGTCCATTCTTTTCTGAACTGGACGAATTTCTCGCTGCCATGCCTGATATGACGGAGTCCAAGGAAACTGGCGATGCGGAAGGTAAGCAAAGGTTAAATGTGTAGTTTTCAGTGGCACACCATCATAGCTAATTGTTTTCTTGAACTATGGATAGCAATGACAAAAAAATAAATAGATACGGCTAAAATATGGAGTAATATTATTTTATATTTCTCAAGATCTTCAAGAGTTGTATTATCGCTGTGTACGTGTCTGAATTAAAGTGTGTGAGCAATGTCACAATTTAGGCCAGTATTTCTGGCGTAATGATGATGGAACATAGCTAGTTGGTTTTTGATCGTTTTATAGCATAGAAAATACATGTCCATTGGTTAGAATGGAAATTCGTCCGCAGCCTTTCCCAACACCCCAGACGCACACGTTAAGGGTCCAACGCAGCCGTTTAAAAAAATCTAAATATCAAATCATTTCTGGGTAACCATTAAGTACCTTACCACAGATGGAACAACGAGACAGATATTTGACCAGATATGTAAATGTTGAGCATCTGCTTGGCGTTTCCACTCACTACCAAATATACTTTCTGAATGCACAGTTTTTTCCCTCAAAGTAGCTATCAGCAAGTTCAGAGCTAGTAAGGGGGGAAATATATCAAACTAAGGTGGGAGAGGGTGCTGTGGGATTATTTAAAATAACATTTGAAACCCTACCTCTTCAAAGAGTTTCGGAAGATGGGCAGGGACTCTGCTGTCCTAGCTTCAGGGGGAAGCTGGTTCCATCATTGGGGTGCCAGGACTAGGGTTTCCATTAGCCGGTAATAGCCGGCTTTTGCCCCCCATTGCAAAATAATGCATTTTAGCCAATTATTTGATTGAAATTTCATAGAATTCTACTACACTTTATGTGACTGGTGAAATTAGCAGAATCTTTTTTAATACAACAAATACTACAGGGTAGCCTACTCTGCTGACACTGACAAACAGATCAATAAAAACGACTGTCTGATCCATATTAGGCCTGTGAAAAGGCGAGAAACAAATACAATATGAGGTACATCTAACCTGGAGGTGGAAATGTATTGTCGAAAAGCAAACAAAAGTGGCACTGACCCAATGAAAAAGACGGTGAATATGCACACTCACTGAGGATATAGCCGATGTTCTCCGCTGGTACCAATAAGATAAGGCTACTTTTCAGCTCAATTAAGTTGAGGATTTTCATAACTAAAAGACAGATTGGAGTCTTTTCATTGTCATCTCTTTACAGCAATAAAAGCCATTTGTTTTCCAAAGAGTTTTTCCGCGATTGTATTTTTAAATAATGCAATATGCCTGGCTGGGTCTCTGCTTTTCACTGACAGTCACAACTCTACAATCAATTTCTGTCATTCTGAGAACAGTGGGTCGACGCCCTAATCATTTAACGCAACCAATGCATATAGGTGTGGCACATTTCTTAAATGTCCGGTAAATTAAAATGCTGCCAGTCAAATGTCCGGCGCCACATTTTCCTAACAGAAACCCTGGCCAGGACACAGCGGGAGCTGCACTCCAGTAGGGGTGGGAGGGCCAAGAGACCAGAGGTGGCTGAACGGAGTGCTCGGGTTGGGGTGTAAAGTTTGAGCATACCCTGAAGTTAGGGAGGGGCAGTTCCTCTTGCTGCTCCGTAGGCAAGTATCATGGTGTTGTAGTGGATGCGAGCTTCGTCTGGAAGCCAGTGGAGTGTGCGGAGGAGCGGGGTGACATGGGAGAACTTGGGAAGGTTAAACACCAGGCGGGCTGCAGCGTTCTGGATAAGTTGCAGGGGTTTGATGGCACAAGCGGGGAGCCCAGCCAACAGCGAGTTGCAGTAGTCCAGATGGGAGATAACAAGTGCCTGGATTAGGACCTGCATCGCTTCCTGTGTGAGGTAGGGTAGTACTCTACGGATGTTGTAGAGCATGAACCTGCAGGAGCAAGTTACTGCTTTGATGTTTGCAGAGAATGACAGGGTGTTGTCCAAGTTCTTTGCACTCTGGGAGGGGGACACTGTGGAGTTGTCAACCGTGATGGAGTGGTCTTGAAGAGGCCTTCCCCAGGAGGAAGAGCAGCTCCGTCTTGTTGAGATTGAGGTCGGTGGCCGACATCCAAGCTGAGATATCTGCCAGGCACGCAGAGATGCGTGTCGCCACCTGGGTGTCAGAAGGGGGGAAAGAAAAAAGTAGTGTCATCCGCATAGCAATGATAGGAGAGACCATGTGAGGATATGATGGAGCCGAGTGACTTGGTGTATAGAGAGAAGAGGAGAGGGCCTAGAACCAAGCCCTGGTCACCTGGTAGAAGCGGTCTGCCATATAGGATGCAATCGGAGAGTGTGCAGAGCCTGAGACGCTCAGCCCTGAGAGGGTGGAGAGGAGGATCTGGTGGTTCACAGTGTCGAAGGCAGTGGATAGATCTAGGAGGATGAGAACAGAGGAGAGAGAGTCAGCTTTGGCAGTGCGGAGAGCCTCCGTGACACAGAGCAGAGCAGTCTTGGTTGAGTGACCCGTCGCAGTATTATTCCAACCTCATAGTGTGGAAATTAAACATTAAGAACACCTGCTCTTTCCATGACATAGACTGACCAGGTGAATGCTTAATGATGTCACTTGTTTAATGCACTTTTTTTGTTTAAGCTTTGAGACAATTGAGACATGGATTGTGTATGTGGGCCATTCAGAGGGTGAATGGGCAAGACAAAAGATTTAAGTGCCATTGAACGGGGTATGCTAGTAGGTGCCAGGCACACCGGTTTGTGTCAAGAACTGCAATGCTGCTGGGTTTTTCACACTTAACCTTTTTCCTTGTGTATCAAGAATGGTCCACCAATATTAGGAAGGTGTTCCTAATGTTTGGTTTATTCAGTGTATATATACTGAACAAAAATATAAATGCAACATGCAACAATTTTACTGAGTTAGAGTTCATATAAGGAAATCAGTCGAAAAAAAAGAAATAGGCCCTAATCTATGTATTTCACATGACTGGGGATCCAGGCCCAGCCAATCAGAATGAGTTTTTCCCCACAAAAGGGCTTTATTACAGACAAAAGTACTCCTCAGTTTCATCAGCTGTCTGGGTGGCTGGTCTCAGACGATCCCGCAGGTGAAGAAGACACGGATGTGGAGGTCCTGGGCTGGCGTGGTTACACGTGGTCTGCGGTTGTGAGGCCGGTTGGAAGTACTGCCAAATTCTCTAAAATGAAGTTGGAGGTGGCTTATGGTAACATTCAATTCTCTTGCAACAGCTCTGGTGGACATTCCTGCAGTCAGCATGCCAATTGCATGCTCCCTCAAAACTTGAGACATCTGTGGCATTGTGTTTCTTTCAGCTCATGAAACATGGGACCCACACTTTACATGTTGCGTTTTATATTTTTCTTCAGTATATAAAACATAGGAAAATCAATTTTTTTGACTGCACTGGGCCTTGGCACAGGGTGCAGCGCCTCTGGATTGAGAGCAGTTGCTCAAGAACACAACAGCAGGGCCCGCTTTTTCAAAACTTCAGTTTCAGAAATCAGATTGAATTAAATGTTGGGTATTTCAAAACAGAAAATGTTGAATCTGATCCTCGGAATAGGGATTCGTATTTGATAATCCAATCTGACCTTTTATTCAGGGTTAAATGTTGTTTTTGCGTTTTGAAAAACGCAAAGGCTATGATTAGGATTGTTTTGATGCCGATAAACTTGATCCCACTGGAAGGGTGGATTCAGGATGGATTTAGAAAGTTGAAAGGCACCACAAGCATGATATTTTCAATGAAACTAAGGTGGGGAGGTTTAAAAAACTTTCTTACATCTTAAAACCAAAGCTTCATTATGTTAAATTGACTGCAGTATACAGTGCCGTTGGAAAGTATTCAGACCCTTGACTTTTTCCACATTTTGTTACGTTACAACCTTATTCTAAAATTGATTAAAAAAATTCCCTCATCAATCTACACACAATACCCCATAATGACAAAGCAAAAACAGGTTTTTAGAAAATGTTGCTAATTTATTCAAAATAAAAAACTGATATCACATTTACATAAGTATTCAGACCCTTTACTCAGTACTTTGTTGAAGCACCTTTGGCAGCGATTACAGACTAAAGTCTTCTTGGTATGACGCTACAAGCTTGGCACGCCTGTATTTGGGGAGTTTCTCCCATTCTTCTCTGCAGAGCCTCTCAAGCTCTGTCAGGTTGGATGGGGAATGTCGCTGCACAGCTATTTTCAGCTCTCTCCAGAGATGTTCGATCGGGTTCAAGTCTGGGCTCTGGTTGGGCCACTCAAGGACATTCATAGACTCATAGATTCATAGAATCCACTCCTGCGTTGTCTTGGCAGTATGCTTAGGGTCGTTGTCCTGTTGGAAGGTGAACCTTCACCCCAGTCGGAGGTCCTCAGTGCTCTGGAGCAGGTTTTCATCAAAGATCTCTCTGTACTTTGCTCCGTTCATCTTTCCCTCGATCCTGACCAAAGACTTCAATCTTGGATTCATCATACCAGAGAATCTTGTTTCTCATGGTCTGAGAGTCTTTAGGTGCCTTTTGGCAAACTCCAAGCAGGCTGTCATGTGCCTTTTACTGAGGAGTGGCTTCCGTCTGGTCACTCTACCATAAAGGCCTGATTGGTGGAGTGCTGCAGAGATGGTTGTCCTTCTGGAAGGTTCTCCCATCTCCACAGAGGAACTCTGGAGCTCTGTCAGAGTGACCATCGGTTCTTGGTCACCTCCCTGACCAAGGCCCTTCTCCCCCGATTGCTCAGTTTGGCCAGGCGGCCAGCTCTAGGAAGAGTCTTGGTGGTTCCAAACTTCTTCCATTTAAGAATAATGGAGGCCGCTGTGTTCTTGGGGACCTTCAATGTTGCAGACATTTTTTTGGTACCCTTCCCCAGATATGTGCCTCGACACAATCCTGTCTCGGAGCTCTACGGACAATTCCTTCGCCTCATGGCTTGGTTTTTGCTCTGACATGCACTGTCAACTGTGGTACTTTATATAGACCGGTGTATGCCTTTCCAAATCATGTCCAATCAATATAATATACCACAGGTGGACTCCAATCAAGTTGTAGAAACATCTCAAGGGTGATCAATGGAAACAGGATGCACTTGAGCTCAATTTCGAGTCTCATAGCAAAGGGTCTGATTACTAATGTAAATCAGTTTTTTATTTGTAATAAATTTGCTAACATTTCTAAACTGTTTTCTCTTTGTTTATATTGGGTATTATGTGTAGATTGTGGAGGAGTTTTGATTTAAAAAAAATTAATCAATTTTAGAATAAGGCTGTAACGTAACAACATTTGGAAAAAGTCAAGGGGTTGGAATACTTTCCGAAGGCACTGTAGGTACAGTATGTGGTCAGTTGTTATATTGAGAAGTGTCAAATAAAGGCATGTGCTTACTTGTGAAATGCAGGCTCTAGTTAAAAAAAATCTTAGTTACCTATATTCATGTAGGCTCAAGTCTGTTTCACTATGAAAGTGTAGAAGTAGTTAGGCTACATAACATGTCCAGTAGATGGTCAATCTCTAGGCTACTGCCACCCACATTTAGCTACCCAGTAACAAAACATCACCATTACGTGTGAGATCTGATCATCTGTATACTGCAATTTCAAAAAGTGTGACCTGGAACAGAACCAAAGATTTTCTTTCCTACTAGGTCGTCCTCTTCCTCTGTCGTCTCTGCGTCTTTTGGTTCCTCCACTGCGGCTGGTGTCTGCAGCTCTGTGGCAAGTTGTTCAGCGGAGAGACACAATGGACTACGGGTTGGTGGAGGAGTTTGTAACCACTGTGTTGGAGATAATCCCTGATCTGATGAGTTACAGAGAGAAAGTCCAACTCATCATGGGGCTGCGAGCACAGGTGAGAAATTAAGAGGGGTATGATTGAGGTAGAAAGTTGGGTGACATTGTGTTGTCAAAATTCCCTACAGACTGAAATTGATGTTTGATGTTATATTTCACACACCATGATCATTGTTTCAGCCTCTACAGTAAGGGCCCCTACAACTATACCATGTTTTTGGTACTAAGTGGAGCTATGCCATATAACTGATTTACAATGGGTTTTGCAGGAGGTGGGGCAGGTTGCGCTAGTCCCACATGGCCAATCATATTAGCTGCACACTCTGATCACGCCCTCTGTTGTCAAGGTCTGGATGGATAGGTGCAGGAGAAGGACTAGTCAGATAAAGTGCATTATTTAGCCAAAAGTGAAACGTTTTATTATCAAATGACAACATTAATTGTTGCAAGACACTAAACAGAAGTTTTCTATGCCGTATTGTTTTGACGTCGAATTACGGTAGTTTATATTTAGCTCTCACGTTAGATGCCCATGATATCCAAACAGCTATGGTCTTCTCAATGCAAATAAGCGCCCTTTGGGCGTAGCCAATATGGCGAGGGAGTGACATGGCTTCCCTTAATACAGGCTTTGGCTGTACTTTATAGTAAATACCTCCTACTATAACGTTCCTATACCGTACTCACTGCCAGATTGGTTTGTATCCAAAATGTTTGTGTTACCTGTTTGTTGTTGACAGCTGGTTCTGGAGTTGTGTCGCTCTGATCATTCAGCTGACCTGGAGACCATCCAGCCACACCTGAGCAAGATGAGGACCTGCATCATCACTCATAGAGAACGGGAGGTGAGTGCCACTCGGTGATCAAGACTTGTAACTCTGCTGGCTAGGTTCATTTACTAACTGTGTTATGTATACTTGCTGTAGATAGATCCACATGTCGAGGCATCAGAGTCAAACTTCTTGGAACTTGTCCAAACTCTTCTAGATGACCCAATTGAGAGGGAACACTTCTTCCAGGTTGGTGTGAGAACAATATTTCTGCTAAACTGACATTTAAATCAAGGAGGTAAACTGAACAGCAGTGTGTGTGTGCACAATCTGGTCCTCATTCTGAATGGTGTGGCTGTTGAACAAGTTGAGGAGACTAAATGACTTGGTGGTACCTTAGATTGTAAACTGTCATGGTCAAAACATATAGATTCAATGGTTGTAAAGATGGGGAGAGGTATGTCCATAATAAAGAGATGCTCTGCTTTTTTGACACCACACTCCAAAAAGCAAGTCCTGCAGGTTCTAGTTTTGTCTTATCTTGATTACTGTCCAGTCATATGGTCAAGTGCTACAAATACATACCTAGTTAAGCTGCAGCTGGCCCAGAACAGTGGCATGTCTTGCTCTTCATTGTAATCAGAGGGCTAATATTAATAGTATGCATGCCAGTCTCTCTTGGCTAAGAGTTGAGGAGAGACTGACTGCATCACTTCTTCTTTTTATAAGAAGCATTAATGTGTTGAAAATTCCAAATAGTTTGCATAGTCATCTTACACACAGCTCTGACACAAACACAGTTACCCCACCAGACATGCCACCAGTGGTCTTTTCAAAGTCCCCAAATACAGAACAAATTCAAGAAAGCGTACAGTATTATATAGAGCCATTATTGCATGGAACTCCCTTCCATCTCATATTGCTTAAATGAACAGCAAACCTGGTTTAAAAAAAACAGATAAAGCAACACCTCACGGCACAACGCCTCTCCCCTATTTGACCTAGATATTTTGTGTGTGTACTGATATGTAGGCTATGTGTGCCATTTTTAAATATATGTAGTTCTGTCCTTGAGCTGTTCTTGTCTATTAATGTTCTGTATTATGTCATGTTTTGTGTGGACCCCAGGAAGAGTAGCTGCTGCTTTCGCAACAGCTAATGGGGATCCTAATAAAATACCAAAAATGATATTCCTTTGAAATCCTCATAACTGACACATCAGTACTACTGGACCTCAACTTGTATGCATTAGCTAATATTGAGTTGATGTATAGCTACAGTGCATTCGGAAAGTATTCAGACCCCTTGACAAAGCAAAAACAGGTTTTTAGAAAATGTTGCATATGTATAAATTACATCTGAAATATTACATTTACATAAGTATTCAGACCCTTTACTCAGTACTTTGTTGAAGCACCTTTGGCAGCGATTACAGCCTTGAGTCTTCTTGGGTATGATGCTACAAGCTTGGCACACCTGTATTTGGGAACTTTCTCCCATTCTTCTCTGCAGATCCTCTCAATCTCTTTCAGGTCTCTCCAGAGATGTTCGATCGGGTTCAACTCTGGGCTGTGGCTGGGCCACCCAAGGACATTCAGAGACTTAATAATAATAATATGCCATTTAGCAGACATTTTTATCCAAAGCAACTTACAGTCACGTGTGCATACATTTTTACGTATGGGTGGTCCCGGGGATCGAACCCACTACACTGGCGTTACAATCGCTATGCTCTACCAATTGAGCTACAGAGGACTTGTCCCGAAGCCACTCCTGCGTTGTCTTTGCTGTGTGCTTAGGGTTGTTGTCCTGTTGGAAGGTGAACCTTCGCCCCAGTCTGAGGTCCTGAGCGCTCTGGAGCAGGTTTTGCCACCACCATGCTTCACCGTAGGGATGGTGCCAGGTTTCCTCCAGACATGACGCTTGACATTCAGGCCAAAGAGTTCAATCTTGGTTTCATCAGACCAGAGAATCTTGTTTCTCATGGTCTGAGGGTCCTTTAGGTGCTTTTTGGCAAACTCCAAGCGGGCCGTCTGGCCACTCTACCATAAAGGACTGATTGGTGGAGTGCTGCAGAGATGGTTGTCCTTCTGGAAGGTCCCCCATCTCCACAGAGGAACTCTGGAGCTCTGTCAGAGTGACCATCGGGTTCTTGGTCACCTCCCTGACCAAGGCCCTTCTCCCTCGATTGCTCAGTTTGGCCCGGGCGGCCAGCTCTAGGAAGAGTCTTGGTGGTTCCAGACTTCTTCCATTTATGAATGATGGAGGCCACTGTGTTCTTGGGGACCTTCAATGCAGCATCAATTTGTTGGTACCCTTCCCCAGATCTGTGTCTCGACATAGTCCTGTCTTGAAGCTCTACGGACAATTCCTTTGACCTCATGGCTTTGTTTTTTCTGACATGCACTGTCAACTGTGGGACCTTATATAGACCGGTGTGTGCCTTTCCAAATGTCCAATCAATTGAATTTACCACAGGTGGACTACAATCAAGTTGTAGAAACAGCTCAAGGATGATCAATGGAAACAGGATGCACCTGAACTCAATTTCGAGTCTCATAGCAAAGGGTCTGAATACTTCTGTAAATAAGGTATTTCTGTTTTTCCAAATTTTCCAAAAACCTGTTTTCGTTTTGTCATAATGTGGTATTGTGTGTAGATTGATGAGGAAAATGTTTTATTTAATCAATTTTAGAATAAGGCTGTAACGTAACAAAATGTGGGGAAGGGGTCTGAATACTTTCAGAATGCACTGTACTAATAAAAAAATAAAAAACATTTTTAGTAATTTAGCAGACGCTCTTATCCAGAGCGACTTACAGTTAGTGAGTGCATACATTATTTATTTTGATTTTGATTTTACTTTTTTTCATACTGGCCCCCCGTGGGAATCAAACCCACAACCCTGGCGTTGCAAACGCCATGCTCTACCAACTGAGCTACATCCCTGCCGGCCATTCCCTCCCCTACCCTGGACGACGCTGGGCCAATTGTGCGCCGCCCCATGGGTCTCCCGATCGCGGCCGGCTACGACAAAGCCACTCGGTGTCAATAGGATGCCTCACTCAATTAAGAATGCATTCATTTAATCTGTTGTACACCACTCAAATGCAATGTGTCTTCTAGGAAGTTTTTCCAGAAGAATTCGGCCCCATGTATGACACAGCACTGCAGACTCTGATGTGGGAGTTCCTCTCCAGGCTGGAGAAGCTGCTTCCAACACCAACATTTCAACAGGTAGGTGCAATTTGGGAAGAGACAATAGTGGCGGTCTTGGCCTATTTGAATTGATGTTGTCATATTGCTGAGTCTACCATAGCTTACTGTTGCGATTTGGTCAATTGGATTTGTTGCATATTTAAAAACACCTCCCCTTCTCAGACTGCATCATGGCTCAGACCTGCCCCCTCTATGCTGAAGGAGTGTGCACAGTCTGTGACTCAACCTCAGCCTTTGAAGACCCTTCTCCAGCACCACAGATGCCATGACCATTTGTTCACTAATGGTAGGCTTTTTTACAGCTCTGTTTTCATCCAGTGGAAAATAAAAGTTGTATTACATTTAAACCATGTTTGTAACCACCTGCAAGAGACTAAACAGGCCTGCTACACTGGACGTGTAACTTTTGCAGAGATTCTCCCATTGTTTGAAAGGAAACCTGGGCATAAGCAGCGAGGGCTATGGGTGAATTTACGCTCTGTTTCTATTTTCAAGATATCGATTTGGTAAAGACCTGAGGGATAGTGCTGGAAAGATTTAATCGCTCATATTTCTGAACAGAGTTATGGATGCAAGGACTGACCATCCATGATACCAACATTATAGTTTTAACCATGTTTTGAGGCTATACAGTGTTTTACAATTATGTTGTTTACAAACAATGGAGTAAAACAAGCTTATATTTAGTTCTGATGGGGTACGACAGTTGAACTAAGCTCATGGGACATTTCTGAGTTATATTCTTCAAGAATCAATGGGTATAATAAGGAATTTAAAGGTTTAAAAAAATATGTAGCATTTACGAGAAGAAAACATTTTATTGTTCTCTCTTTTCCACTGTTTCAGCTCATTCTTCTTGTGCCGATGATCGCATCCTCTCTTCACTGTCTCAAACGCTCTCAGAGAGGGTGGAAATGGACATTGATGAAGCACGCTCACATAGCCAGTCTATAGCCACATGTGCACCCAGAAATGAAAGGGACACTTTGATAGAGCAAGATAATGCAGAGAAGGAGCGGGGGATGAGTTTGGACACGGTTAAGATGGCAGTGGAAATGATAGATAGAAGGACAGAGGAATGGGGAGAGAACAACTATGAGGAGAGACTGCAACATCAGTTGGCTTATGATGTTTTACAGGTAGAGATTGTAGATGGAGAAGACATGTCCTCAACGTCATTGACAACAGCCGACAATGTCGGAGGGACCTGGTCCCCAAAGGAAACAGAAGCGCTAATCTCTGTATGGTCAAACAAACAGATTCTTCAGGAGATGGAACGAAGTTATAGAAAAAAACATGTGTATAGCGAAATTTCAAAGCAGATGAAGGACCTTGGCGTCAAAAGGACTTGGAAGCAGTGTCAAACAAAGATAAAGGACATGAAGTTCAGCTACAGACAAACACTGAGGAACCCAAGCAGTAGTGGCCGAGTGACCTGTCCATTCTTTTCTGAACTGCACACATTTCTTGCCGCCACACCTGATACAACTGATATCCAGTTTCCTGAGTCTAAGGAAACTGGCAAGGTTTCAGTTGCAGAAGTCAAGTCCTCAGATCAGGATGAAGGGCCTTCTGTGGATGTCAAGTTAGAGAATCTACATGAGGAAATGGCTTCCAGAAAAGAGACACACAAGACACTCACCGGAGAGCAAACAGAAGGGAGGAAATTGGATGAGGCTTTTCACAGCCCTCAATGTCACAGCAGAATGAAAATCAGAAGAATATCCCACCGTTGCGAACAGATGGTTGAAGACAAGTCAGATTTGGACCTTCAGCCCGTAGTGCTGTTGACACCACTTGATGAAACCCTTCTGATGACAGGTGAGTAAAACATTTGATATATTACTTAAAACAATATATTAATTTATGGATCTGTGTAGAAAATGTATTCCGAGTCTCAAGTTAGGGGTGAGTGACTGTATCCTCTGTATCCTTTAACAATGGTACTTCTCTCCTCTCAACACCAGGTGGTGCTCCTCGTCCTGTTTCCCATACCACAGGGCAGTCTTCTAAAAGAAGCAAACGTGCCAAAATATGCTCCTTATGTGGGAAGAGTTTTGTTGAAGCAAAAGATTTGACAACACACATGAGAACTCACACTGAGCAGAGCCCTCACCAGTGCACCCAGTGTGGGGAAGGCTTTGAACATCAGGACGACTTACAAAAACATCAGCAGAATGAGTGTGATGAGATGATGAACCAACAGGAGGCCAATGAACACCAGCATGGAAAGGACAGGATCTCAGGACAGTCCAGTAATGCAAGTAGTGATCCCAAAACATGCCATCTATGCCATAAGACTTTTGAATTTCAATATGTGTTGAAAGATCGTCGTATTGTATTTCACAAAGGAAAAAGCCTTTATAAGTGTCCTCTGTGTATGAAGGGTTTTGGGAAAGACAGGAGTAAAAAAAGAGGTTGTCCTTCAAGTGAAGTCTTCAAAAAAAGGAGGGAGCTAGGGTCAAATGAAAACGTTGTCAGACTGAACTCGACCCGCAACAAGTGCCCTGACATCTTCAAGTGCTCCTTTTGTGAAGAGATATTTTCTCGGTGCATGGACCTGAAGAGCCACTACAGTCGTACTCATCAATTTACGGGACCATTCCCCTGCCCTTCTTGTCAGAAGACTTTTGTTTCATTAACTGAGCTGCGCTTACATCAAAGAAATGAGTCCACGCCTTACCAATGCTCTGTGTGCCAGCGATCATTCTTATCACTCGATAAGCTGACTGTTCATGAGAGAATTCACACAGGGGAAAAACCGTACCTCTGTGTTGAGTGTGGAAAAGGTTTCCGGGATGCAAAAACCCTGGAAGAACACTCTAAGATTCATGTTGAGGGAGAACTCCACACCTGCTCCCATTGTGGGAAAAGTTTCAAGAGAAAAGAGCTATTGAAACAACACATGTTAAATCACAAAGATGCTGCTTTCGTCTGCCCAGACTGTGGTAAGAAGTTTTTTCGGTTGGTATGGTTAAGAAGGCATATGTTAATGCACACTGGCGAAAGACCATTCCTCTGTGATCTCTGCGGGAAGGGTTTCAAATCTACAGTTGAATTGAGGTTACACACCCGGACACACACTGGAGAACGGCCATTCAAGTGCCCAGAATGTGAAAGAAGTTTTAAGCAGAAGTGTCATCTGCAGATGCATCGGCGGACGCACACAGGGGAGCGGCCGTATCCATGCACCGTGTGTGATAAACGCTTTTATGTCAGCAAAGATAGAAAACGACATATGCTCATCCATACTGGAGAGAAGCCGTTCAAATGTCAAGTATGTGGCATGGCTTTCAACCGTAAAGGGCATTTGAGGGTACACCAACAAACCAAGAGGTGTTCATATAGGCACACAAGTCCCCTACATAACACATAATTATAATAATAAGTGGTTTCCTGACTGTGACAGAACTGGGCCTGTTCCTTTGATCCACACTCTTAACATGTGCATACCATCAAATAATAATATGAAGCTAAGAAAAAGCATTTGTTTACAAAGTGACAACAATATAAACAATGGAGTAGTAGCCTATGTTATTTTTTGTTACAGTTATGAATTTTGTAAAAAGAAATTAACCTAAACAAGGACTTATTATGTATGTGACTGTTATTAAATTGTATTTTAAAGTTATGGGCATAGAATCTGTTTATTTGAGTTGTTAGTTAGGTCATTCCTTTATCTTTAGGGAAAAAATGGTTTTATTCTATCAGAAAAAGGACATGTTTGACTTTCAGAAAAACATATTGGTCAAGCTCAGGCACTTAAATGTTTAGGTGCATTTTCCAACCTGTTAGGTACATAATCCTAATAGGGTCGAACATAAAGGTGGAAATGTGGAACCTAAATTAGCCATAGCTCTGTAAGGGAGCACGATAGAGGTAGCATAATGGTGAACACTTGAACAGGATTTTAACTTCTCTATCAAACTTTTTAACATTTTGAGGAATGTGAGTGGGACATATAGAATAACAACATGGGAAAAATAGATAAAACAGTGTTATATTTATTTAGGTTTGTTCCGTTGTTTTCCCACCAAAGAAATGATGACACTTCCTGAATAGAGATAAATAGTATTGGCGTCTTTTTGTAGGCACTAACTCCGCCATGGTTCGTTGGACAAAGCCTATGGGGATATGAATGGCATCTTTGTAGAGTTTTTGGATAAACGCCGAAAATAAGGTCTGTGGTAAACACATGCTTAGGAGCTCTTATACGTTTTGTTCTATGAGATAATCTTCATCAGCTAACGTCACTTTTTGTGAATTTTGAAGCGTTTATATAATTTAAAAAAGCACAAAGGCTTTATAATTCATAAAGGTCATGTTAACTGACTGATTTTATCTCATAGAACAAAACGTGTATAAGATCTCCTGAGCCTGTGTTAACCTCAGACCTTATTATCGGCATTTATCCCAAAACTGAACAAACTAGACTCATTTCCGCTTTTTAGGACTAGAAGCTGGCGAGCCGTATTACAATAAACTAACAGGATGGAAAGTGATATTAGGGACACACAGAAAACCTTAAATAAAATAATAATCATGAATACAATAATCATGAAATAACCTTTATTGATGAGAGAGAATTTAACTAGGACTATAAAATAATGAAGACACATTTAAAATATTTTATTTTATGGGTTCTATTTCTCATGGAATGTTTTATATATTTTTTTATTTAGCAGACTCTCTTATCCAGAACGACTTACAATAGTGAGTGCATTCATTTTCAGACTTTATTATTATTGATTTCTTCTCGAAGTTGATGAATAACACTCGGGGACATGGCAAAAACGCTTACATCCACTGAAAAAAAGTGTTCAAAATGCATAACATTCCCTTTCAAGATCCATATTTTTGTGTTTTTAAGGTAGGACACATGACCTTTATATATAAAGCATTTTGGAATCGACATTTTACACTAAATAAGAGTTATATTTCTCGGGAACAGAAAAAGCACCACATTGTAGGAATGACCCTGTTGGTTTTGGCTGCATTTCAGGGCAGCTGCATTTCAGTCATATTGCACAGATGATCAGACTTAAGTCATATTGGTTGGGTTCTTGTATTGTTCAACACCACCTCAACATACATATTTGGGGGGACCTAAATCAAATTGTAACCCCTGGAAGTGCCCTGTCGGTAATTCAGCCCTGATTACTACAAGGTTTAGATAGCTGGCAAGACTAATTTACCTAGGAATCTATAAAATGTTAGCTGACATGGGCTAATTGAGTGGCTGACAGTGACTGGCATAACAAGAGGAAAACTACTGATGCAATACAAAATTTGAAAATTGCCACCTTGTGTATTCTACTATTCTAACTACCAACAGTAAGTTGAGACTGAGTTCGTACATTTAAAAAAATAATAACCACAAGGCCCCCTTCCCTGATGGTAAGTCTGCCACTGATAACTAAACCATAGGACAAATGGTAAGCCATATTGCGTAAACATTTTAATTAATAGGTATATTATGGAACATGAAGGCACTCTTTCAGAGAACTTTTCAAAGTACTTCAGAAATATAAAATGTAGAACAGACACATTTTATTGGTCACATACATATTTAGCAGATGTTATTGCGGGTGTAGCGAAATGCTTCTATAGAATAGATTTATTATGATGAAATTGAACTCCGTATGCAGACATTGATACCATCTTCTGGACTGTTTTACAGAGAAATTGAAATCAAACGTACTTCGTCAAATTAGTTCGTATTCCTTTCCATTTCTAACATCTTTGGCAATATTCAGATACGCAGCACGACTGCAAAGAAGACCACATGGAACTCGACCATGGTTCCTTGTAGATGACGTCACGTCTGGAAGTAGCCAGCCAAAGAGGTAGTCGTCAACTGTTTAGGCGACCAAAGCTTTTTAACTTAGCTAGGTACTACCACTAATATGAACCTTGTACTATCTAACTTACTAGCTGCTGCAAGCTATTATCAACTAAACTAGATCAACAATGTCATTGGCAGACGATGTCGGATGGACATGGTCCCCGGAGGAGACAAAGGCGCTGATCTCCGTATGGTCAGACGAGCAGATTCTTCTGAAGATGGAGCAAACGTACAGAAACAAACATGTTTACAGGGAAATTTCTGAGCGGCTAAATGACCTTGGTGTCAAACGAACGTGGAAGCAGTGTCAAAATAAGATGAAGGCCTTGAAGTGGAGATACAGAGAAACACTGAGGAACCCAAGTAGCCGACCGTGCCCATTCTTTTCTGAACTGCACGAATTTCTCGCCGCCATGCCTGATATGCCTGAGTCCAAGGAAACTGACGATGAGGAAGATAATGGTAAGCAAATAAGGTTAAATGAATAGTGTTCAGTGTCACACTATTAATGTGAAAAGATCTGATGTGATTGGTGGAAAAAATATATATAAAAATTGTGTAAACCCAGTCACACAGATCATCATCTTCAAGTGTTTAAGGATGCGTTTAGATGGGCAGCCCAATTCTGATATTTTTTTTCACTAATTGGTCTTTTGACCAATCACATCAACTCTTCTCACAACAGATCTTTTTCAGAGCTTATCTGATTGGTTAAAAGACCAATTAGTGAAAAAAAGATCAGAATTGGGCTGCCTGTCTAAAGAATGTAACCTTGTCCCCAGGCTTAATTGCTACCACATATAGGTTCAAGAGAGAGAGAGCTGACTGGTGGACAAGATTAGTTCAAATGGAAATTCGTCCTCTGCTTTTCCCAATACCCCAGACACACATGTTGAGAGGCACAGTGTGCAGCACCCCTGGATGGAGAACTGTTGTGGGGGGGGTTAAGTGCCTTGCTCAAGAATACAACAGTGCCCAGTTTTTCAAAACAATCGGCAATCAGATTGCATTTAGGGCTGGCCAATTAGTCATCCAAAATTCCATGACTGTCACAGCCCTGATTTGATTAAATTTTAGAATTGGGTATTTCAAAACTGAAAAATAAGATTCTGATTCTCCAAATAGGGATTTCGTAATCCAGGCTGAACTTTTTAATAGGGATGAAATGTTGTTTTTGCGTTTTTCAGAACTCAAAGTAGTGAGTTGGATTGTTTTGATGCAGAAAATCTGGATAATCTTAATCCCACTGGAAGGGTGGATTCAGGATGGATTTAGAAAGTTGAAAGGCACTACAACTGAGATATTGCAATGCAACTAAGGTGGGGAGGTTTAAAAATCTTTCTTACATCTGAAAACCAAATGTTAAATTGACTGCGGTATAGGTCAGGTATTATATTGAGACGTGTCAAATGCATGTAGGCTATAATTTTTTCTCTTAGTTACCTTAATTCATGTAGTTTACTAATTTCTGTTTCACTATGACAGTGTAGAAGTAGTAAGAAACTGTCCAGTAGAAGGCAAGCTTCTAGGCTACTGTATGGAGTGAGATAGCTGCCAAAAGGTTGAACATACGTATCGTAGGACCGTACAAAAATCCATACATAAATTGTTAGGATCGTAAGAAAAGCCATGCGTGAAACATGAAACGTAAACGTTAAACTAGATCTGTAACTGTACAAACCCTATGTTACGACTATAAATGAACATTTACACGTTCAATTCTGACTTTATGGCTCCCTTTACTCGGTTACAGATCTTTTTAATACGTACAAACTTTTGTCAGTAACGTGGCATCTGCAAATTACATGAACCGAACATAGCTAGTCGAAGTTAGCTAGTCAATCAAGCAACTCTAGCCCAGACGTTAGAGCTGCTTTGCAACTTCCGGTTTCATTTCCAAAGTAAAAGTCTCTAGAGCTTGTTTTAAAACTGCATTCAATAACGACTTTATACCAGTAGATGGCTTGGGCTTTCAGCAAATGACGTGTGAGAATGATAGACACAGAAGAGCCTTGTCTAGAATAACTGCCTGAGCTGCAAAATAGAAAGTAAATATAATTTATGCTAGGCCTATTCTGCTATCTAAATATGCCATGCTGTTGTGTGTTATTTAATGGCCATATAATTGCATAATTTATTTTTATAGCCGCGTGGGGCTACTGTGGTGATCATGTAACCTAATTAATCACACTTTTTCCAGTATTTGGGAGCACGGACTATAGGCCTTATATTAGGCATTTTGACTGTTGTATTAGTGAATTCCACTCTGTATGTAGGGTTGTTATAGCCATTTGCGTTGCACAACCCCATCGCGTAGAAGCTATATTCATATCAATAAATGAGACAAAACAAAATGTTGATTAAGTCTAGGCTATAACCTGTCCTGAGCGAAATAGCCAAGGGGTCCCAAATGGTCAAGACTATCTATAGCCTATTCTTATTGCCAGATCTGTTTTCCCTATCAGCCACTGCATGTTCTTCAACTATTTTGTGTAAAATGTATTTAGAGGCCACATTTAGAGGCCTGTGAGCTAGGGTCTCTTTTTAAGCGGTGCCCTATTATAAAAACAGTTATAAAACACAAATAGTTCAAAAATTATTCCGCAAGACACTGCAATGCCTACAAGTTAAAGGCCTATGTTTTATTTGGATAGGCCTAAATTAAAGATTTACTTATTAAAGTGATAGGCTAAAGAACTTAGATAATTTTGAATACACACATGGATTTCAATAAACAAATGGATAAGACTTCTATTCACTTCGATTTAGTTCCTATTGCAACTCACAAAATTACTGAATGGATGACATACTGACTGAACTGAATGAAGGATGAATGAAATGTTCAAATATGTTGGAATGACGAGTTGCATGCACTTAATTTGGCTAGTAGGCAAATAGGCCTACATTAGGGTATAATGACTCCAGAATGCCTCCAGAAGGGCATCTTCTGAGGCTGAGGGGTGCTTTTCCCAAGGCGCATGGTGCTGTGGTGCTGCATGGAGATCACAAGCTCTTCAACTGGGCAGCAGTGTCACGATGGAGGGAATAGCCTATAGGGAGACTACCTAAGACCACTGCAACAGAGTTATTGTAAAGTGTGGGAATAAGCTTATGCCAGATTTAGCCTACGTTTAACCTCTCCCTTATTCATTTCAAAGTCCATATGTTTATGACCCGATTCATATAAATCATGTCAAATTATTTAAAAGTCATATTAACCCCTCCTACAGAATATGCTTTGGCAAGATTGAGTGATAAAATAAATATTGAAATATTCTATAAATATATATATATTTTGAGTGGCAAAGACTCCAGTGGTCATACATACTTCATAGATTCACCAAACATATTTTATTATTCTATGTTTCATTATTCCTGGTAGATAGATACTACTGGTTACTACTGGTTACTACTGGTTATTATTCCTGGTAGATACTACTGGTTATGATTGCAGACAGAGCCCAGAGAATGGGATGGTGCAATATTAAATTAGTCAAATTTTGATAAGGTGCATGCATGGGGATGTCCACGTCACCCAGCTATATGCCCATGCTGTAGAGATACACCTAGCGGACTGAAACTTCACTGTTGTAGGCATAATACAGCTAGTGCTATCTAGACTTGCGCTGGCAAACAAATCCATTACATTAGCTACCTAAATGTGAAGTAAACTCAACTGAGGAGTAATAGAGAATGAAGACTTTTAACTTGAAAACATGCAGGATACCTCTTTCCGGTTTCCCTGACTTCTGTTTATTTTTTTATACTGTGTCATACTTCTTCGCGTAGCACTCCTCACAGGCCGTTTGGTGAGACAAAACTGCCCAAACTCTGAAAGGTATTATTGTACGTCAGAATTGCAACACAAGATTTGTTAAAGCCTAAAATGTTAGTCCGTAATCGTAACATGGTGTTTGTGTCTTCACAGATTAAATTTCACGTTTACGTTTCACGCATGGCTTTTCTTACGATCCTAACAATTTACGTATGGATTTTCTTACGATCCTAACGATACATACGTTCAACCTTTTGGCAGGTATTTCGCTCCATACTACTGCCACCGACATTTAGCTACCCAGCAACAAAACCACTTCATGACAAAACATCACCATTACGTGTAAAATCGGATAATCTGTAAATCACAATGAAGATGGCTTGAACTGTCACTAAATGTTTACTTTCCTACCAGGTCGTCCTCTTCCTCTGTCTTCTCTGCGTCTTTTGGTTCCTCCACTGCGGCTGGTGTCTGCAGCTCTGTGGCAAGTTGTTCAGCGGAGAGACACAATGGACTACGGGTTGGTGGAGGAGTTTGTAACCACTGTGTTGGAGATAATCCCTGATCTGATGAGTTACAGAGAGAAAGTCCAACTCATCATGGGGCTGCGAGCACAGGTGAGAAATTAAGAGGGGTATGATTGAGGTAGAAAGTTGGGTGACATTTGTGTGCATGTAGGGCTCCCTTGTGAAAGAGACCTTGGTCTCAATGGGACTCACTGTTAAAAGAAATGTACAAATAGAAAAAATCCGACAGATTGAAAGAAAAAAAATCACGTCAAAGTCTATTGGTCGCGTATACAGTTTAGCAGATGTTATAGTGGTTGCAACGAAATGCTTATGTTACTAGCTCCTAACAATGCAGTAAAATGTCAAACAAATACACAAATAATACAAATGTAATCATGTTTAATCAGGCAATGTTTAATGTTATATTTCCCACACCATGGCACGATCATTGTTTAGTCCTCTACAGTAAGGTCCCCTAAAACTATACCATATTTTTTGTACTAAGTGGAGGTATGTCATATAGCTGATTTACAATGGGTTTTGCAGGATGTGGGGCAGGTTGCGCTAGTCCCACATAGCCAATCATTTTAGCTGCACGCTTTGATCATGCCCTCTGTCACGGTCTCTGTTTCCATGTTAGCCTAACAGCTATGGTCTTTTCATGAAAATAAGCGCCCTGTGGGCGTAGCCAATATGGCGATGGAGTGACATGGCTTACCTTGATACAGGCTTTGGCTGTACGTTATAGTAAATACCTCCTACTATTACATTCCTATACCATATTGGTTTGTATCCAAAATGTTTGTGTTACCTGTTTGTTGTTGACAGTTGGTTCTGGAGTTGTGTCGCTCTGATCATTCAGCTGACCTGGAGACCATCCAGCCACACCTGAGCAGGATGAGGACCTGCATCATCACTCATAGAGAACGGGAGGTGAGTGCCACTCGGTGATCAAGACTTGTAACTCTGCTGGCTAGGTTCATTTACTAACTGTGTTATGTATACTTGCTGTAGATAGATACACAGGTCGAGGCATCAGAGTCAAACTTCTTGGAACTTGTCCAAACTCTTCTAGATGACCCAATTGAGAGGGAACACTTCTTCCAGGTTGGTGTGAGAACAATATTTCTGCTAAACAGACATTTAAATCTAGGAGGTTAACTGAACAGCAGTGCATGCACAATCTATTCTATTGAAATCCTTGTTACTGGCTTACTTCGTACTGCTGAACCTCAACTTGTATGCATTAGCTAATATTGAGTTGACTTGTATAGTTACTAATTATGTCAATAGGATGCCTCACACTCAATTAAGAATGCATTAATTTAATCTATACACCACTCAGATGCACTTTAATGTGTCTTCTAGGACATTTTTCCAGAAGAATTCGGCCCCATGTATGACACAGCACTGCAGACTCTGATGTGGGAGTTCCTCTCCAGGCTGGAGAAGCTGCTTCCAACACCAACATTTCAACAGGTAGGTGCAATTTGGGAAGAGACAATAGTGGCGGTCTTGGCCGATTTGAATTGATGTTCTCATATTGCTGAGTCTACCATAGCTTACTGTTGCCATTTGGTCAGTTTAATTTGTTGCATATTTAAAACCACCACTCGTTCTCAGACTGCATCATGGCTTAGACCTGCCCCCTCTATGCTGAAGGAGTGTGCACAGTATGTGACTCAACCTCAGCCTTTGAAGACCCTTCTCCAGCACCACAGATGCCATGACCATTTGTTCACTAATGGTAGGCATTTATAAGTTATACAGTGGCTTGCGAAAGTATTCACCCCCCTTGGCATTTTTCCTATTTTGTTGCTTACAACCTGGAATTAAATTTGATTTTTTGGGGGTTTGTATCATTTGTTTTACACAACATGCCTACCACTTTGAAGATGCAAAATATTTTTTATTGTGAAACAAACAAGAAATAAGACAAAGAAACAGAGAACTTGAGCATGCCTAACTATTCACCTCCCCAAAGTCAATACTTTGTAGAGCCACCTTTTGCAGCAATTACAGCTCCAAGTCTCTTGGGGTATGTCTCTATAAGCTTGGCACATCTAGCCACTGGGATTTTTGCCCATTCTTCAAGGCAAAACTGCTCCTTCAAGTTGGATGGGTTCCGCTGGTGTACAGCAATCTTTAAGTCATACCACAGATTCTTAATTGGATTGAGGTCTGTGCTTTGACTAGGCCATTCCAAGACATTTAAATGTTTCCCCTTAAACCACTCAAGTGTTGCTTTAGCAGTATGCTTAGGGTCATTGTCCTGCTGGAAGGTGAACCTCCGTCCCAGTCTCAAATCTCTGGAAGACTGAAACAGGTTTCCCTCAAGAATTTCCCTGTATTTAGCGCCATCCATCAATCCTTCAATTCTGACCAGTTTCCCAGTCCCTGCCGATGGAAAAACATCCCCTCAGCATGATGCTGCCACCACCATGCTTCACTGTGGGGATGGTGTTCTCGGGGTGATGAGAGGTGTTGGGTTTGCTCCAGACATAGCGTTTTCCTTGATGGCTAAAAAGCTCAATTCTAGTCTCATCTGACCAGAGTACCTTCTTGCATATGTTTGGGGAGTCTCCCACATGCCTTTTGGCGAACACCAAACGTGTTTGCTTATTTTTGTCTTTAAGCAATGGCTTTTTTCTGGCCACTCTTCCGTAAAGCCCAGCTCTGTGGAGTGTACGGCTTAGTGGTCCTATGGACAGATACTCCAATCTCCGCTGTGGAGCGTTGCAGCTCCTTCAGGGTTATCTTTGGTCTCTTTGTTGCCTCTCTGATTAATGCCCTTCTTGCCTGGTCCGTGAGTTTTGGTGGGTTGCCCTCTCTTGGCAGGTTTGTTGTGGTGCCATATTCTTTCCATTTTTTAATAATGGATTTAATGGTGCTCCGTGGGATGTTAAAAGTTTCTGATATTTTTTTATAACCCAACCCTGATCTGTACTTCTCCACAACTTTGTCCCTGACCTGTTTGGAGAGCTCCTTGGTCTTCATGGTGCCGCTTGCTTGGTGGTGCCCCTTGCTTAGTGGTGTTGCAGACTCTGGGGCCTTTCAGAACAGGTATATATATACTGAGATCATGTGACAGATCATGTGACCCTTAGATTGCACCCAGGTGGACTTTTTTTTCTTTTTCCGCAAGATCTTATTTAGGGGCTTCATAGCAAAGGGGGTGAATACATATGCACGCACCACTTTTCCATTATTTTATTTTTTTCACTTCACCAATTTGGACTATTACATGAAATCCAAATAAAAATCCATTTAAATTACAGGTTGTAATGCAACAAAATAGGAAAAAGGGGGATGAATACTTTTGCAAGGCACTGTATGCTTCAAGAATCAATGAGTATACAGTATATAATTAAAGTCCCAAAATTGATGTAGCAATCACAGGAAGACAAAATATTTGATTGTTTTCTATTTTTTCCCAATGTTTCAGCTCATTCTTCATTTGCCGATGATCGCATCCTCTCTTCACTGTCTCAAACGCTCTCAGAGAGGGTGGAAATTGACATTTATGAAGCACGCTCACATAGCCAGTCTATAGCCACATGTGCACCCAGAAATGAAAGGGACACTTTGATAGAGCAAGGTAATGCAGAGAAGGAGCGGGGGATGAGTTTGGACACGGTTAAGAAGGCAGTGGAAATGATGGATAGAAGGACAGAGGAATGGAGAGAGAACAACTATGAGGAGAGACTGCAACATCAGTTGGCTTATGATGTTTTACAGGTAGAGATTGTAGATGGAGAAGACATGTCCTCAACGTCATCGTTGACAGCAGACGAAGTCGGATGGACCTGCTGGACCCCCGAAGAGACAAAGGCGCTTATCTCTGTATGGTCAGATGAACAGATTCTTCATAAAATGGAGCAAAGTTATAGAAAAAAACATGTGTACAGAGAAATTTCTGAGTGTTTAAAGGAGCTTGGTGTCAAAAAGACGACAAAGCAGTGTCACAATAAGATGAAAGCCTTGAAGTGGAGATACAGAGAAACACTGAGGAACCCAAGTAGCCGACCGTGTCCATTCTTTTCTGAACTGCACACATTTCTTGCCGATATGCCTGAGTCCAAGGAAACTGGCAAGGTTTCAGATGGAGAAGTCATGTCTTCAGATCAGGATAAAGGGCCTTCTGTGGATGTCGAGTTAGTGCATCTAAATGAAGAAATGGTTTCTAGAAAAGTGAAAGACAAGACACTCACCGGAGATCGAACAGAAGTGAGAAAGAGGGATGAGGCTTTTTGCAGCCCTCAAAGTGACAGCAAGATGAAAATCCCCCCCAAAAAACGTTGTCGCAAACCGATGGTTGAAGACATGTCCTCAACAACATTGGCAGACGGTACACGGGCCTGGACCCTGGAGGGGACGAAAGCACTGATCTCCATATGGTCAAACAAACAGGTTCTTCAGATGATGGAGCAAAGTTACAGAAAAAAACATGCATACAGTGAAGTTTCAGAGCGGCTAAAGAACCTTGGCATCAAAAGGACGTGGAAGCAATGCCAATCAAAGATTAAGCACATGAAGCACAGCTACAGACAAGTACTGAGGAACCCAAGCAGTAGTGGCCGGGCAACCTGTCCATTCTTTTCTGAACTGCACAAATTTCTCGCCACCATGCCTGATATGCCTGAGTCCAATGAAACTGGCAAGGTTTCAGATGGAGAAGTCATGTCTTCAGATCAGGATGAAGGGCCTTCTGTGGATGTCGAGTTGGAGCATCTAAATGAGGAAATGGTTTCTAGAAAAGTGAAAGACAAGACACTCACCGGAGATCGAACAGAAGCGAGAAAGGGGGATGAAAGTATCAGCAGAAAGAAACAGGCGGTTGAAGATATGTCTGATTTGGAACTTCAGCCCGTAGTGCTGCTGACCCAACTTGACGACAACGGTTGTGTGACAGGTGAGGAAAACATTTTAATATATATATTTTTTAAACAATATATTTATGACATGTATGGAAGTTGTGTGTGTAGAATTAATTCCATGGTTTAAGTTAGGGGTATGGAAGTTCTATGTGTGTAGAAAATGTATTCCAAGGCTCAAGTTAGGGGTGAGTGACTGTATCCTCTGTATCCTTTAACAATGGTACTTCTCTCCTCTCAACACCAGGTGGTGCTCCTCGTCCTGTTTCCCATACCACAGGGCAGTCTTCTAAAATAAGCAAGCGAGCCAAAATATGCTCCTTATGTGGGAAGAGTTTTGTTGAAGCAAAAGATTTGACAACACACATGAGAACTCACACTGAGCAGAGCCCTCACCAGTGCACCCAGTGTGGGGAAGGCTTTGAACATCAGGACGACTTACAAAAACATCAGCAGAATGAGTGTGATGAGATGATGAACCAACAGGAGGCCAATGAACACCAGCATGGAAAGGACAGGATCTCAGGACAGTCCAGTAATGCAAGTAGTGATCCCAAAACATGCCATCTATGCCATAAGACTTTTGAATTTCAATATATGTTGAGAAGGCATCTTATTGTATTTCACAAAGGCAGAATACTTTTTAAGTGTCCTCTTTGTCTAAAGGGTTTTGCCTTCCTCAGTGCTTTGAAGAAACACCAGAGTAACAAAAGAGGTTGTCCTACAAGTGAAGCCGTCAAAAAAAGGAGGGAGCTATGGTCAAAAAACCCTTCTGCCCGCATACTTCCAGGACTTTCCTTAAATACAAATAATTCCAAAACATGCCCTGTATGCCATGCAACTTTTTCACAAACGTCTAGTTTGAAAAGCCACTATATTTACCATCATGACCCAGACAAAAGCCGCTTTAAGTGTCACCGATGTTTGAAGGCTTTTGTATCCCACAGTCAAATGAAGAGACACCAGCAGAGCAAAAGAGGTTGTCAGTTAGAGAGAGTTCACAAAAATAGGAGTAAGCCAGCATGGTCACTGGCTCCTCGGGAAAATAAAAATGAGATTCCTCAGCCTTCCAGTACAGCAACCCAGGAACCAACAACCTCTCAAGTTCCCACCACTACAGCACAGTCCTCTAATAAAAAGACTATTCCCAAAGCATGTCCTATATGCCATAAGACTTTTAAATTTGAAGCTACCATGGTAAGGCACATTGCTTCTCACCAAAAGGAAAGTCTCAACAAGTGCCCTGACATCTTGAAGTGCACCTTTTGTGAAGAGATCTTTTCTCAGGGCATGGACCTGAAGAGCCACTACAGTCGTACTCATCAATTTACGGGACCATTCCCCTGCCCTTCTTGTCAGAAGACTTTTGTTTCATTAACTGAGCTGCGCTTACATCAGAGAAATGAGTCCACTCCTTACCAATGCTCTGTGTGCCAGCGATTATTCAGAACACAGTATACCCTGACTATTCACGAGCGAATTCACACAGGGGAGAAACCGTTCCTCTGCGCTGAGTGTGGGAAGGGTTTCCGGAGTGAAAAACTGCTGCAATCACACTCTAAGAGTCATGTTGAGGGAAAACCCCACTCTTGCTCCACTTGTGGGAAAAGGTTCCAGAGAAGAGAGCTATTGAAACAACACATGTTACATCACAAGGATGCTGCTTTCGTCTGCCCAGACTGTGGGAAGAAGTTTTTTCAGTTGGTATGGTTAAGAAGGCATATGTTAATGCACACTGGAGAGAGACCGTTCCTATGTGACCTCTGCGGGAAGGGTTTCAAATCTACAGCTGAATTGAGGATACACACTCGGACACACACTGGAGAACGGCCATTCAAGTGCCCAGAATGTGGCAAAGGTTGTAGGCAGAAGAGTGAGCTGCAGGAGCATCTGCGGAGGCACACAGGGGAGCGGCCGTATCCATGCACCGTGTGTGATAAATGCTTTTATGTCAGCAAAGATAGAAAACGACATATGCTCATCCATACTGGAGAGAAGCCATTCAAATGTCAAGTATGTGGCATGGCTTTCAACCGTAGAACACTTTTGAGGGTACACCAAAAAAACAAGTCATGTTTATATAGCCCCAGAAGTCCCCTACATTACACTCCCCTACATTACACATCATTGTAATGTTGAGGATTTGGGATTCTTGATAAGTGTTGGGATTCGGAAAAGTACATATTACTCGTTATATTTGAGAAAAGTAATCTTGTTACGTTACATATTACTCGTTATAACTTTTTACGCCAGCCATTCAGCACCATGGAGCTCCACTAAAGGCCTACCTGTATCATATGAGCCAAGCCCCACCAAGGCGCTATCCTAGGTGCTGAATCCTTCATTCACAATTGCCAATTGATAGCCTAATATTGTCACCCATCAGACTATTGTGATTTCAATCTGCTCTTTAGGCTACATCTATTATATGTGTGAAATTAGTTTAGATCGGCCATTAGTCAACTGTCAGGTGAAGGAAGGGCAGTGGGGGGAAAATACATCCTCCTAAAACTGCTTAGAACACAAACTCTTGTGATATCGAAATTCTAACAACGTCAGTGTGTTAAATAGACTTATTTAGGAAAAGTCACGGACTGAGGTGGTATGACTTTATTACAATGCATTTTGTGTTTTGGATTTGACATAGTTTGCATTCACGATCAGCAGTTTAATGCGCCGGTTATTTACATTTTGATGTTGGCATTGAAGTCCTACTTGTTGTGACTTGATAGCCTGTATTTAGTGACACGTTTCGTAAAGCTGTTTGTTTATGGACAATAGGCCTAGGCGTATCGAAATATAATTTCGTTTTGATGAGACATTTATCAGACATTGCATTTATCATTTTGATTGTTTGTATGGACATTTCGTAATCACACTTTAAAATATTGTTTAGGCATATGCATCTTTGTTTATTATAAATGTGTAGGCCTATAGATTTCTCATTTTTCAAGCTTTTCTGGAACTTTGGCTACCAGCTTTGTGCCTTTTGTGCACGACTTCCAGATGCTACAGTATTTCAGGATTGATGTGTTTCTGGACGAAGAGAGCAATGCTTGCTGCCTGTGCAGAGTTTGCGTTTGACTAAAATGTTGTTCTCTTTCTTTTCGATTAACTCAAAAATAATGGGAGCATTTCCACGAGGAAAAGGTTAAGCAGGGTAACAACACAGGTGCCATGTTTTAAATGTTCGGCTTTACGATAGCCTAGGAAACGAGTTAGCCTAGCTGCAACATTAACTCGGTTAGGCTTTAAAAAATATATATATATTTAACACGCAGAGAGAGATGATTCTGAAAGTAAGACTCGTTACTTGAAAAAGTAACAAACAATATTACAATATTTGAAGACCGTAACTCGTTATATTACGCTGTTACTCATAAGTTACCCCCAACACTGGCCTTAAAGAGCATTAGCTTGATCTTTTTATAGCATTAATGTTCCGTGTCTTTATTTAAGGCAGTATTATAATTTTCCCAAGATAAATCACTCTGTGCCAGGTGTTGAAAGGGTTTCCTGACTGTGACAAAACTGGACCTGTTCCTTTATGCCACCCTCTGTAAGATGTACATACCATCAAAGAATAATAAGAAGCTAAGAAAAATAATTTGGTTATTGTAACAAAATAAAAAAAATGAATGGGTGATGTGTGTGACTCTGTGGCATCACAGTTAATTTTAAATTGGTTTTGGCTGTGTTCCAGGACACCTGCATTGTACAGATTCAGATTTAACTCATTGATTGGGTTCATGTAAAGTAACACAACTTATTGGATAATGTTAAACCACCTCTGCATTCCTTTTTTGGGTACCTAAATAAAAATGTAATAAAGGATTATGCTTCTTGTTATTGGGAGGTGGGGGAATATGATTAAATGGTTTATAAGCATAGCCTATATAAGCATAGAGCAAACAGCTATTATAAGCAAGGCTAAGGAGAAATTCAAACTACAGTAGGGTCTGAAATTACTGACACCCTTGATAAAGATGAGCAAAAATGACTATAAAATATATAATTGAAATACTGAGCTATAGTGTATGTAAAAATAATAATAATAAAAAGTCAAGGGAAATTCTATTTTATACTAATACAATTGCTCAGATGAAGAGATTTAGTTGAACAAGTATTATTTATTTTGTCAAAAAGGTAGGGGTCTAAATGATTGACACCCCTGTTTTCAATACCTTTCAATGCCTTACCTTCAACCAGATCCTTGATATCCCTCGTCTCTGCGTTTATGGACCGCCCTCTTCAATTCAAACCATAGGTTTTTAATGGGTTTCAAGTCCGATGACTGAGATGGCCATTGCAAAATGGCATTATACTTGGAAAGATGGTGTAACCTGTGGACATTGGAGGATTGAAGAAGGAATGATGGATTGGCTGCTGTGGGTGAAAGAGAAAATTAGGAATATATAGTGCCTTCGGAAAGTATTCAGACCCTATCACTTTTTCCACATTTTGTTACGTTACAGCCTTATTCTAAAATGTAATCGATTATTTTTTTCCCCTCATCAATCTACACACAAACCCCATAATAACAAAGCAAAACCAGGTTTGTAGACTAATTTATTCAACAAAATAAGCTGAAAGAATACATTTCCATAAGTATTCAGACCCTTTACTAAGTACTTTGTTGAAGCACCTTTTGGCAGCGATTACAGCATCGAGTCTTCTTGCGTATGATGCTACAAGCTTGGCACGCCTGTATTTGTGGAGTTTCCCATTCTTCTCTGCAGATCCTCTCAAGCGCTGTCAGGTTAGCTGGGGGGCGTTGCTGCACAGATATTTCAGGTCTCTCCAGAGATGTTAGATCGGGTTCAAGTCCGGGCTCTGGCTGGGCCACTCAAGGACATTCAGAGACTTGTCCCGAAGCCACTCCTGCGTTGTCTTGGCTGTGTGTTTAGGGCCGTTGTCCTGTTGGAAGGTGAACCTTCACCCCAGTCTGAGGTCCTGAGCGCTCTGGAGCAGGTTTTCATCAAGGATCTCTCTGTACTTTGCTCCATTCATCTTTGCCTCGATCCTGACTACTCTCCCAGTCCCTGCCACTTAAAAACACCCCCACAGCATAATGCTGCCACCACCATGCTTCACCGTAGGGATGGTGCCAGGTTTCCTCCAGACTTGACGATTGGCATTCAGGCCAAAGAGTTCAATCTTGGTGTCATCAAACCAGAGAATCTTGTTTCTCATGGTCTGAGAGTCTTTCGGTGCCTTTTGGCAAACTCCAAGCGAGCTGTCATGTGCCTTTTACTGAGAAGTGGCTTCCATCTGGCCACTATCATAAAGACCTGATTGGTGGAGTGCTGCAGAGATGGTTGTCCTTCTGGAACGTTCTCCCATCTCGACAGAGGCACTCTGGAGCTCTGTCAGAGTGACCATTGGGTTCTTGGTCACCTCCCTGACCAAGGCCTTTCTCCCCCAATTGCTGAGTTTGGCCGGGCGGCCAGCTCTAGGAAGAGTCTTGGTGGTTCCAAACTTATTCCATTGAAGAATTATGGAGGCCACTGTGTTCTTGGGGACCTTCAATGCTGCAGAAATGTTTTGGTACCCTTCCCCAGATCTGTGCCTCGACACAATCCTGTCCCGGAGCTCTACGGACAATTCCTTCGACCTCATGGCTTGGTTCTTGCTCTGACATGCACTGTCAACGGTGGGACTTTATATAGACAGGTGTGTGCCTTCACAAATCATGTCCAATCAATTTAATTTGGGATGATCAATGGAAACAGGTTCCACCTGAGCTAAATTTTGAGTCTCATAGCAAAGGGTCTGAATACTTATGTAAATAAGGTATTTCTGTTTTGTATCTTTTATAAATTTGCAACAATTTATAAAAACCTGTTTTCGCTTTGTCGCTATGGGGTATTGTGTGTAGATTGAGGAACAAAATCAATTTAATCAATTTTAGAATAAGACTGTAACGTATCAAAATGCGGAAAAAGTCAAGGGGTGTGAATACTTTCTGGATGCACTGTAAGTAAAAGCAGGAAATACATCACCTATGCCTTTACTGTCCATTCATTCCAATTAGACTGGTTTTGGATTTCTCCCTGACCAAGATGGCTGCCATTTTGGCCCCGTTATGGAACTTTGAGGATTCATGACATACCCCTTCTAGTAATATAATGGAATCTCTATGGATAGAACCCACAATCTTATCTGCTTATTTGTGGGATTAGATGTGTGCCCCCCTTCCCCCCTTAATATATTAGAGAAGTCCATACAGTCCTTAAATGTTATAAGCCCTGTGTGATATCACATAAATTGGCCCTTGAAGGGAAAACACACAAATGGGGGGTGAAGAGAGACAAAAAGAGTTGGTGAGAGCGCCTAGAGTAGATACTTTATTGTCCATTTTACAACAGAAGTTGAATGATTTGCTGTCACAATACCCAACCTTACACACACACACACACACCCACAAGGTCCGGAGCGGCACCGCGTCAGTCACAGAGCAGCGCCGCCAGAGCAATTGTAGGGGTTAAGTGCCTTGCTCAAGGACACAACGGCAGAGAACGACCGTGAGGAAAGAAGAGGGAGAGGCACTCCGCCAATGTCTACACATGCATGGTGGTTTTCAGATGGAAGGCATTGGTAAGAAGAGAGGTGAGTAAAGGGAAGGCAGGATTCACACTCGTGGATTTGGCTCCATTTCAGTATCTTGTCTTGCGCTTGTTGTCTGTCCCTGAAGAGACCAGGTCAGTAATAGAAATACACTGCAAGGGAGAAGATGAGAAAGAAACCATGTAAATATCACAGAGTAAACGGTTGTTTCCTACTTTGGACATCAGACTACTACAGTTTACAGCAATACAAAAATAAATGTGCATGTGTTTCACAATTTAACAAAACTCAAGTGAAGCAGACTTCGTCTGTAAGTGAAAATGTATACTGAACAAAAAAATCTAACGCAACTTGAAACAATTTTAACGATTTTACTGAGTTAGAGATCATATAAGAAAATCAGTCAATTGAAATAAATAAATTAGGCCCTAATCTATGGATTTTGCGTGACTGGGCAGGGGCCCACCCACTAGGGAGCCCAGCCAATCAGAATGAGTTTTTCCCCACAAAAGGGCTTTATTACAGACAGAAATATTCCTCAGTTTCATCAGCTGTCCAGGTGGCTGGTCTCAGACAATCCCACAGGTGAAGAAGCTGAATGTGGAGGTCCTGGGCTGGCGTGGTTACACGTGGTCTGAGGTTGTGAGGCCGGTTGGACGTCCTGCCAAATTCTCTAAAATGATGGAGGCGGCTTATGGTAGAGACATGAACATTAAATTCTCTGGCATCAGCTCTGGTGGACATTCCTGCAGTCAGCATGGCAATGCACGCTCCCTCAACTTGAGACATCAGTAGCATTGTGTTGTGTGACAAAACTGCACATTTGAGTGGCCTGTTACACAGATGCACCTGTGTAATGATCATGCTGTTTAATCAGCTTCTTGATATGCCACACATGTCAGGTGGATGGATTATCTTGGCAATGGAGAACTGCTCACTAACAGGGATGTGAACAAATTAGTGCACAAAATTTGAGAGAAATAAGCTTTTTGTGTGTATGGAACATTTCTGGGAGCTTTTATTTCAACTCGTGAAACATGGGACCATCACTTTACATGTTGCGTTTTATATTTTTGTTCAGTATAGATATATATGGTACTTACTGAAGACAACTCCAACACATATGACTCCTATGATTGCCATTATGATCATCATCTGAAAAAAACAAAAAACGATATAAAACCTTCAAATAAAACACTTCTATATTGTCTCTAACACATTTGATTATGTATTATTTTGAATCTAAAATCCATTCAATGTTACTCTCTCATCATGATAGCTGTAACCTTGCTCTTTGCATATACACTACATGACCAAAAGTATGTGGAAACCTGCTCGTCGAACACAAAACCATGGGCATTAATATGGAGTTGGTCCACCCTTTGCTGCTATAACAGCCTCCACTCTTCTGGGAAGGTTTTCCACTAGATGCTGGAACATTGCTGCGGGGACTTGCTTCCATTCAGCCACAAGAGCATTAGTGATGTTGGGCACTGATGTTGGGCGATTAGGCCTGGCTCGCAGTTGGCGTTCCAATTCATCCCAAAGGTGTTCACACCGATCTCGATAAACCATTTCTGTATTCATCTCGCGTTTCTGTATGGACCAAACTGTAGCCACAAAGTTGGAAGCACAGAATTGTCTAGAATGTAATTGTATGCCGTAGCGTTAAGATTTCCCTTCACTGGAACTAAGGGGCCAAGCCCGAACCATGAAAAACAGCCCCAGACCATTATTCTTTACAGTTGGTACTATGCATTGGGGCAGGTAGCGTTCTCCTGGCATCTGCCAAACCCAGATTCGTCCGTCGGACGATTTTTACGCTCTATGCGCTTCAGCAATCAGCGGTCCCGTTCTGTGAGCTTGTGTGGCCTACTACTTCACGGCTGAGCCGTTGTTGCTCCTAGACATTTCCACTTCACAATAACAGCACTTACAGTTAACCGGGCAGCTCTAGCAGGGCAGAAATTTGACAAACTGACTTGTTGGAAAGGTGCCATCCTATGATGGTGCCACATTGAAAGTCACTGAGCTCTTCAGTAAGGCCATTCTACTGCCAATGTTTGTCTATGGAGATTGCATGGCTGTGTGCTCAATTTTATACACTTGTCAGCAATGGGTGTGGCTAAAATAGCCAAATCCACTAATTTGAAGGGGTGTCCACATACTTTTGTATATATAGTGTATATTGCTTGCTGTTGCTTCTCTCTCATCGTTATTTACAATGTACAGTAGATCAGCTACTGATCATAAACAGAGGCCAGGATTCAATCCAAGAGCAGCGCACTGGAAAGCCGACAATGCGCCTTTTTAAAGGCAATTTCCCCAATACTCGCACCCGGAAATGCATGCACATGTTGGTTTAAGCATAAATTACCTTTAAAAGTCTGATCTATAATGGACCTTGGATTGAATCCCAGCCATAGTATAAATAAATAACACTATGATACTGCTGCAGCACGTCACGTGTGGATTATATGCCAAGAGGGCATAAGCATGACTATCACACTACTTGCAAGCCAATCATCAAATCACATTTATTTCTAAAGACCTTTTTACATCAGCAATGACCTAAAAAGGTACACCTGTGTGATGTGGTTTATGCCTGTATGGCAAATAATTATTTGATTTCAGAGAGAGGTTAGCCGTGATGAATATTATATTAGAGACGGTTATGTAGAGCATAAAAGAGGAAAAAAATACAAAATCAACCGGATGACTGAGATTAGGAGAGCAACAAGAGGATCGTGAGCGAGAGAGTATGAGTGAGGAAGGGAGGAATAGAGGAAGCATTAGAGGGAGAGAGATGAGCTGTAGGGGTTACATCACGAGTCGAGCCACAGCTGAGTTTAATCCTGCATCACACTGTAATCCAGATTGGGATTTCTAACCACTCCCCCTCCTCAACGGACACACGTGATTGGACGGGCGACGGGATAGCCATCTGTGCTCAAAAGCAGAGGAGGGAGGGGGAGGGGGGGTTGGTTGAGGGTTTATAAATTCATGCTGTGAGAAAGATGGATTGAAGGATAGATGATAGAAGGATCTACATTTTGTATATAGTAAGGGCTCTATTCAATCCGTATTGCAGAAGTTCAACGTTACAGCGTAATTAAAATTTAAAGGCAATGTTCCCGTGTTAGCGGCTACATTCACGATAAGAAACATTGCCTATGTCGCCTCAACTGGAAATTACCTTTACATTTATATTGTGCAATCTGCAACCTAAGTGAGGTCACAGGAGAAAGGAGCAAACAAAGGGCTAAGATGGTAGTTGTAGGGACAAAGAGTCACAAGGACTGGCAGGATTTGCACTTTTGGGAATATTCTGTTGGTTCCATATTCTGCTGGTTCCAGGTAAACTCAGTCAAGCACAGCTAAAGTGAAGGATTTCAAATACTATATGAACCCAGGTCTGATATGTTGGAGAGAGAGTTTTCTTCTCTGTATAGGGACATAATTTGTATAAAATGTCTGAGCACTGTGGAAATACCCCAATACCTTATCATGATATACAGTTAGTTTGTGACTGCAATGGTATGGTAGCCTGCACCTAAGCATAACACCGCAAACTCGCTTTATAATTAAAGAGTGACCTATGTGAAGGTTATATTAAAAATTATGTGTGAAGAGTTGCCTGAGACCTGAAGACTTGCAACCTACTGAACTAATGCCTAGGCTTTAACTCAAAGGGCTAACACAGACCTGTGGCATGTAGGAGAACCGGGTTTGAACCCAGTCGGTCACATACATACACACACAAACACGAACCTTGAGGTTTTTCCACCAGTACTTGTTCTTCAGCTTGGCAGCACTACTCTCAAACTGTGAGGCCCCGGCTTGCAGCGCATCGGCCCTGTCATCCAGCTCCGACAGTCTCTGATCCCTCTCTAACACCTTGTCCACGTTCACACGCATGATGTCCACTACCTATAGGGGACGGAAGTGGAAAGCAGAGGACAGTCAGCATCATGCTAATTTTGCCTTACCAGACCCCAACACTGTATTCTTGTTGATGAAGAAACTTCCAGGTAACTGCCAAAATAAAGGAAACACCAACATAAAGTGTCTTAATAAGGTGTTGGGCCACCACGAGCCAGAACAGCTTCAATGCACCTTGGCATAGATTCTACAAGTGTCTGGAACTCTATTGGAGGGATGTGACACCATTCTTCCACGAGAAACTCCATAGTTTGGTGTTTTGTTGATGGTGGTGGAAAACACTATCTCAGGCACCACTCCAGAATCTCCCATAAGTGTTCAATTGAGTTGAGATCTTGTCTGAGACGGCCATGGCATATGGTTTACATCGTTTTCATGCTCATCAAACCATTCAGTGACCACTCGTGCCCTATGGGGGCATAGCCATGGTAGCCAAAATAATAGCCTACCCAACATTTTTTATACATGAGCCTAAGCACGATGGGATGTTAATTGCTTAATTAACTCAGGAACCACACCTTTGTAGAAGCACCTTCTTTCAATATGCTTTGTATCCCTCATTTACTCATGTGTTTCCATTATTTTGTCAGTTACCTGTAGAACGTCTGCAGTGGAGGCTAGCATTGCCCCTAATGGTCGGGAAATCAATTCTGACTGAGTAGAAGTCATGTGAACTTTTAACTGCCAATGTCACTGATGTACGGTAGATGGTAAGAACAGGATATAGTTGGAATTACCCAATGATCAGGTAATCAATCATGTCTGATCAGAATGGATGTTTGGAATCTCCATTGTAAATATCAATGTCACTGAGAGTTGAGGACAGAGTCCGCATTAGTTACCCAATGGTCAAGGGATCAATTGACTGAGTAGAAGTGATGTGAGCCTCCACTACAACTGTTGAGGTGGTGAGGATAGTCAGCATTGCTCAAGGAGTGAGTTATTTCAAAAGTAGTGCACGAACATTCAAAAAAACGTCCACAGGTGCAGGGTCCAAATAATGCCATTGGAAAAAGAAGAATACCCGCACAGCACACAATGGTTGAATGCTACGGTATTTCAATAGCAACGTTTTTACCTCTATGGGACCTCTCCATCCTCATTATGAGTGATTAGAACAGATGTGTAAACCTCCACTTTAAATGTTGATATGACTCACACAGATGGCCAGAGAATACATCCGGTTGTCTCTCTCTGTGATCAATGTTTAGGCCCCTGTAACCTCTCACTGACTCATCTCTCTTTTCTTAAATCATTCCTCCTTTTATTGACCACTCATCCTTCAATCACTTCCTGCCTCCCATCACCTTGCTCATCATCTCCACTTAGGACCCCATCCTCCCATCATACTTTACTTAGATTTTCAACAATAAAGAGAGTATCCTTACCACTTCATTCTTTCATCGCTACTTTCCCCTGGCTTTATCCTTTCATCCTTCCCTCTATTCATACCCTTCATTATCGTTCTATCCCACCTTCCACCCAGGCTTTATAATAGTTTACTTCACATATAACCCTTCTGTACATTCCTGACAAATAAAGGTTGTTTACATGATCGCCCAAATAAATGAATCGCACTGACATATTAAAAGAACAACACTTTAAAAATTGTACTCTTCTCTGAATCTTACCTCATCCACCTGTGCCTGTGTCTGCTGTAGTCGTCGGTTACTGGTGAGGTTGGGTGCTGGGGCCGAAGGCCCCCCCTCTCCCTCAGGGGCTCCTGGGGTTCCTGCGTCTGGGGTCGACCTGCGGAGAAAGAGAGAGAGGCATTAAGTTACTGACAACAACAACAACTGACAAAAACCCACCAAAACTGATACGACTATGGCACATTGGAACAGCAAAAGGAATTATGTTTTTTTTTGTATGTATTATTTGTGTACCTGTTTGACATTTTACTGCATTGTTAGGAGCTAATAACATAAGCATTTTGCTGCACCTGCATATAATTTTATTTTGATTTGATCTGATCTTGCTAAGCCATATAGTAAGTGGGCTATACTAGCATTGGCTCTAAGTGAAGAATAACTGAAGTGGGCCTCTTCAAACACTAACTATTAATAAGCAGTTTTTGTCAGTTGTTGTTGTATATCGGCTATGGTATAAAATATGATATGATGTTTAAACTACAAAAGCAAATCATAGGCCTGTTCTCTCATCATGTCTGAGCAAACCCTGACCAAACAACCACTCTGGTTTGATTTGGTACAGAGCTTGTAATAGACAGGCTGGATTTCCACTTGCAAAATGGAGAGAGATTAGCGGGAAAAGCCATGGAGGCTGCTCTTAACAAAGATGGATGCATTTTGTTCCAGATAAACAAGCCAGGAAAAGTGCTGTAGGCTAGTGATTGAGTAGACAACAAGAAATAACGATCAAAATTATATATTTTTTAAACACTACAACACCTAGCTTCATAAAAGCCAATATGAAGATGAGCACAATGATGAATATTGACTGAGTCATTGTGAATGAGTCATTCTACTGTTTATATGGTGAGACTGACAATATATTGAGAGACATGTAGCCTAACATTCTTTTGTAATAGGCCTACTTTCTGTGATATATTTGACCTTTGGGCAGACTATTGTAATACTAAAATAAATATATACGAGCAACTATTTCAATAGAGTTTTAGCTTAGCAGGAACCCAACCCATAATTGCATTTAGTTGACATCACCAAAACAAAACACTTGCTCTAACATCCTAAAATCATTATTTAAAACGCTGTAGGCTATATCTCGATCAGACACTATTTTAGAAATACATCGTATACATTTAGCTGAATTAAAAAACAGAATACAATTCAGTTTACTCACATGTCGATGGTTGCTGCTTTATAATAAATAATCCGCTTTCAAAGGAGAGAGGTGAGAGAGGGCTCGCGCAGTGAGAGAGAGAGAGAGAGAGAGAGAGAGAGAGAGAGAGAGAGAGAGAGAGAGAGAGACTATAGCTATGTTTGTGAAAGTAGTACTATAAACAGACAAGGGAACGATTGGTTCAATACTCCGTAGGAATCCAGCCGTCTTTTGTCACGTTGCTCCAATTTATTCCAAACTCTCTACTGAAACAACTGCAAGCCGCCGCCTGTTGAAAATGTCGATGAGCCTTTGGCGCACGACTCGCAGTCGGCAGGCATGCAGAGAGATGGCAGCAGGTTACCTGTATGTGACCGTCCCAATCGATGGTTGTAAAAAAAAGTTTTGGAGCGATATAGTCGACTATTGAAAAATATAGCCAATGGAAATGGAAGTGATCACTTGCTTGTCGCCACGAGAAACGTGCGCTTTCTTAGAATTTATCATTCCATCAGAAAAACTACAGCTGCTCTGACTTGCTTTTGTGAACCTCTAGGTAGAGCCTACTGCTTTGTTTCGTTTTTCTCAGAACAATGACGCTTGAAAGTAAACCATGTTAGCTTCTAAGAGTAAATCCACTGCAAAACAGAAATGGAGCTAGCTCAATATAAAGTGTTTGTGTGTGTCTGTGTGTGCGTGTATGAACGTGAGTGCGTCTGTGTGCGTGTTCTGGCTGCTTCGGGATTATGCATAAACAAGAAATCCAGTTTAGGCAGCAGATCATGATGAAGTTGAGGTCAGCTGCAGTGGTCACGTAGCAGAAAGGCTCTCCAGCAATGCTTTCATCTGAGTCCTCAATGACTTCAAAGTTGAGTCATTCGTTTCTTGCTTGGCTTTTAGGAAAGTCTAAATGGAAAGCGAATTAAATAATAATTAGGGAGTATGCGCCTGTTGGGGAAACATGCTTTAATAGAAATTAATACAAACAAACAAACTCCAGGGACTACAGTCTCCTTCAATATATTTTATTCTGTACACCACTTCCATTAATACATTGATAGATTGTTTCCCTTTCTTTCCAAAAACCTAGAGGTTGTTCAGTTACACAGATACAGTGTATATACAGTCGCAGATCAAATATATTGGTCTCAAAGTCTTTGTTTGCAACCCCTTACTCATTATATTGTTCCTTTACAATGCTGCTGTTTGACAAATTCATATTGGAAAATCACCTGCATTTCAATCATGTAGAGACTGGAAATGTAATGTTTAACTCTTTGACCACATATAATCGTATTATTTCACAGCTGTTACTAATATTCATATTTCAACAGATATATTTCATTTACATTTAGATTTTTTCAAAAGTTTACTTGCTGAGCTTACATTTACATTTACACTCCTTCTGTACACAGTTGCATGAAGAGGTATGGTAGTCAATTGATCGCTATGGTGATACAAGTCTTAAGACTGCTTTTGCTGTGATGTTTGCTTCTGTACATTCTTCTGTGTTTACTGTTTTGAGGTAAAGATAAGAGAAATTACTAGGCAGACATTCATGTTTTATAATATGAAAGATATGTTTTGAATCCCCAGAGAGGTGAACAAGTAAACTCTGAAACAATTCCAGCAATTGTTATAGACAGACATACACTACATGGCCAAAAGTGCAGTATGTGGACATCTTTGTTTATTATCATAATGTGTAGGCCTATAGATTTCTCATTTTTCACGCATTTCTGGAACTTTGGCTACGAGCTTTGTGCCTTTTGTGCATGACTTCCAGATGCTACACTACATGACCAAAAGTATGTGGACACCTGCTCGTCGAGCATCTCATTCCAAAATCATGGGCATTAATATGGAGTTGGTCCCCCCTTTGCTGCTATAACAGCCTCCACTCTTCTGGGAAGGCTTTCCACTAGATGTTGGAATATTGCTGCAGGGACATGCTTTCATTCAGCCACAAGAGCATTAGTGAGATCGGGCACTGATGTTGGGCAATTAGGCCTGGCTCGCAGTCGGCATTAAACTTCATCCCAAAGGTGTTTGATGGGGTTGAGGTCAGGGCTCTGTGCAGGCCAGTCAAGTTCTTCCACACCGATCTCGACAAACCATTTCTGTATAGACCTCGCTTTGTGCACGGGGGCATTGTCATGCTGAAACAGGAAAGGACCTTCCCCAAACTGCTGCCACAAAGTTGGAATGTCATTGTATGCTGTAGCGTTAAGATTTCCCTTCACTGGAACTAAGGGACCTAGCCCGAACCATGAAAAACAGCCCCAGACCATTATTCCTCCTCCACCAAACTTTACAGTTGGCACTGCATTCAGGCAGGTAGCGTTCTCCTGGCATCCGCCAGACCCAGATTCATCCGTCGGACTGCCAGATGGTGAAGCGTGATTCATCACTCCAGAGAATGCGTTTCCACTGCTCCTGAGTCCAATGGTGGCGCGCTTTACCCCACTTCAGCCGACGCTTGGCATTGCGCATGGTGATCTTAGGCTTGTGTGTGGCTGGTCGGCCATGGAAACCCATTTCATGAAGATCCCGACTAACAAATCTTGTGCAGAAGTTGTTTCCAGAGGCAGTTTGGAACTCGGTAGTGAGTGTTGCAACCGGGGACAGACGATTTTTACGGCTGAGCCGGTGTTGATCCTAGACGTTTCCACTTCACAATAACAGCACTTACAGTTGACCGGGGCAGCTCTAGCAGGGCAGAAATGTGACGAACTGACTTGTTGGAAAGGTGGCATCCTATGACGGTGCCATGTTGAAAGTCACTGAGCTCTTCAGTATGGGCCAGTCTACTGCCAATGTATGTCCCCCCAATTTTTTTTTTTTTTTAAGGGGGTGGTTGTCCACTGGCTATCCTAAGTTGAATGCACCAATTTGTAAGTCGCTCTGGATAAGAGTGTCTGCTAAATGACTTAAATGTAAATGTAAAAATGGAGATTGCATGGCTGTGTGCTTGATTTTATACATCTGTCAGCAACGGGTGTGGCTGAAATAGCAGAATCCACTAATTTGAAGGGGTGTCCACATACGTTTGTATATATAGTGTATATATGGTCTAGCCCACTGCTAAGGCACTCCCAAGAGTCAATGTGGATGTTTGTGATACACAGACAAATCTTCATATTGCCAGAAAAAGTATATAACCCATTAATTTGATTCTGTGCAAAACCGTGTATCTCAGAAACACACAATGTGTCATTTCAAACCCTGGACAAAATAATATCTACAGACAGAGGTAGCCTACATACATGCACACCAACATGTATACTAGCTTTTTGTGTATCCATAAGAACACCCAAAGACACTCTCAATACAATGGACACCTTTTCAGTCGTACTGTCTGAAATCTCTCTCTGAAATCTCTTACATGCCTTCTTGGTTTCTCTTACATGGCTTCGTCTTCACAGTGTACATTTACATGTTATTTACATTCAGTAGGTTAACAGCTAGTAAATGTGTTATATTTTAGCATTTATACAGCGTTACAATTACTGTTGAATATAGATCATTTTGTGCAACTTTATATGTGGAGATTTACAAACGGCACAATGTTGGGGGAAACGTTTTTACAATACGCTTTCTGACATCAATAAACAAAGTAGCGGCTCGATTCAATCCATAGCGCAGAAGATCTGTGTTGTGGTGTGGTTGAAATGTAAAGGTAATTTCCAATTGAGCCGACATATGCAGTGTTTACCGTGAATGCAGTCTCCGCGAATGCAGAAACATTGCCTTTAAATGTTAATCGCGCTATAACGCTGATCTTCTGTGCTACTGATTGAATCGAGCCCTAGATATGATTGTTGTTTACATTTTCTCCAACTGTAAACATTGAGCATGTTCAAGTGCAATGAAACTGTGCTACAACCACAGAACCACAGACAAAACCACAGATCTCACAAAACAAATGATTAAACACACTAGGTGGTCTGCCCGTGTTTAGATAATGAAGGTCTCATGCTACATAAAACTTGTCACAGTTTGAGTGCCCTTGATCGAGCTCCTAAAGCAGTTATTCACCTGCTAGCAGTATGTTTTATTGTCCTGAACAGGACCAATATCTACTGTACTTGTCCCTTTGTCCAAGGCCTTTAAACTCATACCTCTTGGCTCTCCATTTTGAAAAAGTGCACCAAAACGGCAGTCTGATTCACCGTTGGTTAATCAGAGAGCTTTTTTTCATTGTATTTGAAGTCAAAATGAAGTCACTGCTAGCTGATGATGTATACACTAGCATTGAGTGTGTGCTTTTTTAGGACATGTTTATGTGGGTTGCGATATCAACACTATCCAGGGGTTTATATGCAGTATGCTCCTATGTTTGCTTATAGTTTGGGATTACAGCAATGTGCATGACAGTACAAAGCTAATGGTCCCAATGGTTTACTTTTAACTCTAAACTTTGGGGAATAATTATACCAATGGCTTTTGTGAATTGTCTTTTCAAAACAACATAATATTATCCTGGGCATTTCATATAAAAAACTATCAACTATCATAATTTCATTATTGCAATTGTAATAGAAAATAAATAAATAGCAATAAAAATAAGTTATTTATTCATTTCAAAATAAAATACTGTATCTATCTGAATTTCAATGACGAATGAAAAAGTGCTGAAATAAATAAAGTGCATGAATATGTAACCAAGCAAATAAAAAAATAATAAAAAATGTTGTGAACTTTTCTGTTAATAACATGTTGTGTACATACGAATGTTGTGAACCTCTCTGTTAATAACATGTTGTGTACATACGAATGTTGTGAACCTCTCTGTTAACAACATGTTGTGTACATACGAATGTTGTGAACCTCACTGTTAATAACATGTTGTGTACATACGAATATGAAAAAATATATATGTATGCACTCACTAACTGTAAGTCGCTCTGGATAAGAGCGTCTGCTAAATGACTAAAATGTAAAATGTAAATACGAATGTTCTGAACCTCTCTGTTAATAACATGTTGTGTACATATGAATGTTGTGAGATTGATTAAAAAGGCTTTACATCCTTCGATATGTTTCTCAGAAATTGTATCCATACTTTTAAAAATGGAAAATAGATGAGAAGGATATTAACTAAGAAGAAAATAAATTTTCATAGATGGCTATCAACAGCTAGGCCCTTTCCCTTTAACAAACTGTAAATGTTCATTTTGTTTGACTGCGACAGACTACTAGATAATTACATATCCTGTGCAAATAGTTTGCTAATTGTGAATTTTTTTTGTTTGCCTTCAAAAATTCAGCTGTGGTTTCAAATCTGTAACTGCACAAAGACTGAGTGCAAATTGTTTTCGGTTGGACCTTGATACAGTACATATAGCAAGATCAATTGGCAAACTTAACAAAAATATATTTATTTTGATCGTTCATATCATATAAATAGCACAATGTTAAGAAATCCAATTGATTTCCTTGTATAAGTGCCATTTAGTTCTATCCTCAGATTAGGTGTCGTAATAACCTGAACCACAAGAGGACAGTGGTGACAATTGGCCCTGGCAAAAAATGTAAACAACAGCACTATCCAGACTATAGTACATCTACAGAGCATCATCAGTAAGGGTTAGGACTTCCTCCATGGTAAGTGAGGGACGGTACCACTATTAACCTCTGTGTCACAGTAGGGTTCATCACTTTCAGAGTCTGCGGGTGGGGACGCCTTATTCCTCTCCTTCTCGCCGTCATCAGAGTCCTCCATTGCTGCAGTAATGAGAGGGGGAGATTTCCTGAAAGGGAGACAAATAGGTGGAGTCAATACAACAGGCAATGACCTTGAGACAAGATGACTCAACGGTCCGTACTCATAGCCTGGTCCCAGATCAGTTTGTGCCGTCCTGCCAGCTCCTATGGTCATTGGTGTAATAATGACCATAAGAGATGGCAAGACGACACAAACTGATCTGGGACCAGGCTACCATACTCACAGACAGGTCAATGTAATGATAGTACAGTGTGGTACAGTGTGGCTAATGACAGCACCTGTATTCTCCATTCTCCACTGTCTACAATCTTATATGTTTATCACTTTCATTGTATGAAATGTTGTACTTATCCTTCTGGCATCATGGAATATAATATTGTGCCTCTGTCACTAGCATCTCTGTCTGCCTAGTATTTCATAGACCTACGCCCACGTCTTTCTAATATATGAAATCTATCAGTATCAGTACAGTTGGGAGAATTAAAGAGTTAACCTGTACTGTAGTGAATAAAAAAATAAAAAACACGTTTAATAGATGCATCACCAGGTGCATATTTCATACATTAAGAATTGTATTTCGTTACATGGGTTATTGTTAGATGATTACAAATGAACGGTGCTTGGCGTCACCCTGCGAGAGTATTCACAGTTACAGCATAGATCTCATACAACTTGCTATCTTTCACCTCTTTCTGGTATCTAATACCAGCCGTATCTCTAGGTATCTCTAGGGTATCTCTTTGACTGTTTGGATATCTCATACAGGTATCTTATACTGATATCTCATACCTAGGGTATCTTTTTGAGCGTTTAGAGTGTTCAGCACCATGCAGAGGTGTCTGATACCTGTCTCCACTCTGGGTGATGAGTCTCCTGCACGTCTCCATCTGCACGTCCAGGCCTCGCTTCATGGAACACATCTCCATGTACTCGTGCAGGTGTCTGTTCATGTCACTCTTAGCCGTGGCCAACTCCAACTGTGGCGACACAACGTAAGACAATCCATACTGTAAGTTTGCGCTCAGGTTTAAAGTGTCACCACAACATTCTTTGAGTAATGAGGGGCAGGATCTTTGCAAGTGCAAAACCAAAGGCCGCAGTCATTTGCATAAATCTTGTTTTCTTTTCTGTGTTTTCTTTTTGGTTGATTGTATTTGTCCTTATCGTTGCCACAGGTAACAGAGAATTTAGCAATTTAGCGAACAAGAGGAGGACATCTGGGAAAAAAGTTTTCTTCTAAAAAAAGACCTACCTTTAATTTGTTACTTCATTTTAACTTATCATCTACACAGGAACTCATTTCAACAGTGATTCATGTAAGCATATGGAACGGCTGACTTGTTTATTTCCATAATATTTCCATAATAATCCCAGAGAAACTTCTATGTATTTATGGCTCTGTTTACAGTAGTGCTTCATCGCTCTCTGCAGGCTTATAAATAGCCTCATGCAGCAAAGTCCTTATATTGTACAAACAGCCACTGGAAAACTGGTGCTTAGAAAAGGGCTTTGTTTACGCGTGCGTGTGTACATGTGTGTGTGTGTGTGTGTGTGTCTCACCTCGATCTGGTCGATGGTCTCCTGATACTCCTTCTCTCTGGTCTGGAAGAGGGACTCTGTGTCTTGTATCACCTTCTCTATGGACTCCTCCTGCTGCTGTGTGTGTGTGTGTGTGTGTGTGTGTGTGTGTGTGTGTGTGTGTGTGTGTGTGTGTGTGTGTGTGTGTGTGTGTGTGTGTGAAAGAGAGCGAGAGAGAAAACATTGGTTTGTGCTAATTTGCCTAATATACATGAGATGAATGTATATATTCTTAAATTCCATTATTTACTAGATTTGTGTGTATTGGGTATATGTTGTGAAATTGTTAGATATTACTGCACTGTCGGAGCTAGAAGCACAAGCATTTCGCTACACCCGCAATAACATCTGCTAAACACGTGTATGTGACCAATAACAATTTGATTTGATTTGATTGGATGAAATAAACTTCAATCAGTTTATGGAAATGTAATACACTGCCCATCCATTGCATAAGCACAGCTCAATTCCAAAGTGTCTCTATGGCTGAGATTATTTTTCTTTTGAGACTGTCTACAGATTTTAAAACATTGTCACTATTTTTTCAATTGTCCACTCTTGACTAACCAGATTGTGAATGAGAATGACTAACAGTACCAGGGTAAATCAAGATAAGCGTGTGTCTGTGTGTGTGTGTGCTACCAGCTTATCTGCATTACACTGTGATCCAGGGATCAGGACATGCCAATGTCACAGTTGTACATACAATGTGTTAAGTAGGACACAGACACACAGACACGGCAGCCCAACCATAAGAATGATTGACAAGCAGGAAGTACAGTGGCTTAGGTTAAAACATGCCTTTTAACACAGTTCTGGGATCAGCTTAACCTAGCCAGCTCCTAACATTAACCATTACATTGGTAAATACAAAACTGATCTTAGATCAGCCAGTGACTAGTGGCAAGTATAATGGCTTACCTCTCCCTGGGTCTCCACTGCTCCCAGAGTGTATCCTGGGAAATCCTCCCACAGCAGCAGAGTCTCCTCAGTCTCCTCCCAGGCCAGGCTGTCACAGTCGTCCTCAAACTCACATTCCCTCCTGCAAGACCAACAATAGTATGGCTTACTAGTTGTACATCTATTTATAGTTCACTGGCCGACTCTGGTCCACTCATGGCTTACAAGTGACAGACTTTAGTCCTGGAGATAAGCAGTGTGCAGGATTTTTATCCAGCCCAACTCTAACAGTCTTGATTCAAATAATCATGGTCTGAAATTGAGACCACAAGCTTTTGAATTAAGTGTGTTCGTACAGAGTGGCTCTCCAGGTGTGATGTTTGAGACTTTAGCAGACCTCGATTGCTGACCATATCCTAATAGTTAAGGAGCAGCCCAGAAAACTCACAACTGGTTCAGCATCCTCTGCATTTCCTCATTGATCTGATTGGCTGACGTGCTACACGACTCCTCATCCTTGCCCGCCTCGCTCTCAGAGATGCTGGTTGGTTCGTCCCCGTTAACCGATTGGGCCGCCTGCTTCCGGGGCCGGCGGGTCAGAGTGGAAGGAGGTGTGGCCATCTGCTACATAAAGGTGTAACAACTGTGTAATAGCAGTGTAATAAAGGTGTAATTAACATGTTATTAAGGTGTAATAACACAGGTATGGCAGACGCCATCTCTAATTCCCATCCACTTTTGGCCTAGAAGATATGAGTGGACATGCCTCCACAGATTCAGTCCTGTCGTAATTATACTAATCGATGATTGCTCCAACAGATCTAGAATCAGCTTACCCTGGAAAAATCCTACACTTAACCATTATGCTAAGCTGACCTTAAATCAGTGTCTAGGGGCTACTTAACAGATAGTATAGTTAGTAGTATAGTGGCCTATGAGCGGTTCTGACCTGAAAGATCTGGATCATGTCTTCACAGTTCCTCTGTTGGGCCACGTCACACAGGCGAGCTGTGATGTCGATACGTCTACAGATGTCCATGTCCACCTTCATGGCCTTTTCCTGGATCTTACTGTCCAGATCCGACAGGTTCTGATAGACGAGAGCGAAAGAGAGGAGAGTGAGTGACACTCGCAAAAGGAAATATGTGTTCCCAAATCTTATTTGTATTTTAAAAGACATTTTCGAAGTAAACTGTACCAATACCATAAAAGTATTTTCTTCGAGATTTTGTAACTCAAAAGTGAGTAGAGCTAAATTCCTATTCCACTACTTTTGAGGTATATAAATCTCAACAGCTTGAATTTGGGGTGAGCTATCCCAACAGTGCTATGAGGCACTCACGTTGCTCATAAGACCTTTGAAGAGGACCAGCTCAGCTTTCAGCTGTTTCACCCTTAGGGCCAGCTCATCCTGACAGACCTCGCTCTCCTGGAGGTCCTGTACGTACACACACACACACACACACACACACACACACACACACACACACACACACACACACACACACAAGCACACGCACACGCACACACACACAAGGAGCCTCATTTGCATTGCATTTATGACATAACATAACTGACTATGAGTATAAGTACGCATAATAAACAAAATGGGCAGTGTATTGAATAATTAATTTATAGTTCTTTATACAGTGGGGGGGGGGAAAGTATTTAGTCAGCCACCAATTGTGCAAGTTCTCCCACTTAAAAAGATGAGAGAGGCCTGTAATTTTTCATCATAGGTACACGTCAACTATGACAGACAAAATGAAAAAAAAATTCTCCAGAAAATCACATTGTAGGATTTGTAATGAATTTATTTGCAAATTATGGTGGAAAATAAGTATTTGGTCACCTACAAACAAGCAAGATTTCTGGCTCTCACAGACCTGTAACTTCTTCTTTAAGAGGCTCCTCTGTCCTCCACTCGTTACCTGTATTAATGGCACCTGTTTGAACTTGTTATCAGTATAAAAGACACCTGTCCACAACCTCAAACAGTCACACTCCAAACTCCACTATGGCCAAGACCAAAGAGCCGTCAAAGGACACCAGAAACAAAATTGTAGACCTGCACCAGGCTGGGAAGACTGAATCTGCAATAGGTAAGCAGCTTGGTTTGAAGAAATCAACTGTGGGAGCAATTATTAGGAAATGGAAGACATACAAGACCACTGATAATCTCCCTCGATCTGGGGCTCCACGCAAGATCTCACCCCGTGGGGTCAAAATGATCACAAGAACGGTAAGCAAAAATCCCAGAACCACACGGGGGGACCTAGTGAATGACCTGCAGAGAGCTGGGACCAAAGTAACAAAGCCTACCATCAGTAACAAACTACGCCGCCAGGGACTCAAATCCTGCAGTGCCAGACGTGTCCCCCTGCTTAAGCCAGTACATGTCCAGGCCCGTCTGAAGTTTGCTAGAGTGCATTTGGATGATCCAGAAGAGGATTGGGAGAATGTCATATGGTCAGATGAAACCAAAATATAACTTTTTGGTAAAAACTCAACTCGTCGGGTTTGGAGGACAAAGAATGCTGAGTTGCATCCAAAGAACACCATACCTACTGTGAAGCATGGGGGTGGAAACATCATGCTTTGGGGCTGTTTTTCTGCAAAGGGACCAGGACGACTGATCTGTGTAAAGGAAAGAATGAATGGGGCCATGTATCGTGAGATTTTGAGTGAAAACCTCCTTCCATCAGCAAGGGCATTGAAGATGAAACGTGGCTGGGTCTTTCAGCATGACAATGATCCCAAACACACCGCCCGGGCAACGAAGGAGTGGCTTCGTAAGAAGCATTTCAAGGTCCTGGAGTGGCCTAGCCAGTCTCCAGATCTCAACCCCATAGAAAATCTTTGGAGGGAGTTGAAAGTCCGTGTTGCCCAGCGACAGCCCCAAAACATCACTGCTCTAGAGGAGATCTGCATGGAGGAATGGGCCAAAATACCAGCAACAGTGTGTGAAAACCTTGTGAAAACTTACAGAAAACGTTTGACCTGTGTCATTGCCAACAAATGGTATATAACAAAGTATTGAGGAACTTTTGTTATTGACCAAATATTTTCCACCATCATTTTCAAATAAATTCATTAAAAATCCTACAATGTGATTTTCTGGAGAAAAAAATTCTCATTTTGTCTGTCATAGTTGACGTGTACCTATGATGAAAATTACAGGCCTCTCTCATCTTTTTAAGTGGGAGAACTTGCACAATTGGTGGCTGACTAAATACTTTTTTCCCCCACTGTAGCTCAAGTTACAAAATACGCTCTCTACTACTACTTTATAATCAACCCAGCTGATCTAAAGTGGAATCATAATGTTACTGGGATGTGAAATATTAAAGGGATAATCTGCAGTTCAAACAATAACAAAACATCCACCCTCCTCATTTTTAGGTAAACAGCTTAGGGATGGGGCTGGAGAAATGTAACCACTATCAAATTCATAGACAGTGCTATGGACACAAGGACTGACCATCCATGACCTGAAAATTAGTTTTACCATGTTTTAAAGCTATACAGTGTTTGTTTACAATTACATTGTTTACAAACAATGGAGTAAAACATGCTTATATACTGAACAAAAATATAAACGCAACATGCAACAATTTCAAAGATTTTGCTGAGTTACAGTATTGATTTCATATGACTGGGCAGGGGCGCAGCCATGGGTGGGCCTGGGAGGACATATGCCCCCCACTTGGGAGCCAGGCCGACCCACTGGGGAGCCAGGCCCAGCCAATCAGAATACGTTTTTCCCCACAAAAGGGCTTTATTACAGAAATAAATACTCCTCAATTTCATCAGCTGTCTGGGTGCCTGGTCTCAGACGATCCTGCAGGTGAAGAAGTCGGATGTGGAGGTCATGGGCTGGCATCGTTACACATTTGTTCTGCCAAATTCTCTAAAATGATGTTGGAGGCGGCTTATGGTAGAGAAATGAACATTCAATTCTCTGGCAAGAGCTCTGGTGGACATTCCTGCAGTCAGTTCCGTTTATATTTTTGTTCAATGTATTTTGGGTTCTGAGGGGGTTAGACAGTTGGACTAAGCTCATGAGGCATTTATATGTTTTATTATTCAAGAATCAATGGCTATATATCAATAATTAAAAAATGTATGTAGCAATCGCAGATTGCCCTTTATCATTGACACAGCTATGGGCTTACCTCCTCCAGCTCAGTCACTTTCTCCTGGAGGTCCACTCTGACTGTGTATTCTTCCTCCCATCTATTGAACCCCCCCCCCCCCCCCCCCCCCCCACACACACACACACACACACACACATACACACACGTACACACACACACACAGTGATCATATAGATGAGAATGGAGATTGATGAGGAAGTCATCATCACAGCATCACACACCATCATCACTGTCTCTTCTCTTTTGGGAACAGTAATGACGTCAACCCCCCCACTGTTATAACGACACTACTTCCAGACAGCCAGTATCAAAGATGCAAAGACACAACTTCCAATTAGACACCCAGCAGTTCAATCCCACAATAGCCATTATTGTCTATTTAGGCTATTCTAGAACCTCAATTATTACAACCATCTGTGACTGAGTAAGATAGCTTTGTCAAAGTTAGAGACAGAAACCAGAAACCAGGCAGAGAGCCTAATACCATCTACTATAGGCTACAGTGTTGTGTTCATGCGGTTCAATAAAGTTTGATGGTGTTTGTATCCATGTTGTGCGCCTAATCTCCCTTCCTCAGCTGCGTCACGCAACAGGACACTATGCAGTATGCCTGTAGAGCACGCTGCTGCAACACTTACAGAAGGTGAAGTGGCCTAACCCAGGAGGGTGCATGTGCCATATTGCATGTTACCTATACGCACTGTTATCAGTCTGCAGTGTATACAGTAGCCTGTTGTTAATGCTATACTTGTAAGTTGTACAAGCTATTAACGGTATACTCTTTATTAGTTGAAAGGAAAATGAAGTTCTATTCTATTCTATTCTATCTTCCCACAGCCCCCTGGAGACTCATTACACAAAAACCAATTGTATGATATTGTATTATTATGAGACAGTTGTTTTTAATGAGATCTAAGGCAGATGATTGGAAATGTTCCCGTGTTAAGCCATTTGACCTTCTCAATAAAAGAGAATTACAGGAGGGTGTTTCGGCTGGCAGGTCATAGAGGCTTGTAAACTGAGAGAGATGATGTTGCCTTGTTCCCATTAACATTCAGACAGTGGACTATAGGCTGTAGGAAAGGTTACTGATGTCATTTAGTGATGTCAGCGTCTTCTCACGGATGCTGCAGAGGGCGAGTGCTCGTACGGGATGGGTAGAGGGGGTGAGAGAGAGAGAGAGCGAAAGAGAACGGAAAAGAGAGTTTGTGTGTGTGAGAGAGAAATAGTGGGAGAGGGGGTGAGTGAAAAAGAGATGGAGTGATAGAGAGAGAGAGGAAGAGAAAGAGGGAACATGAAAAAGAGAGAGAATAATGTGAACAGTCTCTGGTGGCACCACTAGCGGTCACAGCTTTCAGTACAGTGCTGCATTGCAGGTGCTGAGACAAAACGCAGAGGGGCGGAGGCGAGCGAGCGAGAGCGAGAGAGAGAGCGAGAGAGAGAGAGAGAGAGAGAGAGAGAGAGAGAGAGAGAGAGAGAGAGAGAGAGAGAGAGAGAGAGAGAGAGAGAGAGAGAGAGAGAGAGAGAGAGAGAGAGAGAGAGAGAGAGAGAAAAAAAAGAAGTGTACTGCTGACTTCTCCCCAGCCTATTCGGCCCTCTCTTGATAATCCTCCTATTGGATAAGAGATTGGCCAGTGCTGTTCTTTTAAATGCTGTGATTAACTGTTTAAACTATGATCCCCTACAAGCCTATAGTGAAGCCTTGTAATGGCATATCATTTGGGAAGTACAGGGGCAATTTGAAGACAAAAAGTAGAGCAGCTAAAACACTTCAAGATTTACACAGTAACCAGAAGCCATCTTATGGATGATGATGAGGATGATGATGATGATGAGGATGATGATGATGATGATGATGATGACGATGACAAAAACAACAAAACAGATGTCTCTTCATTTCAACTCAGTTCTAAGCTACATAGTACATTTGCAGCATGATCATAAGCTGGACAACTGTAAAGCCTGTAATATACAGTAGCTCTGCCTTATATTACAAGATACGCATGCAACTCATGTAGACCTTGCATGATGATGTAATGTTATTTTCTTGGGTTCTGGGGTGTAATTTGGTATGAAGAAAGCAAAAACACACAATGGCTGAATAGGCTCAAAATAGGCTACTGTTAGTTGAGATACATTGCACTCCACATTTGTAATAGGAAAACCCACTGTAAATTGATACAAATCCTAATAGACAATATCTCCAACTCAATCATTGTTCTAGTTTTCTATGACAAAACCACTTTTATATTCCAAGACTTTGTCAGAAGGACACTGAGATTGTATGGTATCTGTAACTATAAACAGGATCACTGATTAGTAGAACCGGATGTGTGATTAGAGTAGGGCTGGCACAAAAGCCTGGACACCCCTTCGCTCTCCAGGAGGAGAGTTGGCCAATCCTGGACTAGGGGTGTTGCCCTAATAATAGTGGGCTAGAGAGACAATAAATGACATCACACATCAGGCCTACAGGTGACAATAACATAGGCCCCAGGCCTTTAATTATAAAAGTTAAACAGCTAAATACCTGTGTTTATACTCATCCCTTTCTCGTTTCACCTTGCCCAATACGTTGTACAGGGCCCGTATTTCAGGGGTGATGGTGTCGATTTGAACACCTACTCCGTCCGTTTGGGCACAAGGCACACCCGTGCCCGTTACACGCGACTCTCTCCACGCGCCAAACCTGCGGTCGTGGTTGTAGGACCAAACGGTGCCAGGAAGGAACTGGGGAGGCGGGTTAGTAGACATACCAGTCCCAGAACTGACATATTTCTCGTTAATGTTGGATATAGTCTTGGAAGGATCAGTAGGGGTTAATAAAGGACTGATGGATATATGTGGAGTGAGTTGGTTGGAATTGAGGTCGGAATTCGAGTCAGTAAGAGTCAAGTTCCTAAATACTGATTTGCTGTTGGACTCAAAGGAGGGAGTTGTAGGCCTGTTGAGTGATGGAGAGAGAAGACCCCCGGGCAGGTATGCAGAGTTATTGATGTTCTGGAGTGGGATATGTCCGGGCCTAACTGCAATGGGCCCTACGAAACCAGTCTGGACTCCCATTTCCTTAGTCAATGGCTTTTTCCCGTGTCGTTCTGAATTGTCCTCATTATTCTCCAAAGCCTGCTGAAGCTGCTTCTCCAAAACTTTATTCCGACGCTCTAGTTCATGAACTTTAGCCAAAAAGCAACGGAAGCGCAAATTCAAGGTCTTGAGAACACTGATGTTGGAGCCCAAGTCGTTACGCAGGGCCATCGCTGCGGGGGGTGGTGGCGCACGGTGCATGTTGTTCTGGTGCAGATACGCGAGTCCCGAAGGTGGCAGCGCATTAAAGTCCAGGCCAGATATCCCATCTTGTCCAAACACGGTGTGCTCGCCCAAGATGAAGCCTGAGTCAGATGCACCGTATGAGTCTAGGCCTGTCATGGAAGAATTAGAATGGCTCCCCATCTGGTTATGCTGCTGTTGCTGAACCAGGAACGCGTTCTCCCCCAATAATGGATTCATGCTTGAGTATGAAAATCTGAAATGCTCAAAATCCGGCATCAAAACAGACTTCTTAATTTAGCTTGAAAGCTAACTCCTGATGAAAATAATAGCCTACTTGCTCTAAAACTATCCCTAATAGCCTTACCTTATGAAGACTTAGTCTATGCGTCCTACCAAGACAGAATAAGATACCGGTAACAACAAAAATATATATATATATTATAGCCTATAGGTAAATAGGTGCTATTAAACAAAGCCTATTCCAGGTCTTAAAATTAGACGCGTCAGTGATTGAAAAAGCCGCAGCAATCAAGCGGTGAAGGCTACACAAGTTACCAAGCTGGCCGCAGTGCAACTACTAGCTTTGGCATAGGGGATAAGTCTGCTGAGGTAGGCGTGCAGTCAAGACCATCGCCAGGCAGAAATAAACAAGCTACTGCGGGTTTTAACTACCGTCATGACTGGAGTAAACGCGCAACCGACATCCTCACTTTGCATAGGCAAGGCCTACTACTTGGCTTGAGTGAATTTCTCGACACTTTTCATTGATATCATAATGTGTGTTTAACACCAATGGCATTATTAGCTGTTAGTCTACATTTGTAACCATTATTTCAATCGAACATCGCTCACATGTTAGGAGTTTTACGGCACCCTCAGCATCACTTGTGGACGTCGGAGCCCATAATAAGATCGTCTGTTAAGGTTATCTGCTCATATTGTCTAAAAGCTATGGGCTACTGGTTTATTGGAACTTTTGGACTGTATTTTGTGCAAAAGTAGGCCTACATATAGTTGAAACATATGCTACACATGTACGTATACCCCCCAGTTATTCAATGTTAAAGTAAATAACAATTGCTCACTCACTGAATATCTAGCAATACCCTTGAAACATTCTCAGATACCACTAGTTTGAAAATAAAATAATCCCCTCTTTCCAGCTTTGGATCCTTTAAACACACTCAAAAAATGATTTTTTGTCAAATCCCTTTCATTTGAATATTTCACAGAATAGAAGGAGTGGCTTCGTAAGAAGCATTTCAAGGTCCTTATTATGAACATACACTACCAGTCAAAAGTTTGGACACACCTACTCATTCAAGGGGTTTTCTTAATTTTTTACTATGTTTTACATTGTAGAATAATAGTGAAGACATCCAAACTATGAAATAACACATATGAAATCATGTAGTAAGCAAGAAAGTGTTTTATATTTGATATTCTTCAAATAGCCACCCTTTGCCTTGATGACAGCTTTGCATTGATGACTCTTGGCATTCTCTCAACCAGCTTCATGAAGTAGTCACCTGGAACGCATTTCAATTAACAGGTGTGCCTTCTTAAAAGTTAAAGTTAAAGTTAAGTCCATATTATGGCAAGAACAGCTCAAATAAGCAAAGAGAAATAACAGTCCATCATTAGTTTAATACATGAAGGTCAGACAATGCAGATAATTTCAAGAACTTTGAAAGTTTCTTCAAGTGCAGTCGCAAAAACCATCAAGCGCTATGATGAAACTGGCTCTCATGAGGACCGCCACAGGAATGGAAGACCCAGAGTTACCTCTGCTGCAGAGGATAAGTTCATTAGAGGTAGCAGCCTCAGAAATTGCAGCCCAAATAAATGCTTCACAGAGTTCAAGTCACAGACACATCTCAACATCAACTGTTCAGAGGGGACTGTGTGAATCAGGCCTTCATGGTCGAATTGTTGCAAAGAAACCACTACTGAAGGACACCAATAATAAGAAGAGACCTGCTTGGGCCAAGAAACACGAGCAATGGACATTAGACAGGTGGAAATTTGTCCTTTGGTCTGGAGTCCAAATTTGAGATTTTCGGTTCCAACCGCTGTGTCTTTGTGAGACGAGATGTGGGTGAACGGATGATCTCCGCATGTGTAGTTCCCACCGTAAAGCATGGAGGAGGAGGTGTTGTGGTGTGGGGGTGCTTTTCTGGTGACACTGTCTGTGATTTATTTAGAATTCAAGGCACACTTAACCAGCATGGCTACCACAGCATTCTGCAGCGATAACTCCATCCCATCATTTGTTTTTCAACAGGACAATGACCCAACACACCTCCAGGCTGTGTAAGGGCTATTTTACCAAGAAGGAGAGTGATGGAGTCCTGCATTAAATGACCTGGCCTCCACAATCCCCCGACCTCAACCCAATTGAGATGGTTTGGGATGAGTCGGACGGCAGAGTGAAGGAAAAGCAGCCAGCAAGTGCTCAACATACAGTGGGGAAAAAAAGTATTTAGTCAGCCACCAATTGTGCAAGTTCTCCAACTTAAAAAGGGATTTTAATCATAGGTACACGTCAACTATGACAGACAAATTGAGATTTTTTTTTCTCCTGAAAATCACATTGTAGGATTTTTTATGAATTTATTTGCAAATTATGGTGGAAAATAAGTATTTGGTCACCTACAAACAAGCAAGATTTCTGGCTCTCACAGACCTGTAACTTCTTCTTTAAGAGGCTCCTCTGTCCTCCACTCGTTACCTGTATTAATGGCACCTGTTTGAACTTGTTATCAGTATAAAAGACACCTGTCCACAACCTCAAACAGTCACACTCCAAACTTCACTATGGCCAAGACCAAAGAGCTGTCAAAGCACACCAGAAACAAAATTGTAGACCTGCACCAGGCTGGGAAGACTGAATCTGTAATAGGTAAGCAGCTTGGTTTGAAGAAATCAACTGTGGGAGCAATTATTAGGAAATGGAAGACATACAAGACCACTGATAATCTCCCTCGATCTGGGGCTCCACGCAAGAGCTCACCCCGTGGGGTCGAAATGATCACAAGACCACAAAATCCCAGAACCACACGGGGGGACCTAGTGAATGACCTGCAGGGAGCTGGGACCAAAGTAACAAAGCCTACCATCAGTAACACACTACGCCGCCAGGGACTCAAATCCTGCAGTGCCAGACGTGTCCCCCTGCTTAAGCCAGTACATGTCCAGGCCCGTCTGAAGTTTGCTAGAGTGCATTTGGATGATCCAGAAGAGGATTGGGAGAATGTCATATGGTCAGATGAAACCAAAATATAACTTTTTGGGAAAAACTCAACTCGTCGTGTTTGGAGGATAAAGAATGCTGAGTTGCATCCAAATAACACCATACCTACTGTGAAGCATGGGGGGCTGTTTTTCTGCAAAGGGACCAGGACGACTGATCCGTGTAAAGGAAAGAATGAATGGGGCCATGTATCGTGAGATTTTGAGTGAAAACCTCCTTCCATCAGCAAGGGCATTGAAGATGAAACGTGGCTGGGTCTTTCAGCATGACAATGATCCCAAACACACCGCCCGGGCAACGAAGGAGTGGCTTCGTAAGAAGCATTTCAAGGTCCTGGAGTGGCCTAGCCAGTCTCCAGATCTCAACCCCATAGAAAATCTTTGGAGGGAGTTGAAAGTCCGTATTGCCCAGCGACAGCCCCAAAACATCACTGCTCTAGAGGAGATCTGCATGGAGGAATGGGCCAAAATACCAGCAACAGTGTGTGAAAACCTTGTGAAGACTTACAGAAAACGTTTGACCTGTGTCATTGCCAACAAAGGGTATATAACAAAGTATTGAGAAACTTTTGTTATTGACCAAATACTTATTTTCCACCATAAATTGCAAATAAATTCATTAAAAATCCTACAATGTGATTTTCTGGATTTTATTTTCTCATTTTGTCTGTCATAGTTGACGTGTACCTATGATGAAAATCACAGGCCTCTCTCATCTTTTTAAGTGGGAGAACTTGCACAATTGGTGGCTGACTAAATACTTTTTTTCCCCACTGTATGTGGGAACTCCAAGACTGTTGGAAAAGCATTCCAGGTGAAGCTGGTTGAGAGAATGCCAAGAGTGTGCAAAGCTGTCATCAAGAAAAAGGGTGGCTACTTTGAAGAATATTTGTTTACTACATGATTCCATATGTGTTATTTCATAGTTTAATGTCTTCACTATTTTTCTACATTTTACATTTACATTTTAGCCATTTAGCAGACGCTCTTATCCAGAGCGACGTACAGTTAGTGAATGCATACATTTTTCATACTGGCCCCCCGTGGGAAACGAACCCACAACCCTGGCATTGCAAGCGCCATGCTCTACCAACTAAGCTGCAGGGGACCTCTTCTACAATGTGGAAACTAGTAAAAATAAAGGAAAACCCTTGAATGAGTAGGTCTGTCGAAACTTTTGACTGGTACTGTCTATTAATTAAAGGTGCACTCATTTTCCACAGTGACAATGTCAGTCTGACTTACCTGTGTTGCCTTACCTGACAGAGGCAGTACGAGCTTGAATGGAGGAAAGTGCTTTTACCTCAACATCTTTCTCCTCAACATGCAGGGTTATGGGGGCATGAGCCATGGTTTTGTCTTTGCTTTGACTTGTGGATGTGGCATTGGTAGGAGCAACTGTAGTCGGGCTGGAAGAGGTTTTCCCAACATTATCTTCCTCCTCTATGAGACAGAGAAAGAGAGAAAAGGAGAGAGAGAGAGAGAGATGTGGCAGGGAAACCCATTTAGCCGTCAAATTTAAAGGCACAGTCTGTAACTTTGGCAACAAGACGAAGACAAAGTATTTGTTCCCACTTTCAAAGCACTTGAACCCATTCATGTAATATTTATGATTTCCCCACCTGTTAAATATGAGTTTGCGAGGTCCATTCGAACAAACCATTGGACAGACAATTGATCTTACCCAGCTCCTGGACAAGAAGGGGTTGATCTTCTTGTAGAAGGCTGCTTTTACTTTTGCTCCTCCAGAGCGAAAACAGTCGTACAACCCTCTCATTTGATTCTGGGGGATCTTTTCTTAGTGGATTTTATTGTACGCCTCCTGTTGTATCATACCTTTTTCAAGCAGGTAATCCGCTATGGGCATTACCGTGGCGACCCTCTTAATGAGTGTGCACCTGTGCTTATCCACAAACGCAGCACCTTGGATTCAGATGAGAAAATTATCTGAAAAGTAATATATTGGATGGGATTTTCTTTTCTGCAGATGTGTGCACCGGTTTTCCCTGTCTTGGTAAAAAACAACGGTACAATTACAGTGACGGTTATAAATAACCCCTATAAAGTGAAATACTTACATGAACAATAATATTATCTTTGTCTTCTTTGTTATCAAAAGTAAATGTAATTGCTCAAATATACTTCTGTATTAAAAGTAAAAATCATTTCAAATTCCTTATAATTAAGCTAACCAGATGGCACTATTTTGTTTTTTTAATTTACAGATAGCCAGGGGCACACTCCAACACTCAGACATAATTTACAAACGAAGCATGTGTTTAGTGAGTTCGCCAGATCATAGACAGTAGGGATGACCAGGGATGTTCTCTTGATAAGTGCGTGAATGGACCATTTCTGTCCTGCTAAGCATTCAAAATGTAATGAATACTTTTGGGTGTCATGGAAAAGTATGGAGTAGAAAGTACATTATTTTCTTTAGGAATGTAGTGAAGTAAAAATGGTCAAAAATATAAATAGTAAAGTACAGACACCCCAGAAAACGACTTAAGTAGTACTTTAAAGTATTTTTACTTAAAGTACACCACTGCCAAAACAATATGGAGAGTCAAGCATTTTTCTTTAGAATACAATGCACCATTTAACTTTTCTTGTCCTTGGAATCTACTTTGTTCTTCCATCCAGGGGCGCAACTTCGGTTTTAGAAATGGGGGAGAAATAAATACTATTTAAAAAAATTACCCAGTTGGATAAACACTCCAAACAGCCTACCCGACCGCTCGGAGGCGTCCACATGGTCCTAAAGCACACCGTTGCCTCATTTTGGATCACATTCCAATGATAAAACATTCCTTCAACTCTTCTCTTTTCAAGATCATTTAAGACTCAGACTTGAGTAAATGATGGGAACATTTTAGCATGCCACTCATGGTCCAAATGCTTAGTTTTACAGCCTCTGTTTGGCTTTAATGGAATGTACCATGAATGTCAAGTTTGATTCACGGAAATAAAATGTAAATGCATCTAAATTAATGTGTGGATTTGAACGATTCAAGCATTTACAAGATGTGCTCCTGAGGACTGAGACGACAAAACATTTTCACAAACAGAGGACTTTTATTGTGAATTAAGGCATGGTGCGGTGGACAGAAATATTCTGCCGGCAAAAAACAGTCTTCTGAACAGAACAGAGGTGTGACTTATTATAAAAACATTGCTATAGACTTTGCTACTGGTTCTTTCTCTGGCGGTGGACGGGTTGGATGTCCGTTCAGGAGAAGGAAGAGGTCATGGGGGTGGGGGGGGGGGGGGGGGGGGGGGGGGTGTAGGTGTGGTGTGGAAACTTTACTCTTTGAGTGCCATGTGCATACACAAGTCAATAACGCGGTTGCTATAGCCGTACTCATTGTCATACCTATGGGAGAGGGAGCAAGATGAACAAGTCTTTATAATGTATAAAAATATTCAAAATTACAACATTGATTCTGTGTGTTTTGAAGGGGGTAGGTCTAGATACATACCATGAGACCAGCTTGACAAAGTGGTCGTTGAGTGCAATGCCTGCGCCGGCGTCGAAGATTGAGGAACGTTTGTCGCCATTGAAGTCTGTGGACACCACCTGAGGAGGGGAGAGCAACAGGCTTTAGGCTCATTATGTGAAAAACTGAAATTACAATTACTCTACTGCGCCCTAGTGTTTGAGCTTAAGTATTGCATCATGACCTTGAGGCCCAGTGCATGAGAGTCTGAAAAGCTTGGGCCCTGTTCAAGTACTCTTAAAATGCATCCTTCCTTATTTCCTTCATTGTGGTAATCACATACATGACACTTTATGACATGACAGCAACACAGGACCTTGCTCACACCTATCAAATCATGTTAGATCAGTGATTTCTTCAAGTATGGAAGGAATGATGCATTTTAGAGTATTCAAGCAGGGTCTTGGGATGGGAAAATATTTACCTGGTCCTCTGTGTATCCCAGAATTCCCTTCATGGGTCCTTTGGAGGCCTCCTTGATGACTCTCTTGATCTCTTCATAAGGGGCCTGAGGCAGATAGGAGAAAACATTACATATAGAACAACAATGTAACCAAATGATTATGTATGAAGTGCCTATTGCGCGTTATGTAGACAGTAACTAAAGGAAAGGTGCAAAAACAAGGGTAGCTTGTAGGTGGGTTGGGCTGGAAGGGTGGTCAAGAGGAATTAGGTATTCGGAGTAGCTTTACCTTGTGTATCACATATTGTATTTCAATAAAATACCACAAAAAGAGCAGAGAGAGGTGACTGGGAGACTTACGGCTTTCTCAAGACGGACAGTCAGGTCAACTACGGACACGTTGGGAGTGGGGACACGGAAGGCCATGCCGGTCAACTTGCTGTGGGTCAGAACGTTCAGTTAAATCTACATTCTGGGATTTAAAAAATAAAAAAATAAAAAATAAAAGCCCTGCCACTTGTTTTGATATACAGCTGAGGGATGGGGCTAGGGAAATATAACGCTTTGGAATATTCAGATGTGCCCTTAGTGAAAAGCACTATACAAATCCCATCCATTATCACTATGGTCATAAAACCTCCATTACGAAACCAGTGGTCCTGGATTGGTTCATACCCGTTCAGCTCGGGGATAACCTTGCCCACGGCCTTGGCGGCGCCGGTGGAGGCGGGGATAATGTTCTGGCTGGCACCACGTCCATCTCTCCACAGCTTACCGGAGGGCCCGTCGACAGTCTTCTGTGTGGCTGTGACTGCATGAACTGTGCTCTGGGGGAAGAAACAAGTGATATGGATGTTAGTCTATGCAGGGTGATGTTCATTAGGCAAACTGAAGAAAACAGGAAGGTACTATCTGAACTAATAAGAAAACCTCATTTTAATTTTCTGTTGTGTGCCCTAATGAACACGAACCAGGACTTGTGCAGAGCAGCAACATGATTGTTGTTAGCATTAGCATGTACATTGACATCTCTATTAATGTTAGCATTTACATCTCCACAAGTGTTGACCCACTTCTTACCACTACATCCCAGTCCCTGTGGTAATTGTGCTGTTTGACTCCATTCTTACCATGAGACCCTCAATGATGCCGAAGTTGTCGTTGATAACCTTGGCGATGGGAGCCAGGCAGTTAGTTGTACAGGAGGCGTTGCTGTGAGGACATGACATCATTATCAATAATAATCAACATGCTCCCACTCGGAAAGACACTACTTCAACCTCAACTTCCACTGCTACCCCGACAACACATCAGCGTATCAGCACCAAGCCACTCCTTTGAACTACATTAAATCCTGTATCTCAGAAATAAAAACCTGGATGCAACACAACTTTCCCTTTCTGCTGGTGTATTCTTCCAGTCCAACCTCCAGAGTTTTGGCGACAGGGTATTCTCTAGAGCTACACCCTGGGTCTGGAACTCCTTCCCTCCACCGGTTCATCTAGTCCTGTAAAAACCTACCCATAACTCACACTCCACCGCAGTTCTTTCAAATTTCTTGTTTGTTTTGTCTTTTTGTTTCCTTTATGTCTTATTAGAAAAGCCGAATATGAGAACTATGTATTATTATTAATAATGACACCACCACAAAAGTTTAGTAATTTAACATTGTGCCACACAGCCAGAAAGTAATCATTTATAGAGCTGCACCCTGTAGTTTCATTTCAAGCAAACATGTATTTAAATCAATAGTTTTCCATGTTACCAAATCTGATTTGTTTTCTTACCTCAAGAGGAGATATGCGGCTGCCATAGAATTGTAATACAAGGTCTATGGAAATCCCTTTGAAGTAAACGATGCATGAAATGAGAGTATACAAAATGGTTGAAAACTGTTCTGTTCCAAAATCTGTCAAACACCTTCTCTAGTGATATTGTCCCGATGTTAAATTGAAGTGTGCGAGCAATTTTAGGATGTTTTTAGGCCATGTTTCATACTCACATTCTCAGTAAGACTGAGAGGTAGGGTTTTTGACCTGCTGGAACTGTGTGTGTGTGTTTCAGTGATTGTTTGTACAAGTAACATGTCACCCTGTGGCAGGACTGTTTGTACATGTCACACTGCGGGGGAGTGGCTTACCTGACAACTTTCAGGGAGTTATTGTAATGATGGTGGTTGACACCCATCACGAACATGGGGGCGTCGGCGCTGGGGGCGGAGATGATGACCCTCTTGGCACCTCCCTGCAGGTGAGCCTGTGGTGGTGGTGGGTGGGGTGAGAGGTCAAAGGGTACGTTTGTGTAATAACAAATACACAGCATCAAGGCTGCCTTGCTTGGTTCAGTCTCATAGCTGATGATATGCAAAATTGGTAGTCTGGAGGCGATTAAAACAATTTAAAAAACATTGAAATACATACAGCACTGTGCTCACTCACTGCTCACCCACAGTCTTATAGCCATGAAGTATTAAAACACATATATATATATATATATATTTTTTTTTTTTCCCCCCTCACAGAATTCAAGTATAGACCATTGTCAATATGATCTACTTCCTACTGCTAGTGAACTGAGGTACTTACAGAGGCCTTGTCGATGGTGGTGAACACACCAGTAGACTCCACAACGTAGTCAGCTCCAGCATCACCCCACTTGATCTGGGAAGGGTCCCTCCTGAAGATGGTAAAGAGATGGAGAAGTTTGGATTATAACACAAATCCAGGGTTAGAATTACAGGGGTCCTGTGCACTCCCATAACAATCTAAGGATGGAATCATTATATACACACACACTACATGACGAACATCTCATTCCAAAAGCATGGGCATTAATATAGAGTTGGTCCCCCCTTTGCTGCTATAACAGTCGCCACGCTTTTGGGAAGGCTTTCCACTAGACGTTGGAACATTGCTGAGGGAACTTGCTTCCATTCAGCCACAAGAGCATTAGTGAGGTCAGGCACTGATGTTGGGCGATTAGGCCTGGCTCGCAGTCGGTATTCCAATTCAACCCAAAGGTGTTCGATGAGGTTGAGGTCAGGGCTCTGTGCAGGCCAGTCAAGTTCTTCCACACCAATCTCGACAACCCATTTCTGTATGGACCTCGCTTTGTGCACAGGGGCATTGTCATGCTGAAACAAGAAAAAGGACCTTCCCCAAACTGTTGACAAAGTTGAAAGCACAGAATCGTGTAGAATGTAATTGTATGCTGTAGCATTAAGATTTCCCTTTACTGGAACTAGGGGGCCTAGCACAAACCATGAAAAAACAGCCACAGACCATTATTCCTACTCCACCAAACTTTACAGTTGGCACTATGCAGTCGGGCAGGTAGCATTCTCCTGGCATCCGCCAAACCCAGATTCATCCGTCGTACTGCCAGATGTTGAAGTGTGATTTATCACTCCAGAGAACGAGTTTCCGCTGCTCCAGAGTCCAATGGCGGCAAGCTTTACACCACTCCAGCTGACGCTTGGCATCGCACATGGTGATATTAGGCTTGTGTGCAGCTGCTCGGCCATGGAAACCCATTTCATGAAGCTCCCGATGAACATTTGTGCTGACGTTGCTTCCAGAGGCAGTTTGGAACTCAGTAGTGAGTGTTGCAACAGAGGACAAATGATTTTCACTCGCTACGTGTTTCAGCAGTCCCGTTCTGTGACTTGTGTGGCCTACCACTTCACAGCTGAGCCGTTGTTGCTCCTAGACGTTTCCACTTCACAATAACAGCACTTACAGTTGACTGGGGCAGTTCTAGCAGGGCAGAAGTGTGACGAACTGACTAGTTGGAAAGGTGGCATCCTATAACGGTGCCACATTGAAAGTCACAGCTCTTCAGTAAGGCCATTCTACTGCCAATGTTTGTCTATGGAGATTGCATGGCTGTGTCCTCGATTTTATACACCTGTCACCTGTGGCTGAAATAGCCGAATCCACTAATTTGAAGGGGTGTCCACATACTTTTGTATATACACAGTGCATTCGGAAAGTATTCAGACCCCTTCACCTTGTTACGTTACAGCCTTATTCTAAAATGGATTAAATTGTTTTTTTTAATCAATCTACACACAATACCCCATAATGACGAAGCAAAAATAGGTTTGTAGAAATTTTAGCAAATTTATTCAAAATAGAAAACTGAAATATCACATTTACATAAGTATTCAGACCCTTTACTCAGTACTTTGTTGAAACACCTTTGCCAGCGATTACAGCATCAACTCTTCTTGGGTATGACGCTACACACATGGCACACCTGTATTTGGGAAGTTTCTCTCATTCTTCTCTGCAGATCCTCTCAAGCTCTGTCAGGATGGGTGGGGATCGTCACTGCACAGCTATTTTCAGGTCTCTCCAGAGATGTTTGATCGGGTTCAAGTCCAAGCTCTGGATGAGCAACTCAAAGACATTGAGACTTGTCCTGAAGCCACTCCTGTGTTGTTTTGGCTGTGTGCTTAGGGTCGTTGTCCTGTTGGAAGTTGAACCATCGCCCCAGTCTGAGGTCTTGAGCAGGTTTTCATCAAGGATACTGTAGTGTATTAGGATTATGTCTTTGTTAATGTTTTTCATGTGGAATTGAAAGGATGTTTATTTTAGTTCAAAAGTAGCCATTTGTAGGGTGACGCCCCAGGGGAGACAGGTGATTGGACAGCAGAGGGAGCAACCCATATTTTTGCATTGTTTATAAGTATATGCTGGAGGCAGAGGGGGTTAGAACAGACAGATTAATTTGGGACACTGTTTCTCCAGACACTGCAGGTCTGTAAACTTATGCTGAAATCTTGTGATATAAATAAACCTTATAATCAAAGTGCAGCCTAAGCGGACTTTTTGTTTGACAGCAATAAGTACCAGCATCGACGCGACACAACAATACTTTTCTCCGTTCATCTTTCCATCGATCCTGACTAGTCTCCCAGTGCCTGCCGCTGAAAAACATCCCCACAGCATGACGCTGCCACCACCATGATTCACCGTAGGGATGGTGCCATGTTTCCTCCAGATGTAAGAGTTCAATCTTGGTTTCATCAGACCAGAGAATCTTGTTTCTGATGGTCTGTCCTTTAGGCAAACTCCAAGCGGGCTGTCATGTGCCTTTTACTGAGGAGTGGCTTCAGTCTGGCCACTCTACCATAAAGGCCTGATTGCTGGAGTGCTGCAGAGATGGTTGTTCTTCTGGAAGGTTCTCCCATCGCCACAGAGTAACTCTGGAGCCCTGTCAGAGTGACCATCGGGTTCTTGGTCACCTCCCTGACCAAGGCCCTTCTCCCCCGATTGCTTAGTTTGGACGGGCGGCCAGCTCTAGGAAGAGTCTTGGTGGTTCCAAACTTCTTCCATTTAAGAATGATGGAGACCACTGTTCTTGGGGACCTTCAATGCTGCAGAAATGTTTTGGTACCCAGATCTGTGCCTCAACACAATCCTGTCTCAGAGCTCTATGGAGAATTCCTTCGACCTCATGGCCTTGTTTTTGCACTGACATGCACTGTCAACTGTGGGATCTTATATAGACAGGTGTGTGCCTTTCCAAATCATGTCCAATCAGTGTAATTTACCACAGGTGGACTCCAAGTTGTAGAAACATCTCAAGGATGACCAATGGAAACAGGATGCACCTGAGCTCAATTTCGAGTCTCACAGCAAAGGGTCTGAATACCTATGTAAATAAGGTATTTCAGTTCTTGGATATATAAATTTGCACAAATTTCTAAAAACCTGTTTTTTCTTTGTCATTATGGGGTATTGTGTGTAGATTGATGAGGAAAACAAATGATTTAATCAATTTTAGAATAAGGCTGTAACGAAACAATGTGGAAAAAGTCAAGGGGTCTGAATACTTTCTGAATGCACTGTATAGTGTATATATGGTCTAGCCCACTGCTAAGGCACTCCCAATAGTCAATGTTTGAGATACACAGACAAATCTTCATATTGCCAGAAGAAGTGTATAACCCATCAATTTGATTCTGTGCAAAACCACGTATCTCAAAAACTGTACAAAATAAGCCAATGAATGCACCTGGAGCATTAGCAAAGGAAAAGGAAAAACACTTACTCGTGGAAAACTGTGATGTGCAGGTTGCCAATGACCAGCTTGCCATTCTCTTGTCTCACTTCACTGTGCTTCCATACACCGTGGGTGGAGTCATACTTGAACATGTAGACCTATGGAACAACAACCTTTAGGGAGGTGTTGAATGTGTCCAGTAAACTTGTGCACATGAGATCCTTCTTGAGTTTAACCGAAAGAAACCTGATCCACTCAAGGTCTGACTTCGGTAAAATATGTTTACATTTCTCCCGCTATACGTTTCAATTTCAGTAGCCTATATTTTGATTTTACATTTCGGTATATTAAGCAGTAGCCTATATAAAAAGTTCTCACCATGTAGTCCAGGTCAATGAAGGGGTCGTTGATGGCGACGACGTTGACTTCACCGCTCTTGGCAGCGGCACGGGTCACCAGGCGCCCGATACGCCCAAATCTGAGAAGAGAAATCAGAGAAAATCAGTCTTACAGTTAATTCCTATATATGCATATCCATATTACCACACTATACCAGCAGGTGGCAGCAGCCCTGTGACGCAGGCAGACACACCCACATCTAAAAATGAGTCCTGCACACAAGGGTCAATGTATGGCTCAGCAACAGAGCCAAAGTACATCAAAAAGGAGCCAAAGTACATCAAAATAACACAGGGCAAAAAACAAAGGTTTGGTAAGGTGTTCTTGTGAAAAATACCTTGTTATTAATTTCCTTTAACAAGTAATTTTGTTCTGGTCAACAAAGTTACATCATACTATACTTCAAACCGTTTTGGAACTGTGAACAGTCAGCATGATCTTTTAGTCAGTCATTAGACATAATTTCGTTTCCATACTTAGGTTGATCAGCAGGAGTGAAATATCAATTTCCAGGTCGCAGCGTTTCGTCTTTCAAGTGGGCACAGTAAAACTGTTAGGTTGATTTTGAGAAAGGGCCTATCATAACAAACTTTAATCTTCCTGCAGTTTAGTGACAGCTGACTATTGGCCAAATAAAGGTTAGCCTTGCTGTGATCTCTGAACTTTAGCTGAAAAGGCTATCGGGATATTATTAGATGGATAGAATAAAGGAACGCGACAGCTGAGGAGAGGAAAGATACAAGAGTGTTGCAAAGAGGCATTGTGACAACCAAACTATAAATAAGTAGAGAATGGTAGTGGCCAGACCATGGAGGTGTTGAACAACCATAGCAAAAACAAACAAAAGATATGCTATGGAAAATGAAAAGAAACATTTCTTCTTGGAAAAGTTCAGGTAGCCCCCTTCTCATTTCGGCCTGTTTGCTTCTATTTCGTTTCTAGTGAAAGCTGTACAACCCAGGCTTGTGAACTTGAGAGCAAGCGCCTATAGGGTATGTACAGTCCAGAAGTGCAATGCAATCCAGGGTCTATCCTGTGACCCAATCCTGTCAACAGACAGTTCTTATATTCCCTTTAAGATATATACACAATTGAAAATATTCAAATTTTCCCAGTGACAGAAGCAGACACACTCCCAACTAAAAAAGGAGTCCTACACATAATGCATGGCCCAGCATTTTGGTCAGGCTTATGAACTTGAGAGCAAACACCTATGGAATGTACAGTACAGAAGTGCAATGCAACCCAGGGTATCATCATGTCACTTGATCCTGTCAACAGCCAGTCCTTCTGTTCTTTTTAAAATAGATCATTTCAAAGATAAATATGCACACAAAAAAAGCAACTTACCCATTGATTCCAATCTTCACCATTTTGCCTGATCTGGTCTAGGTAAAAATAAAAAATAAAGTTAATTAACTTGTGTGTTACATAACCAAGCACAGTTACAGTATGAGCATGAGGCAACATTTGAATAAGCAACTAAAATCATCTATGTACATCAATACATTAAGCGTCACTGATTAACGGTCACTATATAAAGAAAGTAGCATTGATAGATACAAATCTCTTTTGTGGCATCTATAGAATCCCCCAAAATTGCACAATGCATACGACAATAGAATAATTTCAAAGAGCCCAAAAATGTTGCTCCCCTAAAATACTAAACTTTCCATGCCACGTAGGCTAATTTATTATATCTACACAAATTGTAGCCTACGTCCATACAACTTGTAGTCATACAAGACAGCTTTTCAAAACAGCAAGGTAGGACTCCACCTGCCAAAATGCAAATTGCCACATAGAATCAACGCATAATTCTACAATTAAATGTCAAGTTGGCTACGAAGCCATAAAAAGATTAAGAAAGTTGGAAAATACCGTTTGTGAGTTGCTCTGTCCACAATGTTGGCAAGGTGCGCTCGCAATTTATGTTCCTATAGGTCCATGGACACGCCCCCACGTGAACACAACCCATGTGCACACGCCCCTTCAGAATGTCAAGTCACAGATGGATAGGGGAGCCAAGGTCGTTGTCGCAGTCGACAGGAACATAAATTACAGAACAGGAAATTAATTTGAATGACACCCCCCACTATTGATGTGATCATCTTGGCTACATTGCGTGTGGAATGAACTGGATGCATCTTGCCAAATAAGAGGAAGATGAGCAATTTCCATTTGGATTGATTTGATAGTTGGATAATAATTGTATTAACCAGCTGTTTAGCATTAACTTTAATTAAAGGCTGTAATCTTTGGGAAAAACATTGTAATAATATTTGTTCAGGGCATTGGGTGTGCTTGGCTGCAATAGAGTATGTTGCAATGAAAGACAGTTGAAAGAGCATGGAATGAAACCCAATGCTTCTTAGAGTGATAACAGTGTGTCCATCAATTGTCCTTTTGCCAAGCTAAGACCACAGCTGCACTAAGACTTATTTACAGTCAAGGGGGCTCAAATTCAGATTATTACACTTTGAGCAGTGCTTGACTTGGGAAGGAGCTCACCGGAGCTGAGTACCGGCACCTCAAATGTTCTACTGCTTGAGCTCCTGTTCCTCGTATAAAATATTAGCTCAAAAGTGTTGTGGAGCTCCTGCACCTAAATATAAACAGTACCAGAACCCAAAATGAGTACCAGAACCTATTTCAGTCCAAGCCAAACACTGACTTTGAGACATGATGGGGCATGTGATGCTCTGGTGCCCATTGCTATGTGATATCCTGCAAGAGCTCCAGAATGCCTAATGCAGCTAGATAAATTAATGTTATCTTATATTCTGAGAATTTGGATGTAAAGGGAACTAAAGTGTAGGTACTGAATGTTGGAGGTTCTTTATTACTTATCATGAACCTAGGCATCAATGTTCTCAGGGCCAAAATAAACATGGAGAGAGAGAGAGAGAGGACAGGGTAGTGTGTGAGTCCATGTAAGAAAAAAAAAGAAAAAGTAACTGAAGGTTGACATTTACAAGATCCTCTAAACCCCCCCCCCCCCCCCCCCCCACCCCCCTACCCTCCTCCCCTAAGAGGGGTGTGCATAGTGAGGGGATCTGTTAGTGCATAACCCAGAACTTTAGCCCAGCACCACTACAGAAGGCTACTATGCATGCAGAATTTGAGTCTAATTTATTGCCTGAGCAAGAACTACAATTAGCTACGCGAGGTGCTGACACCGAATGGCAGGCTGCGGGATCGAGGATAGCCGGCGTCACTTGGATGGTGAGTCTCTTGAGACTCTGTGCCTCATTCCCTAGTTCCTCACACGCTTCCTCCTGTTCTACTGTCCGTTAGGAATAACTGTTTAGAATTCCCCTGCTGGTGAGCTCTGACACTCTCTTCAGCTCTTTCTCAAGCTCCCCAAAACTCAGCCTTGTCTTGCTGAGGAAAATAGCAGAGCCATAAAACGGGGCATGGTGAGCTCCCCACTGTGCCCAGGCTGCTAGGCTCCTAGATATAATATTATTATTATTATGAATAATAATAATAATACATCTAACTGATACAGTGATTTTTATTACATAACGTATCTCAAAGCGCTTAAAAAGCACACATAAAATCTAATGCAAATATACTGTAGTATTCAAAAACATATATATGAGATCAGGAAGGGAGTTGAAGCAGTTTGTCTTTGGGAGCATCTTAAGCCTGATGAGCAGAGGGAGGGAGCATCTCAGCCACCTGTAACTGTCTGTAACTTTCTGTGACCTGAGTGACCAGGCCTTCCATTAGTCAATCCCATTATAGCCTGCCCAGAAAATCTGCTCACCTCTCCCACTAGCCACAGTTTCCCGGCAGCAGGTCAGAGTCTCAACACCTGGCACAATATCCTATGAGCTGCTCTCATAAAGTTGAGTGTGTATTCAAATGTAAGTTTGGCATTGTTGTTCCTGTTCTTGGTATTGGGTTGAGTTTGTACTGCTACCTTTATGCAGTCCTTTGTTATCTTAAAGTTTGTTGCTCTATGGTGCTATTGTTAGTGTATTTATCATTCCATTCCATCTGCACTTATATTTTATACTTATTATTGCTGTTGTATTCATTACATTCATGCATGTAATCCTACTTCTGAGTCAGGGGGAGGATTTCTTATTACAGGCTTATCACCCAGCAGAGGAATCAACGGTGGATCCAGAATTGCTGCTGGAGGTTGGCCCAGGGCCAGGCAAGGATCCTGGGGCCAGGGCCGGCTGTGCCCCTCTCCCTGGAGAGGGCTTTGGCACCACTGCTGGTACAGGAAAAGACTCCACAGTAGGAATCTGCCTGGCCGCAGCGGTGGCTACTATGGGCCTGCCATGGTTCGTCCAAGTCGTAACATGTCTCAATAAAAGCCAAAGGCAAATGTTTACATAGTGATTTGGATAGGGGCAATTTGGCTGAAATCCTTCTGACATATACAGCAAAGCCTTCCAACTCCATTCCTGTAGGGTCAGCTGCTGGCTATTGCTCCAGCACCACTCTTCATACCATAACTCATGACACATCCGTTCAATCTACATTTCAATTGAGTTATTTAGCAGATGCTCTTATGCAGAGCGACTTACAGTCCCTGCATTCAACTTTTCAAGGGAAAACATTGCAAGTAGACCCTTCTTCGATAAAACATGCATTTCCGTTTTACGATACATGCCACTTTTAGGATGTTATTTCAGCTTTCAACATCAACATGTCTTGACTAGACTGAACTTGGGAGAATTTGGGGTGTTACATTTGATAAATTGATGAGTGACAATACGAAATTGGCTGCATAATCATATTGTCACTCACTGAATGGAGATGAGTTGAAATGACTAGACACACAGTAGCTTGCACAACTTTCACCCTACATTTAAAACCCTTAAGACAAGTAGAATTTCTCTATCTCTGTGTAGACCTTCTTGGTCTGTATGCTACAGATGTCTGAGTATGCAAGAAACTAATGAAATTAGTATTTTCCTCTAAATTGAGCCATCTCTTTTCTGAGCACAGACTTCACATAGGGCCTAGGCGAAGGAAAGGTCAGCCTAAAGGTCAACCATATGACAGATAACCTTCTCCATGGTATGCCATGCTACTGTATACAGTGCATCTGACCTGGGGATGGCATATATCTTTCTCTTCTTATAGTTTAAATCTGTCAAAGGGTGTGACATTTTGGCAATGAGACACCGAGATGCAGGCTGTGGGATCAAGGATAGACGTGGTGACAGTGTATTTTCCCATGGTATGTTCTGCTAAATTTGCTTTCCTAATTCCAGAGTAACTTGGTTTGATGTAAACCAGTTATATCCTCCAAAACTAGAAAATGACATTTCCTGAAGAAAATGTGTGCGCTTGCTCATCTATAGTGAGTAGCTAATTGTGAGGTAGTTTGAGTACTATAACAGCTTAAGCCCTAGAGTATGCTTTCAAGCTCTCACTGTATTTTAGTTTGAAAATTATTACGTTTCTAATTTTAAAGTCTGCATTCAGCTTTCAAAATGAATTTACAGTTTCAAAAAGTGTGAATGGTAACAAAAAGCTTTTGGCAATTAAAGTTGAGTCAGTCTGCACATTTCATTTAGTGTTTGTAGCTTAACTGGTTCAAGACCAGTGGTGAAACCAAAAGGGCCATGGTCTGGCCTCTTCATGGACTACAAGTTATATCCAATAGGAAGGGGGTTTGTTGGGTTGTTTTGGGGGGTGTCACACATAGTAAGGCCAGGGTGGCGAATGTGGGAAGAGAGAGTTCATTGACCTGGAGTAGTTTGCTCGTGAGGGAAAAGGATGCTCAGTTCGGAGTTGAGGGATAGCTAAGTTTAGAAGTTTTTCATGTACTTTTAGTGTAACCAACCCAGGGTTAGCTTTGAGTTCAGGGAATACATGATTGAAACATACCTCTCTGCAATTCCGTTCTGTCTAGAGAAGACATTACAGTATCATTGTAGCATGGAGCTTTTATGCTAATTTAAAATATAGTAAATGGTATCAAAAAGCTTTTTACGATCAATTTAAGTTGACTGTACATTTCAACGTAGGTTTGGTGTTTGTAGCTAAAACGGTTCAAGAGCAGTGGTGAATCCAAAATGGACTATTATAGCCTATGGAGCTTTTATGCAAATGTGAAATAGTTATTTAAAAAAAATTATAAATATAATACTTTAAAGATGGTTTGGTCTTTTGTGGCTTACACGCTTGAAGACTAGTTCTGGACGGCAGGTATCCTGGCAGGTAGGAGCATTGGGCCAGTAATCAAAAGGTTGCTGGATCGAATCCCAGAGCCGACAAGGTAAAAATCTGTCGTTCTGCCCCTGAGCAAGGCAGTTAACTGCTCCCCAGATGACGTGGATGTTGATTAAGGCAGCCCCACCGCACCTCTCTGATTCAGAGGGGTTGGGTTAATTGCGGAAGA